GCTGTTAAAAATGAGTTAAATCTATATATCTTGATCTAGAATCTTGTTTATGATGTACTGTTTAGTGAGGAAAATAACTCATTTTTACATAATTGGCCAAGCTATTTTGTGTATGCATGTCTGAATAAATTTGTATGAACGTGCAAGAAGGTGTGAAAAAATACACTCCAGACTAACCTTGGTTACCTGGGAGTCAAGGTAGTAATGGAGATTACTTTTCCTGTATTCATCTATGAATGGTTTTAGTTGTTACAATGAGTATAATTATGTGTTGCTTTTGTTTTATGTAATTTAAAATTGGTTTTATTAAAAGTATACATCCAAGAATGCAAAGTAATTATTGTACTTCAATGCAAGATGAACATCTTTGTAATTGATTATTGCCAAACATTAAATCCATATCACTAAAGCAAACTGCACAAACCTGTACAAAATAAAGTAGGTAACTTAAGAGAATAATGTGGTTTATCTACTGGCATTTCATAATTAGTGTCTCATTAATAATTAACTTGAAAGATAACCATGTGTTAGTAAAATAAATAAATGCACATTACTTCTTGCGATCTCCTGGGAAAGAATTTAATGCCAAGCTATGTTATGGAAAGGAAGGCCGGAGTTAACAAATACAGAGAAAGGGACAATTGTTTTTCTTATCAGATGGGTCTAAAGACTCTCCAACGAGTGAGTGTATGGTGCGTGTGTGTGGCTATAAATCAAGGTATACAATTCTCACGTCCCATTGCTAACTTATCTTCCTGCAGCTCCTCAGATGTTTTTCCGCCATCAAAGGCATTGGCCAACGCAGAGCCAGATACCTGGGTCACGTTTGCCTCCTCCCTTTTGCTTTGCTCTCTTTCTGAATCTGTTTGGTTGCTACATCCTCTTTGCCAATGTTACCTCTGGAATGCTTCTGCCCTTGCCCTCCTTCTGGACCTGTTGCATTTGGTCAGGATTATTTAATAACATCGGAGCTGCCACTACTAAAGAAGCTCCGGCTCCTTTGCCAGGCCTTCCTGACCTCACCCGCCTGGCTCCTGGCGGCTTCCCCCCACCTTCTCCACCGGCACCCTCCTTTGCTCTGCGTGTTCCAGATTCTGCTCACCCTCGAGGACCTCGGGGATGGGCAGGTCCTGCCCTCCCGCTTTCACAAGCGTGGGGGGAACACTAGGTCCTTGGCAAAAAAAAGAAGCCGGAAGTGCCGGAGTCTGAAGGGCGGGGCCTGCTCTGGCCTGGCTGGCCAATGGAAACGCCGAGATCAGGGTCAGAGGTCACAGGGCCAGTGGGCGGGCATTTTTGCCCTCGAAGGTCGGTCAGAGGAGGCAATTTTACCAGCGGTGAAAGGTCTGAGAGGCTGGAGAGAGCAGGGAGGGGAAGGGAAATTCGGGTGGACTGGAATAGGGCAGCCCTGGAGTGTCTGGAGGCCAGATCTGTGTGGCTCTGTGGGGACAAGACCCCAGGACCGGCGTCCACCTCACATAATTCGGCTAGGGCAGAGGACGTGGAGGACACAGAAAGGCCAATAGGACTTCCATCCGCTGACTAGACGCTTTATAGTTTAAACAGTGTGAGAAAACCCACGGGCCTCGCTCCTTCCGTGTCATTTTTATGCCACGGAGTGAGGACGGGGAGAGGGGTGATGCTCCAGGCCAATGGCGGAGGGAAGCCAGCCCCAGGGCCCCCGCGGTGCGGTCTGAACTCTGGGGATTCCGCGCCCTTGTATAGCCGTGCCCCCCAAACATGTGCAAGTTGTATTTGTCACTTACACCTCAGTAAAGCTGGGAGGAAAGAAAAGCTTGGGAAACCCTTTCCCACCGCGTGAGCGCCTGGCCTAATTGTTTGTATTCATTTCCATTTTGGCCCAATGAAGACCGGCCAGCGGGCGGCGCACGAGAAATACAGTCTAAAAGCAGGTACGGAAAATATTTGAGGGCTTGCTGCGCTCCAAAAGTTGGCCGTTTTTAAATACATTTCCTCTAACTATGATTTTGCGTTTTCCTCTCCTTGTCTTTGCTTTTAGGGAAAAAAGGCCTATTTCTCTCTCTTCCTGTTCATCCACCACTGTGAGATGGATTCCGCTGTCTGTAATGCAATGAAATTGGGTTGCAGATTAAAGAAACTCTATGAATGCATATAATATACGGTGTCTTATTTAAGGACTATGTATTTAGATGGATTTAAGCGATTAACTTTAATACAACAGTAATTGTTGTTTAAGGCAGTTAATGGGCATGATGACCACAAAATAGAAATGCTGGAGAATTTAAAAAGTTCAAGGAAGGACATTTTAAGGTAAATGCTGACAGACTGAATGGATAAAGTAGGTAGCGTTGGTTTTTAACCTTTTTTTTGGGTTTTCAACTTTTTTAAATGACTTCCAACTTGAGGGACAATCATAATTTTTTCTGAAAGCACAATATCAAGAAATGGAAATTGTAGAATAAACATTTGCTTCGAGGATCAGTGATACACTGTATGGAAAATGTATGAAGTATGATGATTGGAAATATTTCCAAAGAAGTAATTACCAGTGGGAAAATGCTTTGTTGGCACTGTTTAACTAAGTGTGAAAGAGGGTGCCAACATTCAACATCATGTACTCCCACGTTTGTTGATACCACAGACTAACAAGAGTAAAAATAACTCAGATAACTTACTGGGTTTGTTTTCATTGGAAAGCTTATTTTAATATCCAAAATGTCTTCTGATTAATTCATCAAATAAAAGAGTTCTGTTCTGTTTTAAGAAGTTTGCTCTGGCCCTGGCCGGTTTTGGCTCAGCGGTTAGAGCGTCGGCCTGCAGTCCGGAGAGACCCGGGTTCGGTTCCCGCTAAGGGCACGTACCTCAGTTGCAGTTTGTCCCTGGCCCTGGTTGGTTGTGCCGGTGGCAGCCACTCGATGTGTCCCTTTCACGTCGATGTTTCTCTCTCTCTCCCTCCCACTCTATCTGAACAAAAAATGGAAAAATGTCCTCGGGTGAGGATTTAAAAAAAAGTTTGCTCTGAGGTTTTTTAAATCTAGTAATTGAGGAGTTAAGAATGCTCACTTGAGCCCTGGCCGGTTTGGCTCAGTGGTTAGAGCGTCAGCTTGCAGTCCAGAGGGACCAGGGTCCCTTCCCACTAAGGGCATGTACCTCTGGCCCTGGTTGGTTGTGCGGGTGGCGACCACTCGATGTGTCCCTTTCACATCGATGTTTCTCTCTCTCTCGCTCTTCCTCTCTCTCCCTCCCGCTCTAGCTGAACAAAAAATGGAAAAATGTCCTCGGGTGAGGGTGATAAAAAAAAAAGAATGCTCACTTGATGATAACTGAAAATAGGAATAGATTTATAGCCAATTAATGTAGATTGGATTGTCAGGTCTTCTGGTTCAGTACCATAGATAAAGAAATATAGGTAAACTTCAAACAAATTTAAAATGATAATGAAACTAAGGCAAGACCATTTGGATTACCATGTATATTTTATTCACTAAATACTTATTGACAAAAGACTATATGAAACCTAGCTTACATTTGGATTCCCCAAAATATTTTATTTATTTATTTTTAAAATATGTTTTTATTGATTTTTTTTAGAGAGAGTGGAAGGGAGAGAGAAAGAGAAATATTGATGTGAGATAGAAACATCCATCAGCTGCCTCCTGCACACACCCTACTGGGGATTGAGCCCGAAACCTGGGTATAAGCCATGACCAGGAATTGAACCCAGACCTCTCAGTCCATGGGATGATGCTCAATCCACTGAACCACACTGGCCGGGCTCCCCAAGACATTTTAAACGACTAATCAAAATGCTAAGAACTATCTGATAAACTGGACCCTGTCTTAGAGTAACTTTTCTAAACTATAATTCCTCTGGTTTTTCACATATGTGAGAACCATCTTGGTTCAGAACCATCATTCAGCATTCTAAATTTTACTCATTACTTCTTTAGATTAATTTGTTGATTTACCAATAATGACCCACTGACCTAGGAATAATATGCCATGGATGCTTTTCCAAATGAGCTCACTATTAGGGAATTCTAACGTCAGCCTTTTTATTTTCTAATATTTTCATTGATTTTTAGAGAGAGAGGAAGGGAGAGGGAGAGGCAGAGAGAGAGAGAGAGAGATCGAGATATCTATTGGCTGCCTTCTGCACACCCCCTACCAGGGATGGAGCCTGCAACCTGGGCATGTACCCTGACCTGAATTGAACTGGCAACTCTTCAATAGCAAACAGGAAGACACACGACAAACTGAGCCACACCAGCCAGGACAGGCTTTTCGTTTTCTAAGTAAGAGAGTAGGATTTCCCACATCTCACCTCACTGCTTCAGCACAGTATTGCCCTTAGTTATTCAATTTTAAAGCCATGTAAGGAATATGGTTGTCCCTCCCTGGACGGTTTTCTCAATGGTTAGAGCACCGGCCGGTGGACCAGAGAGTCCAGAGTTTGATTCCCGCTAAGGGCACGTACCTCAATTGTGGTTTGTCCCTGGCCCCGGATGGGGTCGTGTGAGTGGCAGCCACTCGATGTGTCTCTCTTGCATTGATGTTTCTCTTTCTTCCTCCCTCTCTCCCTCCCGCTCTATTTGAAGATAAATGCCAAAATATCCTCGGGTGAGGATAAAAAAAACAAAAAACAAAAAAGAAAAGAAATATGGTTGTCCCGAGAAAACCATTACCAGTTTTGTGAACTAACTCTAGCCTCTTTTGCAACAAAATGATCATATTAAATATATTTCAATCCCCCAACTAAAAGTCATATAAATTCAATAATACAAAAATTATATAAATTATTGTATATCAACATATATTATTTACATTTAGATATAAATTTTTAATAAGTGTCATGTTCATAATTAATTTTTTAAATAAATCAGAGCCTTTTTTAAATGAATGAACCAAAGTTTTGTGATTAAGAATGATTCTTCTGCTCCTGACTTTGCTATTTTACCAACTTTAATTTAATTTTTATTTTTTCAGATGTTGAAATTTGTATGCTTTCAAAGGAAGAAGATATGTTTTCAGCATTCAAATATTGTGCAATAGACTATTTATACGAGGTAGGGTGTTACTGGATCACCACCTATTTACTAAGAATTATGATATAAAATGTGTTATCTGCATTTACTAGAGGACTATGATAATTTTACAGTTGTCTTTGTGTTCATCCTTAGTCTAGTTGCTTTGAGATTCATTTAAAATTACTGCCCAGCTGGTGTGGCTCAATGGTTGAGCGTCAACCCATGCACCAAGAGGTCACAGGTTTGATTCCTGTTCAGGGCACATGCCCAGGTTGTGGGCTTGATCCTCAGTGTGGGACATGTAGGACGTAGCCAATCGATGTTCTCTCTCATCGATGTTTCTATCTCTCCCTCTCCCTTCCTCTCTCTCAAATCAATACAGAAAAAAATATTTATTAATTTTAAAATCCTCACCCGAGAATATTAATAAAGACAAAAATTAAAAATAAAATTACTACTTCCCTGGCCGGTTTTGCTCAGCGGTTAGAGCGTCAGCCTGCGGACCAGAGACCTGGGTTGGGTTCCCGCTAAGGACACGTACCTATGTTGCAGTTTGTCCCCAGCCCCTGTTGGGGTTGTGTGGGTGGCAACCAGTTGATGTGTCTCTCTCATATTAATGTTTCTCTCTCTTTCTTCCTCCCTTTTTCCCTCCCGCTCTATCTAAAGTTACCTCAAAAAATTAAAAATTGAACTGCCATTTGACCCAGTTATCCCACTTCTAGGAATATACCCTAAGAACTCTGAAACACCAATCAGAAAGAATATATGTACCCCCATGTTTGTAGCAGCACTACTTACAATAGCTAAGATCTGGAAACAGCCCAAATGTCCATCAGTAGACTAATGGATAAAAAAGCAGTGGTACATATACACAATGGAGTACTGTGCAGCTGTAAGAAAGAAAGATCTCTTATCCTTTGAGATGACATGGAGGGACCTGGAAAGTATTATCCTAAGCAAAACAAGCCAATCAAAGGCACATGATCTCACTTATTCATGGAATATAATGAACATAACAGCCTGAGGAATGGGGTAGTCCCAGATATGTGGAAGTGGGGTACAGACTGACAATCCCCAGAAGAGGGGGTGGTGGGGGAGAGATAAACCACAAAACTTATATGCATGTATGCATGAACAATGGACATGGACAACAAAGCTGGGGACAGGACGGGGAGGGGGGAGGGGGGAATCAGTGGGGGGAAAAGGAGAAACATCTGTAACAAAAATAAATTAATAAATAAAATAAATAAGTAAATAAAAATAAATAAAGAAAAATGCAAAAATGTCCTCGAGTGAGGATTAAAAAAAAAATTTACTTACTACCTTTTTAAAAAAATCCTCACCAAAGATATTTTTCCATTTACCTCAGATAGAGTGGGAGGGAGGGAGAGAGAGAGAGAATGAGAAAGAGAGAGAGAAACATCGATGTGAGAGCAACACATTGACTGGTTGCCTCTCGCACAACCCCAACCAGGGCCGGGGATGAACTGCAATGGAGGGATGTGCCCTTGACCGGAATCGAACCTGCAACTCTTTGGTCCATGGGCCAACACTCTAACCACTGAGCAACACTGGCCAGGGCACTTACTACATTTAAAAAAAAACACGTTTTTTGCCCTGGCCGGTTTGGCTCAGCAGTTAGAGCGTCCGCCTGCGGTCCAGAGAGACCCGGGTTCGGTTCCCGCTAAGGGCATGTACCTCGGTTGCAGTTTGTCCCTGGCCCTGGTTGGTCGTGCGGGTGGCAGCCACTCGATGTGTCCCTTTCACATCGATGTTTTCCTCTCTCTCTCTTCCTCTCTCTCCCTCCCACTCTGTCTGTACAAAAAATGGAAAAATGAGGATTAAAAAAATAAATAAATAAATAAATAAAAAATAAATAAATAAAATAAATAAAAAAAATAAAAATAAAAAAAAAACATGTTTTTATTGACTTTTATAGAGATAGGAAGGGAGAGGGAAAGAGAGATAGAAACAATGATGAGAGAGAAACATCAATTTGCTGCCTCCTGCACGCCCCCCATTGTGGATCAAGTCTGTAACCAGAGCATATGCCCTGATAGGAAATCAAACCTGCGACCTCTTGGTCCAGGGGTCAATGCTCAATCACTGAACCCTGAACCACACCAGCTCGGCTAAAATTACTACTTTTAATATATGTTAAAAATGCCAGCTTGGGAAGGAAATAATTGGCAAATTAACATGAAGTTAAAGCTCTTAGCTCTTGGCAAATTTTGGCTGCTTTTATGAATAATCTTGACTAATCTTTATTGAAAGGAGTGTTGGGGGTAGCGATCTCAGTTATCTTTATGATAAAATCGACCACTTACTATGGGCCAGGTACTTTGTTTATTTGATGGGTTATATCATTTGATCATATTCTATTGTAATGGATTATGTCATTTGATCATTGTAACTACTCCTTGAGGTAGATACTGTTATTACACAGGTTTTACAATTTTGCCGGTTAGAAAACTGATGCCCAGAGAAGTTAAATAGCTTGTACAAAGCTAAGAGTCAATCCAGGCACATTATTAAGGACTAATTGGAATACTTGTCATACAACAATTCACTATTCTTATTACTTTAATTGACAAGTTAAAATTTAGTTTTCTTTATAACCTTGACCCCATCTACCAGGAAAAAAATTACTCCAATATAACTAAAACTGTGTTACAGTTTACAGGAAATAAATACATAAAGGCATGTTCAGGTTTTATAATTCCCTCATAAGTGAGGGAGGCAAATGTGGCATTATAACATGTATATGGTAGGGAATCAGAAGTCATTGTTACCCAAATATATTTATGAATATATTGGCCACTTGCAAAATTAGTCTATACTCAGCCCTGGCTGGTTTGGTAGAGCGTCAGCCTGCAGTCCAGAGAGACCTAGGTTTGGTTCCTGCTAAGGGCATGTACCTCAGTTGCAGTTTGTTCCTGGCCATGGACGGTCGTGCGGGTGGCAGCCACTCGATGTGTCCCTTTCTCTTCCAAGTTTCTCTCTCTCTCTTCCTCTCTCCCCCTCCCACTCTATCTGAACAAAAAATGGAAAAATGTCCTCGGGTGAGGATAAAAAAAAAAATTAGTCTATACTCAAACATCCTCAAACTTTTATCCTTGCCCATGGTATCGTACTTTCTTGTTTGTGTACCACACCCAATGATACAGTACAAATATGATACTAATCAATGGCAAATTGTGCAAAAAGTACAGGATTTTGTAAAATTCATGGAAACTGTTGAAGAACTACTCAAATGCCAGGTAAAGCTATTAGCAAATGAGGATCTTGCAAAATTAGACCAGTTAACAAACAAGAGGAAAAGAATGGTTTGAATGTCAAAGGAGTCAGAGATGTGTTTTGTTTTTTTTATCCTCACCCAAGGACATTTTTTTCCTTTTTTGTTCAGATAGAGTGGGAGGGAGAGAGAGAAACATCGATGTGAAAGGGACACATCGAGTGGTTTCCACCCATACAACCCAATCAGGGCCAAGGACAAATTGCAACCAAGGTGTGCGCCCTTAGCGGGAACTGAACCCTGGTCTCTCTGGACCGCAGGCCAACGCTCTAACCACTGAGCAAACCGGCCAGGGCAGAGATGTCTTAAAATATCTTAATGATTAAAGGTGAAATAATTACTAATATCATGCATATCATTATATAATATAGTTTGTGGGGAGATTATGACAAAAAGTATTATATAAGCTAATTATAAATAAAAATTTTGTTAGGTATAAAATTTTTTTTTTTTTTTTGGTACATGCTCCTAGCGGGAACTGAACCCAGGACTCTCTGGTCCGCAGGCCGATGCTCCAACCGCTGAGCCAAACTGGCCAGGACTGTTAGGTATAAAATTTAATTTTTAATAACTATTTTATTTTTTTAGATAAAGTAACAATCAAGCTGTTTTTCCTTCTTACTGTGAACCTTTGGTTCTCATTTTATATAAATTACTTGAACTGATCTTTTCTTTGTACCATTTATTCTTGGATAATGAGGACCTCCTGTTTAATATGTTATAACACTTTCTGCAAACATAAAATTCTTGGGAAATAATGCCAGAAACTATCATTTGTCCAAGTTCCTAAAATAATGAACTAAAGAGTCACTGAGGGATGACTTCATAGAGGAGCTATTGCTAAGACAAGCCTTGAAAAATGAATAGGGCCCTGGCCGGTTTGGCTCAGTGGTTAGAGCGTTGGCCTGTGGTCCAGAGAGACTCGGGTTTGGTTCCCTCTGGGGGTGCATGCCTCGGTTGCAGTTTGGCTCTGGCCCTGGTTGCGTCTTGTGGGTGGCAACCACTTGATGTGTCCCTTTCATGTCGATGTTTCTCTCTCTCTCTTCCCCTCCCACTCTATCTGAATAAAAAATGGGAAAATGTCCTCGGGTGAGGATAAAAAAAAAAATGAATAGGATTTTGATAGCTAGAGAAGAGTAGCAGGACATTTTTCAGAGGCACACTGTAGACAATGTTGTTGATAAGGAAGTGACTGCTAAATATTAAGGGAGGTAGTGAAGAGAAGTCTATTCAAAGAGCACAGTTAGTATTAGAGAGTAATGGGAGATAATGCTAAAAAGTAAAGGCAGAATGGAATTACAGAGAACTTTGATTTACAAGTTTGCTTAATTGATTTAGCATTCTTTTAAAGAAACAGCTTTATTTATTAGATTTTTAAAAATTAGAATCACATTTCATGGTTGTCAAAAGTGAAATAATGCAAAAGACAGAAAACAAAAGTTAAGTCAGCTATATTATACTAAGTGAAAAAAAGCACATTGCTAAGTGGTATATAAATTATGTGATCCCCTCCCCCCATTTTTTGGTTAAACACACACACACACACACACACACACACATTTTGGCCTAATCTAGAAAAAAAAGTCTGTAGGAAAATACACCAAACTATTATTGATATTACTATGGACCTTGATTTTCTCAGTATGTGGTTCTGTTATTTGATATTTTGTAATGAGCATATATCACCTTTAAATAAAAATAACATTTAAAAGATTGGAGAATTTTAATATTCTAAATATTGATAGATAAATATGTTAAATATATTAAAATATTTCATAATCTTACTTTCTTACATAGAATGTAGTTAGAAAGAAGTTTTGCAGAGATGCTTTATTGCTTCGAATCCCTTCGTGTTTATATCAAGATGGAAATTATCATGCAGAAGTTATTGATCATAAATTTAGGAGGCCATGGACAAGAGGTATGTTTTATTTATTTTCTTAATAATATGTTTAATAATTATTTTAGAGTTTAGCATAGCAAATTAAGAAAATAAAGTGTTTTTCTCATTAAATAAAACACATTGCATTTGTTTACTTAGGTGACAAAATTAGGAATAGAAAAGCTTATACTAGGTATGAGTAGAACAAATAAATGATTTGTTGATGATGAAGTATTAAAACATTCTAACATTGTAAGCATTTGTTACATTATAAAAGGATCTTGATCAACTATTGGAGGCTACTTTAAATTGTAGCCATACATTGAATGTAAAACTATTTTTAAATGTATGTGTACAAAATATCATCTTTTGTTTTAATCATGTAATTGACTTAGGAAAGACTAGGCTCCATGGACAAGTCAAGTTAGTTAACAACATTTATTTGGCATGTATTATGTACCAGGCACTTTTATAGGTGCTAAGAACACAGTCACTGATAAGACATAGAAATAGTCCCTGCCCTCAGTGGGTTTTCAGACTGGTAAGGAGGATGCAGCAATAAAACCATTAAATGTATAAACTAATATCTGATTGATATACATGTATAGAGAAGACATAAAATTATAATGCAATAATAAATTTTAGGAGTAGGGAGTGCTATTTCCAGAGATGATTCAGGAAGAATTTCAAGGAAGAGGTGGACATTTGAGTTGAGATCTGAATTATGAGAAGGCAACAACCATACAAAGATGTGGGAGAAACCTTTCAACCAAATGCAGTGTTCCTGACTCAGAAATAAATCTGATGTGTTTAAGGGCAAGAAAATTAGGCTATTGTGACTGGTCCATGAAATGGAGGTAGATCTGAGAAGTAGGCAGTTTCTGAAAGATAAGGCTTTGAAAGCCATAATATGGAGTTTGTTTGCTTATATTATGGCTAATGTGGTAAGTCATTGGACAGTTTAGGACAGAGAGTGACATGACCTGATTTATGCTTTAGAAAAATCATTCTGGTTGTGTAGAGGATGGAAGGGATAGGAATTGAGAGACAAGAGAAGACAGGCGAGTCGATCTAGGAGCTACTGTAGTGGTTCTGAATTTAGAATACAAGGTGAATCTATACTCTAAAAGATGATGGTGGCTTGGACTAGGCTTATAATAATGGAGATGTAAGAATTGGTTGAAACTGGGATTATTTTAGAGGTCTGGACAACAGTGAGAGTGTTAAAAAGAAGAAGAGGAAATGTCTTCTAGGTTTTAGAATTGAGCAGCTGGGTAGATGGCAGTGTTACTTTCATGGGGCTTTGGCCAGGTTAAAATGCCTGTTAGGCATCTAAATGGAGACATCAAGAAAGCAATTGGCTATATTAATCTTGGAGACATTGATATGTAAGTTACACATAAACTCATGGAACTGGATATCATCAATGAAAGCATGAATATAGGTAAAATAGAGAACCTAGGACAAAGCCTTGGAACACTCCAACAGTTAAAAGTCTGACAAAGAAGGAGGAACCACTGAGGAAGACAAGTGAGATAGGAAACCCTAATGAGTGTGGTGTACAATTCTGAAGAATAAAGTGTTTTTCCCTGGCCAGTGTGGCCCAGTTGGTTGGGCATTGTCCCATGCACCAAAAGGTTGCAAATAGATTCCCAATTCCCGGTCAGGACACATTCCCAGGTTATAGGTTTGGTCCCCTGTCGGGGTGCATACAGGAGGCAACCGATTGAAGTTTCTCTCTCACATCAGTGTTTCTCTCTCTCTCTCTCTGTCTCCCTTCCTGTCTCTCTAAAAATCAATTAAAACATTTTTTTAAAAAGAAGAAAGTTTCTCAAGAAGGGAGAAGTGGTCAAAAGCTGATCGCTGTTAAAAGGTCAAGTAAGAAGAGGATTGTAAGTTGACCATTAGTTTGACTAAATGTAGAGCATTGATGACTTCGGTAAGAGAGATTTCACTAGAATTTGGGTAAGAAAGCTCAATTAGAGTATGTTGAGAAGTGGGATATGAGATGGTGAATTAAGACAGTTATTTCGAGGAATTTTGCTATGAAGGAAAATAGAAAAATGAGGCACTAGCTTAAGGGAGAAGTGATGTAAAGAGAGGGTTTGTTTGTTTGTTAATGTGTGATTTTGAAAAATATGTGTAATGAGAAAAGAGACTATAAAGTATTTGTTTGCCAGTGGTAATGATCTTGGTAAAAAGAAAGAAAATGATGATTGAGGAAAGAAAAATGATAACTTAATAAAAGGGGATAGTATCAAGAGCACAATGAGAGGAGCTAGTATTAGATAGGAGCTAGGATAATCCTTCCATAATGATAGATAGGAAGGCAAGGTCTGTAGGTACTTAAGCCAATGAGATGGTAGAGTTGGTGGTGAAAACAGAGGCAGTTCTTTATTTATATCAATTTTCTATGTTGAGGCAAGGACGTTGACTAAGAGTGGGAAGGAGGGTGAGCATTGAAAATCTGAGAGGGAGGGAAGTATTAGAGTTGTCTTCAAAAATGAGAAAACTGGTTTCATCAGGAAGGTGTACTGTTATCATCTGTCAGTGTTGGATGCCCTTTGGAAATGAGTTCATTCAGCATGGCTGGGAGAGTTTTTCTCAGTAAATTCCAGCTGTTCTGGTGTACTTACACAGCAAGAGAAAGAGGGGCAACAGAAGAGTCTTTGTGAGGAAGTGGTTATGAGAATGGCCATGGGACCTAAACTGAGAAAGAAAGTGAGGACATGAGGGAGGATGAATGTTGCAAACATGAGAGGGTCAATGGATTGAGGGTCTCAGTTAGGTTGGAATAGCTTCCATCAAACTGCTTTTCTAAAAGTACAGAAGAAAAAGTGAGTTTATAATTTCTTCTTACTTATTTCCCTTTTCATCTTTTTAAAAATCATAACAATAACATCCAAAATTATTAGGTTCTTACAATATTTCAGGTACTATTCTAAGCCATTGACATGTCTCATCACATTTAATTTTTATAACAGAACTATGAAGGGCCCATCGTTATTCCTAATTTGTAGATAAGGAAACTGAGGTATGAAGAGGTTAAGAGATTTATCCAAGAGCATATAGTTAATAAATAGCAGTACAAGTATTAAAATCCAGGCAGGGTGATTCTAGAACCTGTACTCTACATAAAAGATGTACACTAAACTTTCATATTTTCTCAGTGAGGCACAGACTCAGATGTTAAATGATTTGTTCAAGGTAACAAAACTAGTAAGAAGTAACACTAGTGATAAAATACAGATCATTTGACTCTTACTTTACTCAGTTCCTTCTTCAGACACTAATATATGACACGGTTCCTCTCCTTAAGGAACCAAGGGTCTAATTTGGGAGACAAGTATAGATACATAAAATTTTAATATATGACCAAATGTGATTAAGTACCAGAGGAAGTGCTACTGACAATATTATGGCCTTTCACAGGGAATACATTAGAGTGAATTGGAATGGTTAATAAAGGCTTTATAAGCCCTGGCTGGTTTGGCTCAGCGGTTAGAGCATCGGTCTGAGGTCCAGAGAGACCCGGGTTCGGTTCCCGCTAATGGCACATGCCGCGGTTGTAGTTTGTCCTCGGCCCTGGTTGGTCGTGTGGATGGCAGCCACTCGATGTGTCCCTTTCACATCGATGTTTCTCTCTCTGTCTCTCTCTCTGTCTCTCTCTCCCTCTATCTCCCTCCCACTCTATCTGAACAAAAAACGGAAAAATGTCCTTGGGTGAGGATAAAAAAAATATATATATATATATATATATATATATATATATATATATATATATAAATAAAGGCTTTATAAGGAATAATATGAGCTGTTGAACAACACTATCTGGGTAGGTAGTAATGTATAAGCAAAAGAGAGGGTGGGGGCTGGAGGGATGAGTGAAAAAGATGAAGGAATTAAGAAGTACAAATTGGTTGTTAGACTGAACCTCAAAGGGAAGTGGGGAGGGCAGGATCAGATAAACTAAAGAACTTCTATGCATATATACATAACCAATGGACACCGATTATAGTGTGGGGAAGGTAAGAGGGCGGCGGGATTGGGGAGGAGGAGGTCAATGGGGAAAAAAGGGGGACATCTGTAATACATTCAACAATAAAGATGAGTTAAAAAAAGAGAGGCTGTAAAAATGAGGATGGTATTTTCTGGTGGTATTGTTCTGGCTGTAACTGAGGGTTTGGGGAGGGGTATAATAATGAAAATAATTATTTGAATATTTGTAATCTGGAACAACATTATGAATAAATAAAGATAATATAAAAGTTGAATGTTTGGCTTCCTTGTATTAAGTCTAAAAGAAAATTCTAGAAGCTAATGTTTACCATGCTCCTTTTTAGTCTCAGCTGTTTCAGTTTGGGGAATGACAGATAGCTCAGTCTTGGATCAATGGAAAGCAAGTCTCACTGTGGAGGAGTTCCTTGAGAGGTATGTATCCTTAACCTCAAATTTCCTTTTTATATCTAGAAGATAAACAGACAACTAAAGAGAGAAGATTCTTTCCTTTATAGCCTCACAGATTTTCTTCTTTTATCTGATGAAAAGTCTTAATCTGACCACAAAGGAGAGGTTAATAGAAGTGATTTACATCCTCATTTTATCTTTCTCTCATTTATCATATATTAACTGTTCTCTATACATTTGAGTTGCAAAAACATACAGAAATAAAGCAAATATGTTGTTATGCTTTCATTCAGTAAGTACACTTTTTGTAGAAAGTGTCTATAGGAAGTACTTTATATTAAAATTAGTATTTTCCCCTGTAGTATAAATGTGGATGTAAGGCTATTTTCTAACATACCTTGTCAAAACATTATTTATTATTAGTTCAGTCATTCATCAAATATTTACTGGATACTATCCTGTGTGCTCAATACAGGATACAGAAATAAGACAGCTCTACTCACAAAGAACACAAGAAAATATGAAATAGAGATTTATAAATAAATAATAACAATACAGTGTGGTAAGTACAATGACAGATATAGGAACACAGAGGAAAATATGAGGAAGAATATCTAACCTATTCAACATTGTTAATGTAGATGCAAATTAGAAATTTCAGTGCAAATGTAAATAATTTACCCAGTTGCTTCACTTCATACCAAGAGTGCTGATCAGACCCAGAAGGATTTAGTTGTTATTCACATTTTCAAGTTTTAGCAATTTAAGTTTTTCTTAGTTGCACTTGAAAGAACCGATTTAGTCCAATATACCATTTCCATCATCTAAGAATTTAAAAGTCAGGTTAGGAAGATAATATGTAAACACAGAAAAAATTAATAAGATAAGAATTAAATGATAATAAAAGATGACCATCATAAGATCACAAGGCATAAGACCAATGCAAAGTATCTATTACATGACTGAACTCCAGAGCAGTGAGGAAGCAGACAGGTATAGTGAAAAGAGCTCTGCATTATGAACTAAAAGATGTGGATTTCAAGTCTTGATTTGAAGAGTCAAGTACTACTTGACAAGTCCTTTGATCTGACTCTCACTTTCTTTGTCAATATAATGATGATGGATCAGTGCTTCTCAGAATTTAATGTACATGTGAATCACCAGAGGATCTTATTAAAAATGGTGATTCTGATTCACCATGTGTTGGGGCACATATTTATTTCCTGTAATGCCTCATAACAACTATGTGAGCTCTATATTATTATCCCAATATTATGTATGAGAAACTAAGACTCAGATTAAGTAACTTGCACACAGTCAATAGTTGGAGCTAATATTCAAACCCTCAAATTCCAGTCTGTCTGACTTCAAACCCTATACTTTTTTTGTTTGGTTTGATTTATGTAACGGCTTTATGAAGATATAATTTATATTTATATAATTCACCCATTTAAAATGTACATTTGAATAGTTTTTAGTATATTCAGAGAATTGTACAGCCATCCTCACAATAAACTTTAGAGCATTTTCATCAACACAAAAAGAATCAATAGTCTTATGAGTATTGTAATATGGACCTGGGTGAGTTAAGATAATTTTTTCTTGTACCTTATATTTTCTTCAAGAGTAAAGGAGAAACTTTAGAGATTTTTCTATCTATGATTTTTAAGATATGGCATGTTCATTTTTCTCTCCAATTACATTGGGGAATTATATTGATTTTGGTTCTTTAAGTTTGTATAGGGAATTATTAAAGCTAAAATATTTTAGGATATCAAGAAAAAAGGTATTAGGATGTGTAGGTAAATTGCCAATTGCCAATAATACTTTTATCTATTGGGAAGTTCCTGGGTCAATTAGGAAACAGGCAAGGTATGGCCAATGTGGAGGAGCCCAAAAATAGTGCCTAAGACTAGCAACAGCAGGAAGTAGTTAACACCCTAAACTTGAAGGCCTAAGGGGATTGAGTAGTAGCAAGCCAGTTAAGAACTGCAGCTGTAGAAGAGGAGCTGTCTGACAAAAGATAGCTGTCAGCAGGAGAATCAGCCACTTCTAAACTATGCCTAGGAGGGAAGGATTTGGGAAGAATAATACCCTGTCTCTCTTCCCACCTTTGATCTCCTGCGAATGTTTCCCACTGGCTGAACCCAACTAGAAGCCAGAGGGAAAGCTTAGTTGGTTCTTACAGATCAGCCTCCCCGGTTGAAGAACAGGTTATAAAAGGTTGGATAATGATATGAAAAAACAGACATTGATTATCCAGCACAAGGGCAGTTGGGCAGTGCATGGCAGGGTCTAAGAATATGTGTACCTTTAACATCTTTGCCATTTTTAGGGAAAGTATCTTGAGAAAACAGTTAGACAAGAGCACAAAGATATCCCTTGCATTATAACAGCAAACAATTACAACAAATTTAAGTTTTCAATAATAGGGAACTGGTTGAATAAATTATGATTTACCAATACAATGGTCATCCATTAAAAAATGAAGTGGCCCTGGCTGATTTGGCTCAGCGGTTGGAGCGTCGGTCTGCGGTCCCAAGAGACCCGGGTTCAGTTCCCGCTGAGGGCATGTGCCTCGGTTGTAGTTTGTCCCCGGCTCTGCTTGGGTCGTGCGGGTGGCAGCCACGTGATGTGTCCCTTTCACGTCGATGTTCCTCTCTCTCTCTCCCTCCCACTCTATCTGAGTAAAAAGTGGGAAGATGTCCTCAGATGAGGATTAAAAAAAAAATGAAGTGAATATACACTCTGATTAACATATAAATGTACTCATGCTTTACTATTTAGCAGAGAACAGGTTGCAGAATACTATGTACATGAATCCACCTTGATTTTTAAAATATTCAAAATAATAGCAAAAATACATAATTTTTAAATTCATTTCTTAAATGGATGGGCTATGGGTAATTTTCTTTATATCTGTTGGGATTTGTTATTGTTTCTACAGTGAATATATGCTATTTGTTAATAAAGATGTTTTAAAATAGGACATACATAAAATTCATAATTTTATAATGTTGTAGAAAAATAGTTACAGGAATGGTGACTCAGATTAACGGTGAATTTGAAGAAATTGTTCCAAGTTCAAACCCAGACTCCCAGAGTGAAATCGAGGAAGCCAGCTTACACATTCATAAGGACTACAGTGAAGTCTTTACACCTATTAGCTATTTAGAAAAATATTCAGCATTTCAAGCAAAGAACCAAGGTAAAACATGTATTTCCATTGTTATAAAACATTTCTTACTAATATACAAATTTATTCCAGTGAATTTGTTTTATTAGATTTAATTTTTTATGTTATTAAAGATACCCACCTGTAAAATTATAATTCTAAGCTTTGCCACATTAGGGAAATATTTTCTTTTATATTAGTCCCCTTATTGTAAGTTAGGTTTTTGGAGTTTAAGTGTGTTGGGCCTCCAAAATAGCCTCAGAGATTTGATTGTAGTGTGCTCACAGCATATTGCTGTAATAATGGTAGCATCTGGGTATAGGTTTGATGACAGCAATCTGGTGTAATGTCAATTTAGTAGATTATTAAGTAATACTTTTATTTTCCAAAATACCCTAAAGATTTTCAATTTTGTCTCATTTATGTAAAACCATAAGTCAAAGTACAGATGGAATAATTTCAGTCTTAGGTCAGGAAATTTGCCCAGTTTTTACAAATTTACCAAAAGTAATAATTGAAAGTGTATTTTATCCAAAATATATCCCAAATCTCTTATACTATTAAAGGGTGCTGAATTCTTCCAATGTTATAAAAACTTGCTGAGAACTACCTTAAGGCTCTATTATATAATTGCTATTATCATTCAAGATATGCTATAATTTGAACATGAAAAATAAATTGGTTGTTTTACTGTATATACATAAATTGTGTATAAATTTTTTGTGTTGGCAAATAGGTATGTAATGATACATAAAGTTAAATTCCTCTTATAGTTTCAGAAGAGAGATAGAGTGATTACATTAAAAACTAGAGCCCTGGCCAATTTTGCTCAGTGGTTAGAGCGTAGGCCCACGGACCAGGGAGTCCCAGGTTCATTCCCACTAAGGGCATGTACCTTGGTTGCAGTTCATCCCCAGCCCCGGTGGGGGTCATGCAGGTGGCAACCAATCAATGTGTCTCTCTCACATCGATGTTTCTGTCTCTCTCTTCCTCTTTCTTTCCCTCCCACTCTATCTGAAAGTAAATGCAAAAATATCCTCTGGTGAGGATGAAAAAAACAAAACAAAACTAGACTTCAGAGCATGATATAATAGGAAGAGCCTGAATTTGGAATCAGATGATTTGATCATAGTCTAAATCCACCCTTAAAAAGTGGTACAAGTTTGGGACAGTTATTAAAATTTTTATGGTTTTTAATGTTCTTCTATAATTTCTTTTTTTAAATTTATTCCTTATGTAGATCAAATAATAAACCTACATGTAAGGAGATGGTTTGTAAAAAAAATAAATAAATAACAGGCTCCCCAAACATAACTATTTTTATTATTATTATTTTAAAATATGTTTTTATTGATTTTTTAGGAAGGGAGAGAGAAATATCCATGTGAAAGAGAAACATCTATTAGTTGCCTCCTGCACACCCCCTACTGGGGATTGAGCCTACAACCTGGGCATGTGCCCCGGCCAGTAATCAAACCAGGACCTCTCAGTCCATGGGATGAAGCTCAACCTAGTAAGCCACACTAGCTGGGCATAACTATTATTATTAATGTGGCAAACTAGAAGTTACTATTGGCAAATTTCATAATATCTATTGTCCACTAGTATCAGAATCTTCTTTATGATTCACTGAATAAAAATATACTTGAGTTTCTCAAAGCAACAGATTCATAGATAGAGAGAACAAACTGACATTTGCCAGATGTGAGGGGTATTGGGGGGCTGGGTGGAAAAGATGAAGGGAATAAGTACAAATTGGTAGTTACAAAAAAGTCACGGGGATGTAAAGAACAGCATATCCCTATTATTTCCATAGAGTCAGTGATATTGTATTAACTATGTATGGTGCCAGATGGGTATTAGACTTATGTTGGGGGAGTATTACCTTGTAAGTTATATAAATGTCTAACCATTATGCTGTGCACATAAGACTAATATAATTCTGAATGTTAACTGTAATTGAAAAATAAACATAAGTACAGTGATACCTCGGTTCTCGAACGCCTCGGTTTTCGACCAAATCAGTATTCGACCAGGAGATTCGAGAAACTTGTCTCGGAATCCGAACAAATATTTGGAACTCGAACTTCCGAGATGAGCTGAGTTGAGCCGAATGGCGTTCATTCGGCCCAGCGCGCCTTGCTTGCGTCATCAGTGTGAGTGCAGAGAGAGAGTCACGCTTTGTGGAGTCACGCTTTCCTATTGGTTTCATTGCTTCGGTTCTCGAACAATTCGGTTCTCGACCGTCCTCCTGGAACGAATTATGTTCGAGAACCGAGGTATCACTGTAAATATTTTAAAAATACATATGAATTATTCATATCCTATATTTCCTAAGGGGTCCTATTTCATTAGAGTTCCTTCTTTTTAAGGCTGAACAATATTCCTGTGTGTGTGTGTGTGTCACATTTTCTTTATCTATATTTGTCAACAAACACTTAAGTTGTTCCCATACCTTGGCCATTATGAATGCTGCAGTGAACATGGGGGTACAGATATCTCTTTCAGATAGTGATTTCGTTGGCCATCTGTTTCTTCCTTTGCAACATTTATATCTCTTTTTTGTCTCACTCTGCTAAGACTTCCAGCACCTTGTTCAACAGAAGCAGTGATAGTTCCATCCTTGTCTTGTTTCTGATGGTAAAGGAAATCCTTTAATGTTTTGCCCTTAAAAGTGATGTAAATATCATTTCATTGTTTACATCACTTTAAATGATGAATCATTTTCAATGTTTATATCATTCTCAATGGTGAAACGTTAGAGAATTTACTTGATTGGGTTGAAGAAGCTTCTTCTTGTTCTGAGTTGGCTAAGAGCTTTTGACCATAAGTGAGGATTAAATTTTACTAACTTTTTTCTGCAACTATTAAGATACCTACACCTTAAATATACAGAATGTATCTTTACTAAAAGTGTATAGTCCTATAATCTAAACATAAATTGCTTTACTATTGTGAACATGTTGTATATGCATTACATTATTTATTTATTTTTTATCCTCACCTGAGGACATTTTTCCACTTTTTGTTCAGATAGAGTGGGAGGGAGGGAGGGAGGAAGGGAGGGAGGGAGGGAGGGGGAGAGAGTTAGAGAGAGAGAGAGAGAGAGAGAGAGAGAGAGAGATCAACTGACTGCCTTCTGAGCAGCCCCAGTCGGTGTCGAACCTGTAACCCAGGTACTTGTCCTTGACTGGGTATTGAACCCTTGGTCCTTCCATCCAAGGGCTGATGCTCTAACTGCTGAGCCAAACTGACCAGGGCATGACTTTAGTTTTTAATCTTATTTATGATTCATACATTTGAGAACACTAATGTTGTCTTTAATTTCAAATCCAATTATTTCCTTAACGTGAATCCCTGGAAATGGAATTATTTTCTATAAGGATTTTTTTAAATTAATAATTTTTCTTTATTGATTTTAGAGAAAGAGGAAGGGAGAGGGAGAGAGATAGAGACATTGATGAGAGAGAACATCGATTGACTACCTCCTACATGCCCCCCACTGGGGATTGGGCCCATAACCTGTGCAAGTGCCTTGACTGGGAATCAAACTTGCGACCTCTTGGTGCATGGGTGTTGACGCTCAACCACTGAGCCACACCAGCTGGTCATAAGGATTTTTTTAGCTCTATGTTCACTACCATGGTATGAGAGTACTATGTTCACACCAACCTTATCATCACGGTATATTACTACTGATGTCGTAGTAATATATTTATATTTAATTAGTAATATAAATTAGTAATATATTTAATTAGTAATATAAATTTATATTTATTATTTATATTTATAAATAAATATATTTATACAATGTGATGGGCAAAATAATATTATGTTCTTAATTGCACTTTAAAAATTACTGGTGCTTAGTGGCCACTTGCATATTTTTTATTTTGTGAAATGATTCTCTCTTTTGTCTATTTTCTATTCTTATATTTTACCTCTATATATCAAAGATATCAATAACCTCAAATATATTTACTTTGAACTTAACCAGTTCTGTCAGTGTTTTCCTTGATGGTTTCTTTCATTGCTTTAATGCTTAGAAAATTCTTCCTTGAATTAGATAAATATTTATTCATCTAAGTTTTTTTTTTTAAGATTTTGTTATAAGTTTAAAAATAAGAATAAGAAATATTTTTCCAAATGGTTTGGGAGTTGTCCCAATATCATTATGGAATAGTCTTTCTTTCCCCACTAATTAGAAATGCCACTTACTAGAGTTTCTTCCTGGATTTCCTACTATGTTATTTGATTTGCCTATTATTTTGACAGTATCATACAGTTTTAATGTCTAATATAATTATAACATGTATTAATAATCTCCTTTTGTTATTTTTTTCCTACTCTCATATCTGTAGTCTTCCAGATTTACTTTATAATCAATTTTCCAGGTTCCAAAACAGACCTCTTGAGAAATGAAATGTTATTGTGACTTTTAGAATTATTACTATAGTCTTTTTAGGCAGGAAAGGGTTTATCTTGCCTTTAAGTTTTTTTAAAAAATTATCCTCATTAAAGCTTTATGGTTCCTCCATATACTTTCTGCATATTTTGTTATGTTTTCCCTTAATATTTGTATATTTATAGCCATTGTGAATGAGCTTTTTCATATTTTTACTAGGTTATTATATGTATTGATTTTATAATTTTTACCAGCACCTTAATGAACTCCTTTATTTGTTTTCATTTCGTTATCCTGGGTTTTTTAGGTAGATAAAAGTCTCTTCTGCAAAGAATAAACTTATCTTCTTTCCTATTAGGAGACCTCTTTTTTTCTGTTTCTTTTCATAGTTAACTAGCATTTTTTCCCCCTGTGACATTTCTACACTCTTCTGCAACAGAGGAAAATAGTCTCCTCATATTTGTGTTGATACATATAATAGAGTTACAGTAATTAAGAACTCCAGGGAATGCTGTATAGCCATAAGAATATAAGGAAGTAGAACCCTTGGTTAAAAACAAACAAGGCCTGGCCAGTTTGGCTCAGTGGTTGGAGCATCGGCCTGCAGTCCAGAGAGACCCGGGTTTGGTTCCCGCTAAGGGCACATATCTCGGTTGCAGTTTGTCCCTGGCCCTGGTTGGGTTGTGCGGTTGGCAACCACTCGATGTGTCTCTCTCACATCCGAGTTTCTCTCTCTTTCCCTCCCACTCTGTTTAGAGATAAATGTGAAAAAAAAAAATATCCTCCGATGAGGATTTAAAAAAACAAAAAAACAAAACAGGGCGGGATTGGGAGGAGGGTGTGGCGGGGGGGGGGGGGAGGAGAAACATCTGTAACAATAATAAATTCATAAAAATCGCCAACAAGAACAATGAAACTACCTTTGTGTTGTCATGAATAACATTAAATTTGGTGTTATGCTGCCATCTAGTGGTTTAATCTAAAAAGGGTGGTTGGATGCCCATACGGTGTGGCTCAGGGGTTGAGTGTTGTCCTATGCGCCAGGAGGTCTCTGGTTAAATTCCCGGTCAGCGCACAGGCCTGAGGTGGGGGCTAATCCTCAATGGGAGGTGTGCAGGAGGTGCCAAGTGATGTTCTCTCTCATCGATATTTCTATCTCTCCCTCTCCCTTTTCTAAAATCAATAAAGAAAAATATTTAAATAAATAAAAAGGGTGGTTGGAAAATAAGACATCCCTGTGGACTTCCAAAATACCAGGATGAGCCAGTAGGAAGGGAAGAGGGCTAGAGGGTCTGTGTTTGAAAGTAGAATGTGAAAATGTGAATATAAACAATTGCTGTTTGGATTTACTATTTTTTTTTTTTTTTTTTTTATCCTCACCCGAGGATATTTTTTCCTTTTTTTTTGTACAGATAGAGTGGGAGGGAGAGAGAGAGAGAAACATCGATGTGAAGGGACACATCGAGTGGCTGCCACCCGCACGACCAACCAGGGCCGGGGACAAACTGCAACCAAGGTACGTGCCCTTAGCGGGAACCGAACCCGGGTCTCTCCGGACCGCAGGTCGACACTCTAACCGCTGAGCCAAACCGGCCAGGGCTGGATTTACTATTAATATAACTTCATTAATATTTACAGAATGAATGTACAAATCAACCATCTTTAAATTTTCTCAGATACGCCCTGCTTAAACATGGAACCGATGGCTAATTTTCTTGGTGTGTAATGGGAAACTCTGGGCCTTAAGATTGTCAGGAACTTAACAGGTTCAGATAAACAATCTCTTAGAGGCTAGATGATATAACACATTCTTTTTCAACTCTTCATGTTAGCAGCAGGCAAAGGAATGGTCCTTGGCTGCTTTACATTACATATTTATAAGCATATGCATACCAATGATGTAGTTGGTCATGGGAGACATCACTCTGTGCTATCCCTCCTCATGCCATTCTAATATTACTTAACTGAAATACCACTGCCCAGAACAAGACCATTGCCCCCCTTCAAGGTGCCTTTTGCTTTCGGGAGCCTGGCTTTCTGAGTAGTTCCTCATCTGAGCTTACATTTTCCTCTTTTTCTTTCCACTCAAGGTCAGTTTGAAGAATGGGGCCAGGTTTTATGCTTCCTCCCTTGGTTCAGAAACTGTTAAAGGCCCGACACAATTAGCTACGATCCTAAAGTAACTCAAACGTGGTAGGATGGGGACAGAGAGCAGAAATTTATTCCAGCAATTAACTGTTAGCAGTAGTGTTTCCTAATGTGTAAGATATATCACACTTCTCAAATAGATACTTTGCCAGATGATTTTCATTGTATCTAATTTTATAGCAACATGCTTTAACAACTTGAGAATGTTAGACTCAAAGTTGGTCTCACTTGTAGGCTTTGCAGACCATCTCCATTTCCTACATATCAGAGTCTCTGGGGATGAATTAGAGACCTTAAGAAGCAAAACGATGCAGAGAAGAAAAAACTACAGTTTTTTCATCAAAAGTCAAATGCTTTTATTTCTTTATAATTTTGTTTAGGCTACCCATGGTTATTTTGAAGCATAAAGACCACAAGAGATTTTCCTCCATTGATCAGACTAATTTATGTTGAAAATGTATGAGCCATTATAACTCTTTCAGGATATTTGGTTACTATTCAGTGTACTAAATAATATTAAAATTTATTGAGCTTTTACCTGTTTACCAGCACTATGCTACATGCTTTATATGCACGGTACAATGAAGAACTAAAGAATTAAAACTGTGTTTGGAAACCCCAATATATTTTTTTAATCCTCACCCGAGGATATTTTTTTCCATTTATTTTTAGAGAGAATGGGAGAGGGTGGGAGGAGAGAGAAAGAGAGAGAGAGAGAGAAACACCGATGTGAGAGAGACACATCGACTGGTCGCCCTCCATACAACCCTGACTAGTGCCAGGGACCGAACCGCAACTGAGGTACAACTGAAGTATGTGCCCTTGACCAGAATCAAACCCGAGACTCTTTGGTCCGTAGGCTGACGCTCTAACCGCTGAGCAAAACTGGCCAGGGCTGGAAACCCCAACTTTATCTAATGGCTCACTGCAGTAACTATCTAGATCTTGTTGTGTAACTTTCAGATTTTTTCTTAGTCTTTTACATTTTGTATTTTTTTTTCAGGTTTGTTTATTGATGATGAAGAAATAATTTTCACAAATAATTTGATGACCTATAAAAGTCATCTACCAACCTTGCAGACTCTGTTGAGTAGGCTAAAACTGTTTTTGATAAAGGACCCCCTTTTAGATTTCAAAGAACAAATCTTCACAGAAGCTGATTTTTTCAGGTACTTAATTGCCCAATGTTGTAAATATTTTTAAGAGGAGACAATATTCTTTGGGTGCTCACATGTCTAGATATTACCAATAATAATATTTTATCATTGCTCTACCTCAACTCTAATTTTAATCATTATGTATCTTTATTGGATACATTTAGGATGTAACTTGCTATTCATAAATATTCATTTAATGTTTTATTTTCTTGTTAAGGGAATGTTTCTCTTTCCAAGGAGATTTGAAAGATCTTATGAAAGAAGATTTTTACATGGATAAAGAGAACTTTTGTCAGGAGAAGCTAGAAGATATAGTAGGTGTAAATGAAGCTATAGTACTTGCTTTCAGTAATATTTTTATAAAAATAGTAAAGCACACTTTAAAAAAGTTTAGTAATATATATGCTTTCGCCATCAACTATTATCAAGTTAAAAAGACTTTATAATGGCTTGAATATGTATCAGCTAAGAAATCAAATTTACTCCTAAAGTAGTAGTTCTAAACTTTGGCAACACATTGGAATTACTTGGGGAATTTTAATATAATACTGAAGCCCGGGTCCTACCCAGATACATTCTGATTTCATTGCTCTGGTGTGCAGCCCAGTTATAGGGAATTTAAAAACCTCTCCCAATGATTTTAATAATTAAACCTGGTATAGGACATAAAGTTATCATGTTCTAATTTAATAATTGGAGACTGAGCACTGACTGGGTGGCTTATTTGGTTGGAGCATTGACCCCATGCATCAAAAGGTTGCAGGTTCTATTCCCAGTTGGGGCACCTATCTAGGTTAAGGGTTTGATCCCCAATCGGGCAATTACAGTGAACAACCAATTGATGTTTTTCAAATCGATGTTTCTCTCTCTCTCTCTAAAAATTTATAAAAATATATCCTCCATTGAGGATTAAAAGAAAATTGGAGACTAGAGCTAGAAATTTTGATTTGTGAGTTATACACAAAACAGATCATACTTGAACTATAAGAGAAATAATCTCATTTAAGGAAAAAAAATAAGAACAGTCTGAGATTGCATTTTAGATGCTGCCAGTGATTAATAGGGAAGATAGCATCTTTGCATATTAAAGGTCAGTCTTCTCAAGGGCAGCTCCTCTTTTCAGCATACAGTTCCAGTAGTACACAAAACTGTCCTGTGATATAAAGAATTCTGGCAGTTGAGAGTGAGAATAACTTTTCACAATTAATAAGCTCAAAAAACTAGGCCCATGCAGATTAGATGCATTTACAAAATTACTTTTAAACATTTTTTGAAAATTTTTATATATGGGGCTTTTCTTTTTTTTTTTTTTTATCCTCACCCGAGGATATTTTTCCATTTTTTGTACAGATAGAGTGGGAGGGAGAGAGAGAGAAACATCGACGTGAAGGGACACATCGAGTGGCTGCCACCCGCACGACCAACCAGGGCCGGGGACAAACTGCAACCGAAGTACGTGCCCTTAGCGGAAACCGAACCCGGGTATCTCCGGACCGCAGGCCGACGCTCTAACTGCTGAGCCAAACCGGCCAGGGCATATGGGGCTTTTCTTAAAACATTCAAAGGAGACACAGATATAGATTAGATATAAGTATAGGTACAGATAAAGATACCAGATATAGAAGTCTTAAGGCATTTAAAGGGTTTCCTTACAATAAAAAAACATGTAGCAAAAATATAATTCACCTATTAACCCCTTTTCTACATTCCCCCTCTAACTCCCCCATCAACTTTGAGAGTTGTGCACACAAGATAGTCTCATGTGTTGAGGAGTCCAGTTCTGTAGAAATGAAAGAGAAACATTCCAGGGATTGTAGTAAAAATCCATTCCATTCCATCTCCCCCTTTTCCCTTCTCCACATTCACCATTTCTCATCTGCTGCAGTGACTGTGTTTAATTTAGAATTAAAAAATGTTTTAGCCCAAAAGAAGATATTCCTGTATCTAGGGATATTGTACATCACTATTATAATCAGTGATCATGCAGGACACCAGTCAAAACACTGCTTATTATATAGCATAATATATTTTTGGCTGCTACACTTCTATTTTTTAAAGGTATGCATAGATTTACAATTTTTGAAGGTGGGTTTCATTTAAAATTGTTACACTAATTAATTAAATATATATATTTATGAATTCAGGAATCTTTATTTGGAAAACCTAACTAAAACCTTGTTTTACTTATATATCAACTCAGCCACCATTTTTTCCTGAGTGTGAATTAATAGCTGCAAGCTTCAAACAAGAAGTTGGTATTCCATCACTTTCAGAACTGAAGGAGTCATTAAACTTAATGCCAGAAATAATAACTTATGGAGATGAAAATGAATATGAAAAGCTTTTCAAAAGAGGTGAGAATTAATTTAAAAATTTATTACTTATAAAAATTACTTAATAATGTTTGTTATAAAAATTCTTGTTCATTAAACTTTTTTCTGAACCTCCAGATTTTTAAAAAGTGTTCTCAGAGTTATTATTAGTAAGACTCTTTCTCATCTTTCTCTTTATATGCTTGCAAGCTTAAAATGTCTCTAAAATTAGTCTAACCATTTCAAGATATACAAATAAAGCTGACACATCTATGACTATACTAATTTTTTACTTGTTTTCTTATATAGAATGGCAAAGCACTAGCAACTTATATGCTAACTGTAGTTAGGTATGGAGAAGCTCAGAGTAATATGATTCATGGAATCAGATGACTGGGAGAATCATAACCTAAAACTAAGATGGTTTCATCTCAGTTAGACTTAGTAAAATATTGTTGAATTCTTTTTCATGAGAATTTGAGCCCAGATTGTCTCCTCTGATAAATTTCACTTGAAATGATGAAAGATATATTCAGTGAGGGAGGAGTGAAGGGGACACTGATGCTTGTTATCAGTAGACCACAGACTTGAAGAAATTTTTGCAGACAAGACTAAAGGGGGTTATTGATCAGCCTATAAGTCAAAGCAAGGGAATGAAAAGCCAACCTGAGTAAGTGAATCAAATTTATATCAAAACTTGAAAATATAGCAGAGCTCAGAATTGCAGGGTTGTCCATGGGCTTTTCAGCAGAACACAAATCTATGAATGCTAATGGAAAAGACAAGTGACTTTACTGGATGACTGTGGTATCACACTCCCAGCCTTCACTTGGCTCTGATGGTGACTAAGTAAGACAGAGTCGTTGCCACAGAGGAATGAACAAGATTACAACAAGGCTGATATAATAGTACTTTGGCTGATAGTAGACTTCCTTCCATTTCTTTCCAGATCTTACTACCAAGCATGCAATTGACATTGAGGATATAAAATGCAGCTCCACAGAGATTTTGACCATTCAAAGCCAGTGCAAACCAGAGTGCCATGAACCAGGTAGAAATTTTGAATAAATTACTGAGTTTATCAGAAGTTACCTATATATGATGTAAAAGTACAATGCATTCACATAAAAAGTCTACTGTGAGACAGTTTTCCTGTTTAGAATTTGATTAGAATCCAAGGTGTTATATTTTCTCTTACCTATTTTTTTTTTATCCTCACCCAAGGACATATTTTCATTTTTTGTTCAGATAGAGTGGGAGAGAGAGAGAGACACATTGACATGAAAAGGACACATCAAGTGGTTGCCACCTACACGACCCAACCAGGGCCGGGGACAAACTGCAATCAAGGGACGTGCCCTTAACGGGAACCGAACCTGGGTCTCTCTGGACCACAGGTTGATGCTCTAACCACTGAGCAAAACTGGCCAGGGTTCTTTTAACTATTTTTTTACATGTGTTACTATCATTAACTTATTATCCTTCTAGCATCAAAACTGAATAATATACAGACAGAATTACACATATTAAGAAAAATGGAATAGCATTAATATTAAAAATAGAAATCTTATAACTCAGTAAATAAAATTTTATATTTTATCTCAGAATAAATAATCTTGCTAATCCTTATTACATTTTTGTAAATTTAACTTTTTAACCTCCCAAAGCAATTCTACCATTATTGTTAATGTTACAATCCTATCAAATTTGGAACCTTAGAATCATCTTTTATTCTAGTGTAATGCTAAATTGTATTGCTTCTTTTTTTAATTTTATTATTTTTTTTTAATTTTATTTTTGTTACAGATGTTTCTCCTTTTTTACTCCATTGACACCCTCCTCCCCATCCTCCCCACTTCATCCCCTGCTTTGTTGTCCATGTCCATTGGTTATGCGTACATGCATATAAGTTCTGTGGCTTATCTCTTCCCTCCCCTCCACCACACCCTCTTCTGAGGGTTGTCAGTCTGTACCCTACTTACAGACTGTACCCTACTTACATCTCTGGGTCTACCCTATTCCTCAGACTGTTATGTTCATTATATTCCACGAATAAGTGAGATCATGTAGTATTTGTCTTTTTCTGCATGGCTTGTTTTGCTTAGGATAATACTTTCCAGGTACCTTCATGTCATCTCAAAGGATAAGAGATCTTTCTTTCTTACAGCTGCATAGCACTCCATTGTTTATATGTACCATGGCTTTTTTATTCATTCATCTACTGATGGACACTTGGGCTGTTTCCAGATCTTAGCTATTGTAAATAGTGTTGCTATGAACATGCGGGCACATATATTCTTTCTGATTAGTGTTTCAGGGTTCTTAGGGTATATTCCTAGGAGTGCAATAACTGGGTCAAATGGCAGTTCAAGTTTTAATTTTTTGAGGTAACACCATATTGTTTTCCATAGTGGCTGCACCAGTCTGCATTCCCACCAGCAGTGTACTAGAGTCCCTTTTCTCCACATCCTCGCCAACACTTGTTGTTTGATGATTTGTTGATGACGGCCATTCTGACAGGTGTGAGGTGATATCTCATAGTTGTTTTAATTTGCATCTCTCTGATGATTAGAGATGTTGAACATTTCTTCATATGTCTCTTAGCCATTTGTATGTGCTGTTTGGAGAGGGTGTCTATTCAGCTCCTCTGCCCATTTTTAAATTGGGTTTTATGTCTTCCTTTTGTTGAGTTGTATGAGTATTCTATATATTTTGGAAATTAACCCCTTATCTGATGTATCATTGGCAATGATGCGCTCCCATACAGTGGGTTGCCTTTCCATTTTGATGGTTGTATCTTTTGCTGTGCAGAAACTTTTTAGTTTGATGTAGTCCCATGTGTTCATTTTTTCCTTTGTTTCTGTTGCCTTAGGTGATGCATCAGTGAAAATTCTGCTGAGTATGCTGTCCGAAATTTTGTAGCCTACATTTTCTTCTAGAATTTTTATGGATTCACGGGTCACATTTAAGAAAAGACTTAAGACTGTTATGTTCATTATATTCCACGAATAAGTGAGATCATGTAGTATTTGTCTTTTTCTGCATGGCTTGTTTTGCTTAGGATAATACTTTCCAGGTCCCTTCATGTCGTCTCAAAGGATAAGAGATCTTTCTTTCTTACAGCTGCATAGCACTCTTTAAGTCTTTTCTTTAAGAAAAGACTTAAATGTGACCCGTGAATCCATAAAACCATTTTGAGTTTATTTTTGTTTATGGTATAAGTTGATGGTCTAGTTTCATTTTTTTGCATGTAGCTGTCCAATTTTCCCAACACCATTTATTAAAGAGGCTGTCCTTACTCCACTGTATGCTCCTGCCACCTTTGTCAAATATTAATTGAGCATAATGTCTTGGATCCATTTCTGGGTTCTCTGTTCTGTTCCACTGGTCTATGTGCCTGTTTTGTGCCAGTAAAAGGCTGTTTTGGTTACAGTGCCTTTGTAGTATAACCTGATATTTGGTATTGTGATTCCACCTACTTTTTACTTTTTCCTTCTTTTTCAAGATTGCTATGGCTATTTGGGGTCTTTTTTGGTTCCATATGAAATTTTGAAGTATTTGTTCTAGTTCTGTGAAATATGTCATTGGTATTTTGATGGGGATTGCATTGAATCTATAGATTGCTTTGGGTAATATGGACATTTTAATGATGTTAATTCTTCCAATCCATGAAAAAGGTATGTGCTTTCATTTTTTTATATCTTCTTCTATTTATTTTTTTCAATGACATGTAGTTTTCTGCAAAAAGGTCCTTTACTTCTTTGGTTAAGTTTATTCCTAGGTATCTTAATTTTTGCCACGATGGTAAATGGAATTGTTTTTTTAGTTTCTCTTTCTGTGAGTTCATCATTGGTGTATAAGAATGCCGTCGATTTCTTGACATTAATTTTGTATCCTGCTACTTTGCTAAATTGATTTATTAAGTCTAGTAGATTTTTGATGGAGTTATTAGGGTTTTCTATATATAATATCATGTCATCTGCAAATAATGACAGTTTCACTTCCTCCTTTCCAATTTGGATCCCTTTTATTTTTTCTTCATGTCTGATTGCTGTGGCTAAGACTTCCAGTACTATGTTAAATAAGAGTGGCGAAAGTGGGCATCCCTGTCTTGTACCTGTTCTTAAGAAAAATGCTTTTAGTTTCTGTCCATTGAGTATGATGTTGGCTGTAGGTCTTTCATATATGGCCTTTATTATGTCGAGATATGATCCCTCTATTCCCACATTGCTGAGCATTTTTATCAGAAATGGATGTTGGATTTTGTTGAATGCTTTTTCAGCATCTATTGATATGATCATGTGGTTTTTATTCTTCATTTAATTTATGTGGTGTATCACATTTATTGATTTGCGAATATTGTACCAGCCTTGCATCCCTGGGATGAATCCCACTTGGTCATGGTGAAGAATTTTTTTGATATATAGCTGGATTCAATTTGCTAGTATTTTGTTCAGGATTTTGGCGTCTATGTTCATCAGGGATACTGGCCTGTAGTTTTCTTTCTTTGTAGTGTCTTTCTCTGGTTTTAGAATTAGAATTATGCTGGCCTGATAAAACGAGTTTGGAAGTCTTCCTTCTTCTTGCATTTTTTGAAATAGTTTGAGGAGAATGGATATTAGTTCTTTTTTGAATGTGCGGTAAAACTCCCCCGTGAAGCCATCCGGGCCTGGGCTTTTGTTTGCTGGGAGAATCTTGATTACCTCTTCAATTTCCTTAGTTGTTATTGGTCTGTTCAAGTTTTGTATCTTTTCCAGGTCCAGTTTTGGGAGACTGTGTTTCTAGAAATTTGTCCATTTTGCTTAGATTATCGAATTTGTTGCTATATAATTGCTCATAGTAGTTGTTAACGATCTTTTGTATTTCTGTGGTGTCAGTTGTGACTTCTCCTCTTTCATTTCTGATTTTGTGTATTTGGGTTCTCTCTCTTTGTTTCTTGGTGAGTCTAGCTAAGGGTCCATCAATATTGTTTATCTTTTCAAAAAACCAGCTCTTTGTTTCATTGATCCTTTGAATTGTTTTTTTGTGTGTGTGTTTTTTTGTCTCTATGTCATTTATTTCTGCTCTTATCTTTACTATTTCCTTCCTTCTACTTGCTCTGGGGTTTTCTTTTCTTTTTTTTTTTTTTTTTTTTATCCTCACTCGAGGACACCTTTTTGTTCAGATAGAGAGGAGGGAGAGAGAGGAAGAGAGAGAGAGAAACATCGACGTGAAGGGACACATCGAGTGGCCGCCACCCGCACGACCAACCAGGGCCGGGGACAAACTGCAACCGAGGTATGTGCCCTTAGCGGGAACTGAACCCGGTCTCTCGGGACCGCAGGCCGACGCTCTAACCACTGAGCCAAAATGGCCAGGGCGCTCTGGGGTTTTCTTTTTGTTTGCTTTCTAATTCTTAAAGTTGTCAATTGGAAATTTTTCTTGTTTCTTGAGGTAGGCCTGTAGTGCTATGAACTTCCCTCTTAGAACTGCTTTTGCTGCATCCCATAGATTTTGTGTTGTTGTGTGTTCATTTTCATTTGTTTCCAGGAAGTTTTTAATTTCTTTCTTGATCTCCTTGGTAACCCATTCATTGTTTAATAACATGCTATTTAGCCTCCATGTGTTCAAATGTCTTTGCATGTTCTTGTAGCAATTGATTTCTAGTTTCATACCATTGTGATCTGAGAAGATGCTTGATATGATTTCAATATTCTTGAACTTGTAGAGATTTAATTTGTGTCCTATCATGTAGTCTATCTTTGAGAATTTCCCATGTGCACTTGAGAAGAATGTGAGTTCTGTAGTTTTGGGGTGTAATTCTCTGTAGATATGTATTAAATCTATTTGGTCTAGTGCTTTATTTAGACTCTCTGCTTCCTTGCTAATTTTTTGTCTAGAGGATCTATTCATGATGTCAGTGGGGTGTTGAAGTCCCCTGCTATGATTGTATTGCTGTTGATTTCTCCTTTGAAGTCCTCCAGAAGATTTTTAATATATTTTGGTGCTCCTATATTGGGTGCATATATATTTGTCAAGGTTATATCTTCCTGTTGGATAGTTCCTTTCGATATTATGTAGCGGCCTTCTTTGTCTCTAGTTATGACCTTTCATGCTTTCTTATCCAATCAGCTACTCTGTGTCTTTTTATCAGAACATTCAGTTCATTTACATTTAAGGTCATTATTGATATGTACTTATTTATTGCCATTTTTGTTTAGTTTGGTTATATTTTTCTTCCTATTTCTTATACTAATTAGAACAGTCCTTTTAACATTTCTTGCAGTGCTGGTTTGGTGCTAATGTATTCTCTTAGCCCTTTTTTTTTTGTCTGGAAAGCTCTGTATTTGACCTTCCATTTTTAATGATAGCCTTGCTGGGTAGAGTAGTCTTGGATTCAGATCCTTGTTTTTCATGACCTTGATTACTTCATGCCATTCCCTTCTGGCCTGTAGTGTTTCTGTTGAGAAGTCAGCTGATTGCCTTATGGGGTTCCTTTGTAGGTAACCTGTTGCTTATCTCTTGCTGCTTTTAGGATTCTCTCTTTGTCTTTAATTTATGGCATTTTAATTACTATGTGTCTTGGTGTGGGCCTGTTTGGGTTCTTTTTACTTAGGGCTCTCTGTGCTTCTTGAACTTGAATGCCTTCTTCCTTCACCTAATTAGGGAAGTTTTCTGTCACTATTTCTTCAAATATATTCTCTAACCTTTGCCCATTTTCTTCCCCTTTGGGGACTCCTATGATGCGAATGTTACTACGTTTACAGTTGTCCCACAGTTCTCTTAAGCTGTCTTCCTGTTTTTTAATTGTTTTTTTTTCCTTTTGGTTTTCTGTTCTGTCTTCTAATTCACTTATCTGGTCCTCAGCTTCCTCTACTCTGCTGTTTAGACCTTCCAATGTGTTCTTTATTTCTGATATGTCATTCTTCATTTCTTCTTGGTGGTTTTTAATTTCCAATCGGTTGATTTTCAACATTTCTATATCTTTACTCATGGTGTTGATGTCCTTACTTATGCTGTTGAGCTTCCTCAAGATCATGGCGCTGAATTCTAGCTCTGTTAACTTGCTTAACTGCTCCACATTTATCTCATCTTCGGTAGAAGTCCCTTGTTCTTTTATTTGGATTTTGTTTCTTTGTTTCACCATTTTGGCTATCACAGTGGGATTTGGAGCCTGCCAAATTTTCTGTGTGGGTGTTGGTGTTCTGCTGTTTGTGGCTCCCTCTCCTGGGTTTGGATGAGTGAGGGAGGACCCACGTTAAACACCACTGACAAGCCTTACTTTCATGGTTAGAGTTGCTAGCCCAGGAATAGTTCAGTTATCCTCTAGCTTTTTGCCTGGAGGCTATCAGTAGTGGTTACTTGAAAAGCCTTGGGTTCTCAATTGAATGAAAAACTCCTTAAGGCCCTGACCGGTTTGGCTCAGCAGTTAGAACATTAGCCTGCGGTCCAGAGACACCCAGTGCAGTTCCCGCTAAGGGCATGTACCTTGGTTGTAGTTTGTCCCCAGCCCTGTTTGGGTCATGCGGGAGGTAGCCACTCGATGTGTCCCTTTCACATTGATGTTTCTCTCTCTCTCTCCCTCCCACTCTATCTGAACAAAAAATGAAAAAAAATGTCCTCGGGTGAGGATGAAAAACTCCCTTAGGTGCTCAGCATAAGGGGATTTCCTGAGGGTGGGGCAGATGCTGGTTGTTAATGAGCATCAATTTGCATGTCAATGGCCCACCTGGGTGGGGTTGAATATCTGAGGGAGGGGCCGCCTCTCCCCAGAGCCCTGGGAAGGAGAAAGATGGCCACTGTCCTGCGTGGCTGCAACTTAGCAAAAGCTCTGAGCCCCCTCCAAATCCCGAGTGTCCCTACACAGTTCCAGTCTAGTCTGCCCTACTTCTGCCGGAGCCCAAGGTGAGTGGCTGTGGCTATTTTAGCGTCTGTCCCAGCTCTGCGCTGTGGAGCCGCTTGGGAGTTTAACCTGAGGGTGCTGCTCACAGCTAAGGCCGCTGCTGTCTGTGGACTCATAGCCCCCCTCTCGTGCCTCCACAACCCTACCAGGATCGAGTCAGTGTCCCTGGTTATATGATCCTCACAAGCTGCTTTTCTGTTGCTTTTTTCCTGATGATTTGTCTTTATTTTAGCTGTAATTCCAGTTTGGATCTGGGAGACAGTCTGTGTAGCTTCCATTCACTCCGCTGCCATTTTGGAATCTCTTGCTTCTTAACTATGTTGATGACACTGCTATTTATCACATTTATAATTGGATTATGTTGATCATCTATTTGGAAGTTTATTTCTTTGTTTATGAATGTAATAGAAGCATACTGACTACTTAGGAATAAATGAGTATCAATTTGTCAAGTCCACCCTAAAAATACATAACTCTGCTAGGTCACCTAGACTCCAGATTTATTAAGATGAAAGATTACTCACCATTAATACTATTTACTTAACATCACCAATATTTAGTATGGGGATTAAAATAGTACTATCTCCGCCCAGCTGGTGTGGCTCAGTGGTTGAGTGTTGACCCATGCATTAAGAGGTCACAGGTTGTATTCCTGGTCAGGGCACATGCCCAGGTTGTGGGCCATATGCCCAGTGGGGGGCCTGCAGGAGGCAGCCAGTCGTTCTCTCTCATCGATGTTTCTATCTCTCTCCCTCTCCCTTCCTCTCTCTCTAAAAAAATTTTTATTTATTAATTTGTTTTTGTTACAGATGTTTCTCATTTTTCCCACATTGACACCCTCCTCCCCTTCCCTCCCGCCCCATCCCCAGCTTTGTTGTCTATGTTCATTGGTCATGCATACATGCATGTAAGTTCTGTGGTTTATCTCTTCCCCCCAAAACCCCCTCCTCTGAGGCTTGTCAGTCTGTACTCCACCTCTATGTCTCTGGGTTAATTTTGTTCAGCAGTTTGTTTAGTTCATTATATTCCACAAATAAGTGAGATCATGTGATATTTGTCTTTCTCTGCTTGGCTTGTTTTGCTTAGCATAATACTCTCCAGGTCCTTCCATGCCATCTCAAAGGATAAGAGATCTTTCTTTCTTACAGCTGCATAGTACTCCATTGTATACATGTACCACAGCTTTTTTATCCATTCATCTACTGATGGACTCTTGGGCTGTTTCCAGATCTTAGCTATTGTAAATAGTGCTGCTATGAACATAGGGGTACATATATTCTTTCTGATTGGTTTTTCAGGTTTCTTAGGGTATATTCCTAGAAGTGGGATCACTGGGTCAAATGGCAGTTCCATTTTTAACTTTTTGAGGTAACACCATATTGTTTTCCACGGTGGCTGCACCAGTCTGCATTCTTACCAGCACTGTACTAAGGTCCCCTTTTCTCCACACCCTCGCCAACACTTGTTGTTTAATGATTTGTTGATGGCGGCCATTCTGACAGGTGTGAGGTGATACCTCATAGTTGTTTTAATTTGCATCTCTCTGGTGATGAATGATGTTGAGCATTTCTTCATATGTCTCTTAGCCATTTGTATGTCCTGTTTGGAGAGGTGTCTATTTAGGTCCTCTGCCCATTTTTTAATTGAGTTCTTTGTCTTCCTTTTGTTGAGTTGTATGAGCACTCTATATATTTTGGAAATTAACCCCTTACCTGATGCATCATTGGCGATTATGGTCTCCCATATAGTGGGATTCCTTTCTGTTTTGATGGTTGTTTCTTTTTCTGTGCAGAAGCTTTTTAATTAGATGTAGTCCCATGTGTTCATTTTTTCCTTTGTTTCTCATAATGATCAAACAGAATAGTTGCTAACAAAAAGTTCTAAAGTATACTTAATTTTATTCAATGTTTATGTAATATGATTTTTAAATTTTTATGTATTCTAGAAGTATTAGAAGAAGAATTAGAAATGCCATTATCTTTTCTACACCTAACAAACCAACATTCTCCTGTGAATTCATTATGTACAGGACTTCAGACATTTCCATTTTCTCCTGTTTGTAAAATGTAAGTAAAGATTATATCTAGAACTCCAATTGCAATTCAAATCAAGCAGTCTTTAATTAAATCTCTCCGTGTAAAGGCAATTTCCAAGATACCTCTGTGAAAAAAAATCTAAGAGATAGAACAGTGTCTAAAGTAAGCAGTTGGAGAGAATATGTGAATATACATATACATACTTGTTTTTATATGCACAGACTATCTTCAGGACACAGAAGAATCAGGTAATGTTAGTTCTGTCGAGAAGGGAACTGGGGAATCTGGACATATGGAAGCTAGTAAGTGATAGAGCCAGGCACTTTTATATGTTAGTATTTTAAATGTGAATATATTACCCTTTAAAATAAAGAACTTGAAAATTTTAAAAGATTCTGGCATTGGAACAATCTTCTTAGGATATTGCCACTGGATGCTTGCCAAGGCACTGCCTCTGTTTGTCACTCACTGCCACGAAAGACAGCATAGTGGTGTATTAGTTTGCTAGGGCTTCCATAACAAATGTCATGCCTTTAATACACAGTCTATGGTAAATAAATTTAATTTTGTTCCTTCACATGAGGCCAAAAGTCCAAGATCAAGATATTGGCAAAGTTGGATTTATAATGAGACCTCTCTTCTTGGCTTGTAGATGGCTGTCTTGTCATGGTCTTTTCTCCGTGCATGTCGGTGTCCTAATTCCTTCTTCTTACAAGGACACCAGTCCTATTGGTTTAACTTAATTACTTCTTTAAAGACCTTATCTCCAAATAGTAACATTCTGCGGTACTGAGAATTAGGGCTTCAATATGTGGATTTTGGGCCACAATAGCCCCAAACTTCTATCACTGTAACCTTAATTGCCCTGTACCTCAGTTTCCTTACCTGTGATATTAGAATAATAATATTTCATACCTCACAGGGTTGTTATGAGGTCTCTGACCAGGAATAACCAAGGATCACAGAGCATTGTGGACAGTGGTTGACCAATAAATTTGGCTATCAACTTACTCCCCTAGGAGTATCAAGATCACATCCTATCTCTAACAGCAGTCATCCACTGACCTTGTTTACCTCTGTCAATGTGATATTGGTGTTGGGGAAACCAGACATGTAAAACCAAGTATTGATCCACAAATCAGTTCAATATCCCATTGTTACTATACAGAATGGTCTGCACTCTTCTCAGAATTAATATTACAGGTCTGAATTATTGTTTTCTAGTTTGAGCCAACATTGGATAACTTAATAACCCAGCATCTTTGCCCTCTGATAGAGTCTGAGGTAGCTTTGGTTGCTATGTTATACCATGTAGCATAAATGTACATTAATATTTTCTAAGTTAGATAATTTGCTATCTTGGAATAAAGTCACCTATTCCTCTGCTTCTTATGCCACTTACAAAATTAGGAACATAACTAGTATAACACCCTTCTTCCTTACTTTAATCCTGGAATTTAATGTGTCCTGAAGTAGCACATTTCCAGGAAAATTACCAAAAAGTCTATCGGTCTTAAACAAATTATTCCGAGAGTGGGTACTATAGGAGCTAAGTGCAGGGTTTTGAGTTCTTAGCTATGATTGGCTGATCTATCAGAGGAGAATGCTGTTGGGTTATAGGGAACAACTCATCCCCAGCTGCTCAGGCTCCTGTTCATGACCTCAGGAAGGTGTCATGGCATAAGATGAAGGAGCCTGACATTGAGGGTCCCAATCATCTTCATCTTCTGGCAAAGAATTCTATCATTTGGGAGTTTTATCTGTGATACAGAGAACTCTGCCATGAACAAGAACTGCCTGTATCAGACATGAGCCCTAAACAACAGCATGGGGCAAGTATAGAAAGTACCTATAATTGGTCTAAATACCTTGACTCCCTTTGCTAAGGTGCAAGATGTTTATTTGAAGGACCTACACTATCTTTTTTAGTGTTCTTCTACTTTTTTATTTACTTCACATCCCCTAATCCATCTGTTAAGGCAGACTGGCAATCTGAAATAGAAACTAGCAGAAATTAGTATAATCTTGAATTTCAATCTGATATAAAAAATATTTACTTAAACAGTAATAAACTCTTTTTAATCACACAAGTTATATATCTGTTTATTGTTATAACTCAAATATCAAATGAGAATTTATGAAGCTTAAGTCTTATCTACATATTAGGACGTGCCAAAGTTAGAATAAGAGACTTAAATTAACCAAGGTCCTAAAGCAATTTGAAATAATTTAAAGATATCTCATCACTAGTACATTCATTAACAAATGGTAAATTGCTTCCATTTGGTTTGTGAATGATAAAAACTTAAAAAATCCCTATTTTAAAAATGTATTTACACCTTAGCTGTGAGACTGAAAACAAAGAAAAAAAGTATTAAAATAAAAATACAACAGAAGGGGAAAATAATACGTACTATTGTATTTTTAACTTGCTTTTATCCCAATAATTACTTTTGTTTCAGAACACAGTTAACACATATTTCACATATTTTCAGTGCTTGCCACATATAAAACTCTATGCTAAATTTTATGGGGCTAAAAAGAAAAGTCTGTATGGCATAAGATTTTATTTCCATGCTAACTGATTACTAAATCATGAACATATTTTTATATATGTTCAAAGAAGATATCAAATTCAGACATGTCTTCAGAAAATTCCATTAAGCATGAGCATATTTGTCTATATCATGCTCTCCTATTGGACATAGCTTGCTTAAATATTTCCCCTTCCTTTTACTTTGAAATAATTTCCTGCAATCTGAGGTGTCTAGTAGCCAGATACCTTGGTAAGGTTCAAGAATTGTCTAGATTCTCAAATTTTGCCACTACGTGCCACATTTTTGGATTATGTGGGTAAATTGGATGGTTTAGACATAAAACCTAGCTTTCTACTGTCAATTTAACCAGCAGTCCTTATCATTAGCATACTCATATATGTTCATATGAACAGAGAAACAGAATACAATCAATTCTCATTTAGGAAGGAGTAGAAGGTTTGGAGGCATAGATTAAGGGGGTTGTGAATTGATGCTCACATCCCTACCAAGGCTAGCTTCTTCATAGTTGTTGATGTGCTATAATTTACAAGACTGTCTGCATACTGGCTCCCTTCTCCCTTCAGCACCCCAAATGCACAGACAGATACACATCATTCACACACCCATCAAGATTGAAGGACCCAAACTAAACTTTAGGACCTGTCACTTCCTGAGAAAGTAGAGCAGACAAAACTTTTTCATACCTCTGATCCTCAACCAGTAGAGGCTCCAAAATTTTGGTTTAGAATGGACTTGGGGACAGCAATTTTGTGAAAGTTTGTGTTGAAATTACTATTTTGTATGTTAAGCAGAGTAATTTTATTTAAATTATATTTTTATTTTGAATGACTGATAGGATTTGTGCTAGCACAGTTCATTGAATACAGTGCTAAAACAGCCTCCTCTGGCTCCAGGTTCACAGAGGGCGAAAGAGGCAGGAATAAGAGGCAAGAAGGAACAATTAAGGAGCTGACAAATTGCCAAACCTTCCCAGGGGAAGAGGAAATATTTGAAACTTGGTCTATGGAACTCTACTTCAGCTTACACATTTATAAAATAGTTAATTTTTCACTTTGCTTTTGAATGTAAAAAATACTTAGAAAACTACTTTTCTTTAAAATATTTATTATACAAAAAGATTCAATATTATTAATGTATTAAAATTTAACTCTTTTTTCCCCCTAGTAATTTGCTTACTGCTGAAAAGTCAGCTAATGAAGACAGTGTGGTGTGGCAATCAGAAAGCTGCAGAAGCTTTTTGAACTCATTTTTGCTTCCAGGTAAAGATGGATTGATTTTGAATGCTAAATGAAATGTATAGACAGAAATGTACAATAACTAGAAATGTAATTGTCAGCTTCGTTATGTTTATTATTATTACTATCATTATAAAAAACACACAATTCCAAAGTTAAAATTTTAACACTCATAAGCCTAATTTGGGGTTGATGCTTATAATGCAGATAGTAATAAATAGTCTTGCTACTTCAGTTCCTTCATACATTTTGATTTGTCCCTATTGAGGCTAAAAGTATTGAAGAAGCTCTGTGCCTGAATATCTAAGATGATAAGTCATCATAAAATCTGATCATACTTCTTTAAGTTTGTTATAATGAATTAGCATTTATGTTTAATAAATCTTCATTTAATTCTTCAAAACTGTTATCTAGTGTACTAATTTAGTCAATACTAAAATAGTCAAGTAATAGTTTCATCTCCTACTAAATATTAGAATATTTTAACTTCATGATATTTCCAAGATTGAAATAAATCTTTTATGTGGCTACTATAGCTATAATATTTTGGATTTTTACAAATATTAGCATCTTGAAGATGAAATACTGGATATAACTTTAAGTTTTACTTTTCCCCCCTAATGCATGAAAATCTATTTTATAAGAAATTTTCAGTGGTTCAGTTTGTTGTTTTTTTCATCTCTTTTGCCCTGTGAAGGGTTAGGGACTATTTGTTTTGGGGGGTTTTTATTGTTTTTTAAGTGCCAAGTACTGAAGAACCCGACAGTCATTATTCAGCTACAGATTTGAAAAAGATATTTTCAGTTGAAGAAGAAAACCTTGTGGTTACCCCTGTAAACCCAGAGTGGTGGAAACAAGGAGGATTCAATCTGAAAGTGACAGAAACTTTGGAACACCTGACTGCGTACTTTAGTTATCAAGATCTATCATCTGATGATACCAAAATGGAGATATTTTTGCCTACAAAAATACTTGAATTAGACTGTAAGTACATAATAGTATATATCACTTGCATGAACATTTTCAGGATGAGACAATGTTAGATACTGGCTTTCCACTAGGTGATTGAAGAAATATAACTAAATTCCAGCATTTAATATTAGCTCTGGCTCTGCCAGAATTTATAACTTTGAGCTTCACTGAGCCCCATTTTCTCCCTTGGAAAAGTATGGAAATTTGACTAGCTGACTCTAAAATCCTTTTCTGTACTAAAATTCTACAATCTTAGTTTTAAAATTTCTAGCCACTTTTTATATTTTTTTTATCACTTTTTATATTTTTTTATTAATTAATTAATTTTTGTTACAGATGTTTCTCTTTTTCCCCCCTAGACACCCTTCTCTGGGTCCCCTCCCCCCAGGATTGTTGTCTATGTCGATTGGTTATGCATATATTCTAGCCATTTTTAATTAGTGACTTTATTTCCTTTTACAAATGATTATATGATATCTCAGTTTCTGTTTACATCAGCCTAGACACAAACCAGCACTGTTATTTCTCGACCTGACAGCTGAACTTTGTTCGATAATATCTAGTAATCTCTCTTCAACAATAGAATACTGTCTTTGTTACCAAAAAGTTAACTCATTTAGCATTTTTTTAATGTATACAATATAAGAAGGCAAAAATATCTTTTGATTATCAATCTTTTGAGTTACTTTGGGTGCTGTATATGCCATTATAAAAAATTGAACATACTTAGCCTGAATTGTATCTTTTTGAAGTATATATGTATTGTTTTAAAATGCTTGTGCAATAGTTACTAAATTCAGATCACTAAGGTGTTAGAAAAGTTTACTTTTATTTTAATATAGATTAAATAAATATATTTAAAAGTGAATTTTAGTAATTATTGTGGATGTTGGGAGACTACTCTAAGGAGATAAGAATTGGGATAAGATGCCCTGGCTGGTTTGGCTCAGAGGTGAGAGCGTCGGTCCGCGGACCAGAGAGACCTGGGTTCAGTTCCCGCTAAGGGTACGTACCTTGGTTGCAGTTTGTCCCCAGCCCCGGTTGGGGTTGTGTGGGTGGCAAGCAGTCGATGTGTCTTTCTCACATTAATGTTTCTCTCTCTCCCTCCCACTCTCCCTCCCGCTTTATCTGAAGATGAATGCAAAAATGTCCTCAGGTGAGGATTAAAAAAAAAAGAATTAGGATAAGAATTGTTGTTAGCAAGGGATGTTTCAAAGACAGAAGACAGAGAAGGCTTGGGATATAGTAGGAAGAGTAATAAACAGACTGCATAAAGCAATTAAACACCAGGCTATACAAGGATGGTTACCTCTAGTAGAAGAATTTTAAAAGAGATTAGGTCAGATTGCTACACAAAGAAAGGGAAAGGAAGATTTTATGAGGTCTTCATATATCCAGAAAAATATATTAAATCTATAAAATTTTATGTCTTTATTATGATATGTAACTATTTTGAAGTTAAAATAAAACACATAATTTACCTTGATATTCAATAACATTATGATGATAGTTTAATCTGATGTTCAAAAAGTAAGCCCTGGCTGGTTTTGCTCAGTGGTTAGAGCATTGGCCTGCGTTCTGGAGAGACCTGGGTTCCATTCCCGCTAAGGGCACATACCTCGGTTGCAGTTTGTTCCTGGCCCAGGTTGGGTCATGTGGGTGGCAACCACTAGATGTGTCCCTTTCATGTTGATGTTTCTCTCTCTCTCTCTCTCCCCCACTCTATTTGAACAAAATATCAAAAAAATGTCCTCGGGTGAGGATAAAAAAAATAATAATAACTGTATCAGGAGCCCATGGTCAAGTTGTCATGGTAAGGGTAGTTAAAGAGAAAGTAGTAGAGAAAAATAATCAGAAAAATGAAATATTAAACAGTTCCTATTTACCTGCTAAACATACCAAGATATCTCTAGAAAATAGCTCAGAGGTTGCAAATTGGTAGCATTCAGATTCTGTTCAGCCCACATATTATTGACCCATACATGTTTCTTTTCTTTTTAAAAAAAATATTTTTTCTTTATTGATTCTAGAGAGAGAGGAAGGGAGAGTGACTGCATGCCCCCGACTGGGGATTTGGCCCACAACCTGGGCATGTGCTCTGACCGGGAATCAAACCGGTGCCCTTTTGGTGCATGGATTGATGCTCAACCACTGAGTCATATCAGCCGGGCTTTTTTCTTTTTTTTTTAAATTAAATCCTCATTCAAGAATATTTTTTCATTTATCTTCAGATAGAGTGGGGAGGGGAAGAGAGAGAGAGAGAGAAAGAGAGAGAAACATTGATTCAAGAGATTGATTGGTTGTCTCCCGCACAACCCTGACCAGGGCCGGAGACCAAACTGCAACCGAGGTAGATGCCCTTGACAGGAATCATACCTGCGACTCTTTGGTCCACAGGCCAACACTCTAACCACTGAGCCAAACCGACCAGGGCTGACCAATATAGTGTTTTAACTTATTACCAACATTAAAAATAGATAGGGTTGCACAGAAATTATCTGTATTTTGAAATTGTATTTAGGATTCCAAAAACCAGACTCAGATTTTTATATGGCAATAATTGGCTGGGGCCAATAGCAGCTCACCATTTTAGACCACACACCCTCCAGTGCACCATAGTTCTCACACTCACGAATTGAGGCCAGCTCTTAGTTGGCAGTACTTATTATATTCAGCATAATTCTTGCACTTTTCTCTTATATTTAATATAGATAATAGGAAAGTAAAATGTGTCTTTTGCCAATATCTCTAATAAACCAAAACCAAAACCAAAAACATTTCTAGACCACATTTTGAAAGGAAAATACAAAATTTATCTTCCGAAGATTATGATTTAAGCACTAGTCATATATTTCCCTAATTTACATTATTTAGCATTTTTTCAAATAAATGTTGTAGGGTATAATTTACATATAAAATACACCCATTCTAACTGTACAGTCTGATGCATTTTGACAAATGTATATACCTGTGAAACTACCACCACAAATAAGATATAGAATATTTCTGATGCCAAAAAATTCCCTGTGTCCCTTTGCATTCTGCAGTGATTCGTTTTCCCTCTATCTCACCCCTCTTCCCGACTGGCTTCACCTCTGACCCCAGCCAGGTAAACACTAGTCTACTTTCTTCTACTATACATTAGTTTTTCTTGTTACTGAATTTGGAATCATACAGTATGAACTTTTTTTATCTTTCTTCTTCCATTCAGCATAAAATTTTGAGATTTACTCACAATGTTGTGTGTATAAGTAGTTCATTTCGTTTTATAACTCAGGAATTTTTCATTATATGAATGTACCATGGTTTTTTTATTTTTATCAACTCTCCTGGATCTGCCCACCCCCTTCCGGTTTTTTACTATTATGAGTAAAAATGCTATGAATAATCTTGTAAAAATTTTTTTGTGCACATGTTATCATTTCTCTTGAGTGACTTTAGGAGTAGAATTGCTGGGTCTTGTGATAGGTGTATGGTTAACTATACAAGGAATGATTAGATTGTTTTTCAAATTGGTTGTACCATTATACATTCACAACAGCAATATGTGAGAGTTCCAGTTACTTTATATCCTTACCAACACTTGGTATCAACAGTCTTAAATTGTAGCCATTCTAATGGGTGGGTTCTGATGTCTCATTGTGTTTTTAACTTGTATTTTCCTGATGACGAATGATGATGAGCATATTTTTACATAATTATTGGTGATTTGTATATTTTTAATATATATAAAATAGCTTTATTGAAATATAATTCACATACCATACAATTCACCTATTTAAAGTGTACTATTCATTGGTTTTTAGTATATTCAGAGAGTAGTGTCATCATCACCACAGTCAACTTTAGAACAGTTATACCAAACCCCAAAATAAATCTTGTAGCCATTAATCTATTCTCTGTATGTATACATTTGCCTATTTTGGACATTTCATATAACTAGAATCATATAATATGTGGTCTTTCATGACTGGCTTGTTTTGTTTAGCATGTTTTTAGGATCCATCCATGTTGCATGCAGCATGTACATATCTTATATGAAGTATTATTCAAATATTTTGTTAAATTGTTAGTTTTATTTTTAAGTTAAATTACAGGGGTTGTTTATATATTTTGAATATAGTCCTTTTTCAAATATATGTACTTTCTTTTGGTATTTGGCTTATTTGGCATGTACGTTTTTTATCCTTAGAGTAACTGTTACCTCCAAGGCTCTAACTTATTATAAGTCTACTGGCAATAGGGTTTTTCTGGAATTCCTTTTTGCTTATTAACCTAACTTCAGTAGTGGAGAAAAAGAGATGCTGGATTTTTTTTATCCTTTAAAAAAGGTATTTTATTCAGACCAAAAATTGATTTTCAAAGCAGTAAACAAAGTAAGTACTGGATCACATTATATTAATAAGAACCCACAACTAAAAGTTATCCTATTATCCTAGTAGAATACTCATTTAGGCATGGAAATAATTTGAATATTTTTATATTTGGTTTTCAGCATGGCTAGACCATAAAACTTCTTCTTTACCTATTGTAGTTATTAATGAGGAATCTACAAGTGATAATTTATTACTTCATCAAAAAAGTCCAACCCTGGCAAAAGAAGTACCAGACTTGTGTTTTGCTGATGAACATATCTCTATTCAAAAACCAACAAAAGAGGAAAAACCAATGGATGATCAAGAACTAGTTTATAGAATAATCCAAAATAGAGAAAAGAAAGATTGCTTGGAACCTAACTGCACTGTACTATCTACTGAATCATCTTCCTCCTCAAAAATGGAAACAGCATCTTTTAAACGTGGAAAAAAACGGGAGAATGATTTGGATCTTTTGAGTGACTTTATTATGATACGAAATAAACATAAAACTTGTACCTCAAAGACTGAAGTCACAGACAGTGATGAAAAAAATGGTGGGTAATTTAGTAATATTTTGGCATAAATATGATAGTGTCAAGGACTAATGTATATTTTATTATAGAAGGTAAAGAAGTAAAGCTCTTCCAGATAGAATATATTATTTTTCAAACTCAAAGAAAATGTCAGTGATTCATGATACTTATTGTGTATGGAGAAAGATATGGATATAGATATAGATGTAGATGTATATTTTCAAAAACCTTTTATTTTATATTTTTAAAAATATGTTTTTATTGATATTATAGAGAGAGGAAGGGAGACAGAGATAGAAACATCGATGTGAGAGACAAACATCAATCGGCTGCTTCCTGCATACCCCCCACTGGGAATTGAGCCCACAACCCGGGCATGTGTCCTGACCTGGAATCAAACCAGGACCTCTCAGTCCATGGGACGATGTTCAATCCACTGAGCCACAACAGCTGGGCAATTTTTTTTTAAAAATTGCATTTGAACTTCTAAGAAAAGTCAGTTTGTAAAACTTGTTGTCTACAACTTGGCCATATAGATTCATAATATTTCTAACTTTTTTTTTTTATCATTCTACCATTCTTTTTTCTCTTTTAGCTGACAGTCTCAGTATTTAAATTACATTTTAATGTATACTACGAATACTTTGCCCAGTTGATTGCTTATAAGTCTTTTTAACTTTACCAAAGACTTTCTGTTTGAGCTGTAACTCTTTTACAGTCTGCTTATAACCGTATCAAAGGTAGTGTAATGTGTCATATTATTTCACTTCTGTTTAAAAATTGGTATTCTAGAATATGTTTGACATCTGTTACCCAGATGAAACAACTACAGAAATATTTATGTATAAGAGTTAGAGCATACTTAGGTCTTACTGTTCTTATACTATTAATGTATACAAGATCTTGCCCCTGAATCAATTACAAAATAAGAAGTAAAATATATACCAAAATATCACCTCTATTACTAATAAAGGCTGGGTCAGAGAAAGGAGCTTGATTTGAGAGTCAAATGGCTTGCTAACTAAACACCAGAATTGGACAGTTACCTTCCCAGTGCCAGACTACTGGGACAGGATTCCCCATAATGGGGTGGAGGGACTGCTTTGAACGATTTCATGATGTAGAGAAGTAGGGTATGTGGAGTCACAGAAAAATGAAGTAAAGTAGAACAGTAGATGTTCTTTTAGGTGTTGGGATTTGTACTTGGTGTTTAATCCTTATAATAATATTCAAAGTAGGTATATTTATCCATATCTTACATATGAGGAAACAAGCTAGTGGCAGAACTGAGATTGAAACACTAGTCTGAGCCCTAGCCGATTTGGCTCAGCAGTTAGAGTGTCGGCCTGTGGTCCGGAGAGACCCGGGTTCGGTTCCCGCTGGGGGCACGTACCTCGGTTGCAATTTGTCCCCGGCCCTGGTTGGGTCGTGTGGGTGGCGACCACTCGATGTGTCCCTTTCATGTCGATGTTTCTCTCTCTCTCCCTCTCTCCCTCCCGCTCTATCTGAACAATGAATGGAAAAATGTCCTCCAGTGAGGATAAAAACAAAACAAAACAAAACACTGGTCTGATGCCAAAGTGTTCATTACCATTCAACTTTCTATACAGCACAGTGTTAAGTCCATTGACCTGAATAGTTCAATTTAATACTGATGTGTTTCAAAGAACTTTAACAATGGTGATCATAATAGAAGAAAGCACTTAAGTAGAGCAACATTAAGTTTCTTCTGAACAATGTAAATTGATATTTTTATTAGAATTTCAAGATAAAGAAGAACCTTCTTTGACTCTTCAGGAAGAAAGTCCTATTGTTTGCACTATTAAAACTCTAGAGAAAATAAATCAGGAAAGGGGAGCAGATAATGTCATTGAGATTCAAGCATCAGGTATGCTTTTAAAATATATTCAAATTAAATTTGAAAGCCCTTTCCTGGGTATCTAGGATATGCCTCATTTTCCATGTAGCTTTCTTTACTTGTTTCAAATATTTCTTTATTTCACTTCTACTTTCAAGTTATTTTGAAACCTGCTTACTGCCCCTGCCTTCACCTTTGCCCTACTCCAGTCTACTAATTGTTATTTCTTCTTTTACACTTCTGCTTCCCTACAATCATCGATAAAGAGCAAACAACTCAGACTCTTGTGCCGTTTTAAAAGTGATCTGCTAATTGTTGCTCCCTTACCCACTGTCAGCGTGATGCAAGCAAGTTATTATTGATTCCTATACTGATTAAATTTTTTTGTTCTATAAAGAAGAATATTTTTTGACTCCTAAAGAATAACCTGCTTAAAACATAACACTCATTATGAAACTCAATAAGAAAACTTGGTATCTTAAATATCTTTTCATTCCTGTTGTTCAATTTTATTTATGACCTTTAGATAATTATGCAATCTTTAAATATTGATATTCTAGTGAAAACTAGAAACTATTTGTCATTGTTACAAATTTGTTTGACTTAAGGTTGTAAGCTAATGGTTGAGAGAAAAGAAAAAAATTACAATTCTCTTTAAATGGCTCTTCATAGCTACCATGTTGAGTTAGTTACAATAAGTTCTTTCTTACAAACATAAAATTATACTAATTCTGTGGGGAAAGTTGTTTTGTTTTTACTAGTTTATTCATGATGAATATCTTAAGAGAGCCTCTATACAACTTTATGTACAATATCATGATTTTTAACTCAGTAAAGAATTTAAATAGACTTCAGGTTTCCATGAAGTAACATGTTTAATTGCTTTGTCAAAAAGAGCACACAGCCCTGGCTGGTTTGGCTCAGTGGTTGGAGCGTTGGCCTGTGGACCAGAGAGTCCCGGGTTCGGTTCCTGCTAGGGGCACGTACCAAAAAAAAAAGAGCACACAATCTCTATTTAAAAAACACTGTTTTTAATGCTGTTATTTTTACAGATAGCCAGTGCCAAGCATACTGTCTCCTAGAAGCAGCAGCTACTCCTATCTTAAAAAAACTCAGATGCCTCTGTACTCTCCCTGTTGCTGATTGGAAATTTGCCACTGTTATTTTTGACCAAACAAGATTCCTCTTAAAGGAACAAGAAAAAGTAGTAAGTGATGCTCTTCATCAAGGTGAGTGCAAATAAAAGTCATGTTATTGAAAAGGATATAAACTAATGGATTATGTATCCAATTAGTGAAAATGTAGACTATGCAGAAATTAGTTATGAATGAAGGCATAACTATGATTCAGCATATGGCACCCACGCACCAAAACTGGAGAATCAGCTAAGTAAGGAGAAAAGGGTAAGAAATATCATCTGGCATTGCTTCTTAGTGAAGCTCCATTAACATATACAGAATGAGGCAAAAGTAGTCTTACAGTTGTTCATATGGAAAATAATACAATGATTAACAAGTAATATATAAACTCTGTTTCATATACACACAATTGTAAACCTACTTTTGCCCCACCCTGTATTACAAGACAGGTTCCTATTTACAGAAACGAAATGAACCCTATTAATGTTAGCATATGAACTATCAAGTTTCCTCCCAAAAGAGGGGGAGAGGTTTAAAAAAAAAAACAAATTAAAGTCAATCCTGGACTTTTGCTTCTGGCCAATGTAGAGTTACAGGGATTAGATTTAACCTTCTGCCAGAAATACAGGGGGGAAAATGAAGACAAAATACATGAAACCAGACTTTTGAGAACCTAGATATCAAGCAATGAGGGACAGTGATTCCTGAGAAGGGAAACAAGTGAGGTGAGCCCTACCATTACTCTAGCATACTGTCTTGAAAGAGTTGCCAGGCCTTGGCACAGGTACCTGAGGCAAAGCCTGGTGGACAGTCTGAGTTAAGGAAACATAATGGAGAGGCCAGGGGGACCAAGTCAGCTAGAGTTAAAAGGATAGAATCTCAGAACAGAGAGCTTCATACAGAGTGTCCTGGAGATCTACAGAGAGTCTCCCTAAAGTATTCAGCATAATACTTCATTACAAAGCATATGTGAAGTTGGGGAACTACGTGAGGGTGCAGAAACAAAGCCATCTGAAAGGGTTGATGGAATTGTACTTTGCATTCATGCAGGGCAAAGACTATGCCACCAGCTAGTCTAGAAAAACTCATAATTTGTGGGGTATTAAGTACCGTACTTAGGAAAGTTTTGCCTTGGTAGTGGGAAATAATTATTTCTAGACTTGGCCTTGCTCTGGACCTGCCTAACAAATCATAAAAGTAAGATCCAAAGGATCAAACTATTTCCAAGAAACTTAACTGCATCCCAGAACAAAGTTGAAGAGGGTTTATATGAATACAAAACTAACTACCAGCGAGGTAAAATTCACAATGCCTGGCATATAAGAGATTATCAGGCATAGTAAGAGACAGAAAAACACAACCCATAATGAGAATAATCAATCAAAACAAACTCAGAACTGACAAAGATGTTAACATCACCAGAGAAGGATGCTGAAACTTATTATAACTGTACTCCATATGTTCAATAAGTTAGAGACATAAAAAAGACATAAATCAAACTTCTAGAGATGACAATACAATATATGAGATGAAAAATGCAATGGATGTGTTTGATGGTGGGTTAAATATTGCAGAAGAAAATATTAGTTAACTTGTAGGCATTGCAATAGAAACAACCCAAAATAAAATACAGGTAGATAAAATCATTTTTTAAAAAAGAAACAAACAAACAAAATTATGTCAGTGAACTGTGAAACAACTTTAAGTAGCCTAATTTACTATTAATTAGATTTCTCAAAGAAGAGGCAAAATAGAGGTAAACAGAAAAGAAAAATTTGAAGAAATAATGACTGAAAGCTTTCCAAATTTCGCTACAAACCCACAGATCAAAGAAATTCAATGTATCCTAAGCACAAGAAGCATAATAAAGCTGCACCAAGGCATATAATGATCAAATTGCTCAAAACCAGTAATAAATAGAAAATTGTAGGAGCAGCCAGAGAAAAAAAGATGTGTTGCGTAAGAGAAACAAAGATAAGAATGACATCAGATTTCTTGTCAGAAATACTGCAAGTGAAGTAACAGTGGAATAACATCTTTAAAATATTGAAGAGAAAAAAACCATCAACCTAGTTTTCTGTACTGGGCAAAAATATATTACAAAAGCAAAGGTGAAATAAAGATGTTTTCAGGTATACAAAAGCTGAAAGAATTCATCAGTTTCAGACTTACACTATAAGAAATGTTCTCCTAAGGGTAGAAGAAAAATGATATCAAATTGGGTTTCTCTGTTCTGTTCTCATCTCTTCCAGGTCATGATTGACATGTTCTTCCCAGGGTTAGATATACTACCCATAATCAGTTCTTCTGTTGCCTCTTGATTCTCAGTAACTACTACATATTTGCCTTATCTTTTTTATTAGATCAGCATTTTTCAAACGTTTTAGCAAAACTCTGTTCAAATAAATATTTCTTGGGATTCAACTATATAAAACAGAGAAAGATAGAGCTTCTCTGGTTAAATTGGGGCAGTGGGTCTAGAATCCTGTCTTCTTGGTCTCACTTCTGCACACAGAGAAATCCAAGCTATCATCCTCAAAAATCTCTGGAGCTACATGGGCACATTAATTAGATATTGGCCTGCCCCTCTGAATACATCTCTCGTTTAAGTTGTATCTTTAGACAAATATATCCAGACATCCAGCTCCATTTGAAGGTAGTGCTTTATGTTATGATCCTCTGCCTTTCTTTTAACCAGTTGGCAAGTTATGAGTTTAATGTTCTTCTTGTTTCATAACTGGGAATCATTTACTTTTTTTCCCACCAAGAGTAGAAATAATTGAATGTTCTTTGGAAGCAAAAAGAGGATGAGCTTTAAGATTAGCTGTCTGAGTTTGAATGTCAGCCCCACCACTTATTCACAAATTGACCTTGGATAGTTACTTAGCCTCATTAAGACTATTTCCTCATCCATAAAATAAGATTCATAATAAACTTGCCTGATAGGGTTATTGTTATAGATTTAATTAAATAACCACCTTATGCCCTGGCCTGTTTGGCTCAGCAGCAGAATGTCAGCCTGAGGACCAATGAGTCTTGGGTTCGATCCCGGTCAAAGACACGTACCTTGGTTGCAGTTCATCCCCAGCCCTGGTCGGGGTCATGCGGGAGGCAACCAGTTGTTATGTGCCTCTCATGTTGATGTTTCTCTCTCTCTCTCCCTTTCTCTCCTTCCCACTCTATCTGAAGATAAGTAGAAAAATATCCTCGGGTGAGGATTAAAAAATAATTGAAATAAATAACCACCTTATTTACAGCCTGGCACATAGTAAGCACTCAATAATAAATACTAGCTTTTATTTTATTGTTTTCCTCACCCGAGGATATTTTTCCATTTTTTGTACAGATAGAGTGGGAGGGAGAGAGAGGAAGGGAGAGAGAGAGAGAAACATCGACGTGAAGGGACACATCGAGTGGCTGCCACCCGCACGACCAACCAGGGCCGGGGACAAACTGCAACCGAAGTTCCCGGGTCTCTCCGGACCACAGGCCGACGCTCTAACCGCTGAGCGAAACCGGCCAGGGCTACTAGCTTTTATTTTTAAACATTCTAATACATGTACTAAAATTCTAATGTATATCTTATGTTTTCAAATATGTTTTTGTTTACTTAGGTATAAATGATGAAAAAGAAATGATGTTCAAGAATGCTGGTCTCTTACACCTTCTTGTCACAATTCGAGATGTCCTTTTAACATGTAGCTTGGATACAGCACTGGGTCAGTGAGGAAATTTTTTTTTTTTTTTTTTTTTTTTTTTTTTTTTTTTTTTTTTAATCCTCACCCGAGGATATCTTTCCATTTTTTACTCAGGTAGAGTGGGAGGGGGAGAGAGGAACAGAGAGAGAGAGAGAAACATCGATGTGAAAGGGACACATCGAGTGGCCGCCACCCGCACAACCAACCAGGGCCGGGGACAAACTGCAACCGAGGTACGTGCCCCTAGCGGGAACCGAACCCGGATCTCTCAGGACCGCAGGCCGATGCTCTAACCGCTGAGCCAAACCGGCCAGGGCGAAATTTTTTTTTTTTTTTAAATAATTTTTCTTTATTGATTTTAGAGAGAGAGGAAGAGAGAGGAGAGACAGATGAAAACATTGATGAGAGAGAACATCGATTGGCCACCTCCTGCATGCCCCCCACTGGGGATCCGGCCCACAGCTTGGGCATGTGCCCTGACTGGGAATTGAACTGGCGACCTCTTGGTGCATGGGTCAAGGCTCAACCACTGAGACACACCAGCCAGGCATCAGTGGGGAAATTTTTAATTTTTCTTTTCTTCCTATTGATATATTTAATCTGAAATAACTTTTAATTTTCTGAAAAAGGTGCACCTTATAAGAAACTATGTAGCTTCTTTTACTTCTACGTTAAACATTACATACATTTTTTTTTTTTTATCCTCACCCGAGGACATTTTTCCATTTTTGTACAGATAGAGTGGGAGGGAGAGAGAGGAAGAGAGAGAGAAAGAGAGAGAGAAACATCGACGTGAAAGGGACACATCGAGTGGCTGCCACCCGCATGACCGACCAGGGCCGGGGACAAACTGCAACCGAGGTACGCGCCCTTAGCGGGAACCGAACCTGGGTCTCTCCAGACCGCAGGTGGACGCTCTAACCGCTGAGCCAAACCGGCCAGGGCAAATATTACATACATTTTAATATAATTATAATAGAATATATATTTTCCTCTGCTTATATTCATTAAAAGAAATTAATTGTACCAGCTATCATTACCTAAAAATACAAGTTTAGGATTCCCTCATCTATGCCTGAATTACAGAGTCCTAATGGCCTTAGGCAGATTTGATTGTATAATCATTATCATGCACTAATTTTTAGTGTAAGATGACATTTCCCATATATATTTTAGGCCCTTATTGAATGTCTGTGGTTTTAAATCTTTGCTAGATGAAATATGACTAAATTATTAGTAGTAAGGTCTTTTGAAATTTTTAGTTGTGTATGTAAATGAGGATATAAACTACTTGAGTGATAAAAATGAAACTAATTTGAATGTATTGGAAATTTTATGATCCTGAAAATTTTTGCTAAACTATCAGAATCATTAGAATATCTTTTTTACTACATTACTGCTTTAGGCCCCTTATTGTAGAATTATTGAGAATTGTTTAGTAATTGTATGCTTATAGGATTATGTTTTATAACTTAGAATTTTTAGAACCTATTTCAAATATAAAGTGAAAATAATTTTTCTCTGATCCTTTACCCAGACATTTTCTCTTATCTGTAACCAGACAATATTCTTTCTCTAATCGAAAGTTTGAGAGATAAGTATTGAGCAGCAGTGAGTTACAATTATACTTCCTCTGCAACACTGGGAGTTATAATACTTAGCTAAGTATTGTATTATCTGGCCAAGTATTAGAACTAAGTTACAGTTACTCTTAGAAAGCCCAGAATGGTGCTTTTCCAATTAAACCACTTGGGTGTTGATGCTGGATCAGGTTGTCTTATCTCCATCCTCAGACAAGTAAGAATTAGGAGCTATAGCCCTAATTTATAGTACCTGGAATTAGTATAAGGGTATATTATCACATGCCCTTCTATTTAGTCACCTGCCTTCATTAGACTTTCTGGCTTCCATAAAAGATTGTCAGTCCTACTAACAGCTAGGCTGATGTTAAAGCAGAAGTGTAATAAGCCCTGGCCAGTGTGGCTCTGTTGGTTGAGCGTTGTCCCATACAGTGAAAGCAAAACATTCGATTCTAGCATATCTGAGCTCCTGTGCTGTAGAGAGAGTACAATTGTGACTCATTTTTGCTCAATATTTATCAAACCTTGAATTAGAGATATAATATTTATGAAGGATTGCTGGAAGCATATTCACCTTTAGATACTCTAATTTACCCTAGGATCAAGACCATTGAGACCTGTATATTTGAATTTTGTTTTTTTGTCCTAAAAAAATGCATATACTAAATTAAACGTTGGCACTACTATTTGGCTACCTTGAATAATATTATAAAATTATAATCCTTGTTGGAAAACTAACTTCTTAAGCCCTAGGTACCAAGTCATAATGAAAACCTAAATGCCTTAGACATTTTTAGTGGAGGACTTTTTCACTCCTCTAAACCTCTTAAAATCAAAGAGCAAGTTAGGTTGTCCTCCTTTCCTTCCCTCTCAATAGTAGCAGAAGAAAGGTCTATGGGGGTTCTAACTGCCTGTCCTGCTACCTTCCAGAATTCGGTATTTTCTCCCAGCTTTCATTTTGCTACCTCTCACAAGCTAGCAAACTGGAAGATTCAAGGTTAAAGATACAGAGTTTCAAAATCAGAAAAGGATTAAAAGACATTTTTAATTATTTTTTGTCTGTGTTATGACTTTTATTTTCTTACAGGTGTTTACCATAGAGTTTCTCAAAGAATGAAAAGCCATGCTTCCCCCCCCACCCACTTTTGTTTTTAACAGGCTATTTGTCAAATGCAAAAGATGTGTACAAAAGCATTTTAGGCTCCTATTTGGATGACATTTGGAGACAGCTAGAGGTTGTACAGTTTATTAGGGGGGGAAAGCCAGAAACCAATTACAAAATACAAGAATTGCAAGGTCAGATACTAAATTGGATGCAAAGTAAACAGCAAATTAAGGTAAATACTGAAATAAAGCAGATAATATGTAATTAGCTTAAATAAAAACTGAATGTAAGATAAACTTGCATTTAATTTTGAAATTATAAAATAAAATAGTCTATACTATTTGGTCTTTGATAGTTTTCTTCTTAAGTAAGTTGACAGAATAAAATCAGACCCAGAGAAAGGATGATTTACATCATTCTTCATGTCTTGAATTTAAAAACAGTTTTTTTATTTTTATTTTATTTTATTTTATTTTTTATCCTCACCCGAGGACATTTTTCCTTTTTTTTTTTTTTTTGTTCAGGTAGAGTGGGAGGGAGAGAGAGGAACAGAGAGAGAGAAACATCGATGTGAAAGGAACACATCGAGTGGTTGCCACCCGCATGACCGACCAGGGCCGGGGACAAACTGCAACCGAGGTACATGCCCCTAGCGGGAACCGAACCCGGGTCTCTCAGGACCGCAGGCCAACACTCTAACCGCTGAGCCAAACCGGCCAGGGCAAAAAACAGTTTTTATTATACACAGTTTTCTGTGGATTGTTTCTCCAAATCTCATAAATGTCTTCTGGTACTTGTAAGTTCATGAATACACACACACACACACACACACACACACACCCAATAATAGAACTACAATAATTTATTTTTAGATATTGAGCTGAAATCTCATCGGCTCAATCTCATCTACAAAAAGAAAAAGAAAAAAATGGCACTTAGTTTATGCCTTGGGTTATATTGGAAATTTTTGCCCACCCTACCTCAAGCATATGAAGGTTACACTAATATATATATTTAAGAGAAAATACTTTTTAAAATCTTTTCAAGCAGAAAAGCGTTTCAAATGCTTTACATTAGATCTGGTTTCAAATTTGGCATTTTTCCTTTTTGTATTTTTATCCCCAACTTTACAGTCACTTGGTAATTTGCTTAAGTCATTAAAATAAATTAAAACAATTAGTAAGAAATTTAAAATTGAAATTGTTGTCTTCACCCCCCACCCACCCACACACACACACACACACAAACCTGTAATGGTAAGTAGAAAGTATAACAGAAATCACTGGTTTTCTCCAACAAATTCACACAATACAGGCAGTCACAGTTTATGTCTAGATAGAATCACCTATATGGGAATACTTGAAGACTGCTAAGAATGTCCTTCTGCAAAATATTTTCCTCATTAATATTTGATCTTATCAGAATTTATTCCTTTGTATTTAAGCATGATATCTTTTGCAACACAAAGTACATTTACTTTGTTACCTTATTGCCATTAGTTTCATGTAAGCAGTTAAGTTTATTTTGTTACTGTAGCAAAACTAGGAAAAAAATTAATTATTTATATATGTATATATATAAGAGAAATTCTTATTTTTTGTCAGGTGCTAATTATAATAAGAATGGATTCAGATAATGAAAAAAATTTACTTATTGAAATCCTTAACAAAATGGAAGGTAGGCAATTTTTAATTATGCTTCATTTGATAACATATGCTTAAACATAAAAAATGTATTGATCTAACCAAATTTTAAAATTAAGATACAGTTAACATACCATAAAATTTATCCTTTTAGAGTAAACAACTCAGTGATATCTAACCAGTTTTTAAATCAATCTGGACTATATATCTGCAATATAAATATTCTATAATGTACTTATATGTACATCACATGTACTTATATGTATATTATTATCAATTGATCCTTTTATTGAATGTCTGCTAGTTGCTAAATAATACTGACTACTTATAACAGCTCTATGAATAGGTTTTATTAACTCAGTTTTACAAATAAAGAAACTAAAGTTTATGCCAAATCTCACAGGCAGTAAGTGAGGGAATCAGAATTTGAACCTAGATCTCTCTTGTTCCACTGTCATTATTCAATTTATTCTTTTACTCACTACTTCCCCTCTGCCAGCCTTGTGCTGTAGAACCCACTGCTTAAATGTAAACTCTTCTACATCTCCTTAAGTGAACTGATAATTCATTCTCTCTCCCTGCCCTCTTTCTCTCTTGCCCTTGGTTTAAACTTTCTGAGAAAGATAATCCCCCTAATTGTATTTTAAGCAGTTTCCTTGTTCAAAGATGTTAAATTCATTTTTGTGGTAGTGAATACATGACACACCTAAAAAATACACATGAACAAAAACACTGAGAAAACCCTTCTTTCGTTCCTGTTTTTTCCAACAGGTTTAACATTGACTGTCTTACATTCGAACGCAAGAAAAGATTTTCTGGAATCTGAAAGTGTTATAAATGGGTAAAAATGTATTTCTTCATCTTTGGGGAGCAAACATTCCACAGGAAACGCACAATTTTTCCTAGAATTTTACTTTTTAAAAAAGGTTTTAAAATAGGTGGAATTAATGTCTCTGCCCGCTTCCTGAAAAATTCTTCACATAGTGCACTTTAGTTCAGTTCATTGCCTTGGGTTATATATTGTTGTTGTCCAGAATTTTATTTCAATCTTACTTTAATATCCCCAAATTATCATTCTTATTGTTATTGTGAGTACAGAAAGTGCCTATTTTATTTAGATTTACCAGATTTTACCAGTTTTTTTTGTTTAGCATTGTTTTTTCATATTTTCTTCCTTTGTTTTGGGTTCTCCTTCTTCATGGGTTACGTTTTTATAAATTCTTTCAGTGAGGGCCTGCTAATAATAAATTTAGTGTTGACTTGTCTAAAAATGTTTTTATTTTGCCTCATTTTATATAGAAATTAATTATTCCTAATATTGGATCTAAATAATAAAAAGAGATGTAAATCAAATAGAAGCCCATAAAAGCTAGACATAGATACCTTTTAACTTTCATCTATCTAGATTGCTCTAAGTAGAAAGCAACCATAGAGAATTTTAGTTACAGTTAAGTGCTGTTATATGACATCCAAAGATGGGAAAGATAACTTTATGATATTTAAATATCCATATTTTTTGTTGTTAAATCATTTATGAAGTTCATTGAGAAAAAATAACCGTATTCCATAGTTGTCAGATAATATTCTATTATATAGATTCTCAAAGATTAAAACCTCACATTTGTAGGAAAATGATATTGATTTTTCATGGTGATTTGTCATATAGATAAGACTCAGGTGATAAAATTAAGGTTCCTTGCATTTGAGGATGTGAAATAGTCTACTTTTTTCGGGTTTTTAAAAAGTACGACCATCAAAAAAAGATTAGCATAATTGGAGAACAAATAAACAGAAGATACACCAGTGCTTTTCCAAGATAACTAGGCACAGATTAGAAAAGAATAACATAAGCCAAGAACAGTCATCTTTTAGCATTCCAAGTAAATAATGGTACAAGTGTAATTCTATTTCCTTGGCTTTCTTTTGTTTGCAGTACAAGTTCCTGTGTAGTAGTATACAATCAATATATTGGAGCAGATTTCCCCTGGAGTAATTTCTCATTTGTGGTGGAATACAATTATGTAGAAAACTCTTGTTGGACTAAACACTGTGAAAAATGGAATATTCCATACATGGCCTTTAAAGTGATGCTTCCAGACACAGTTTTAAAGAGTAAGAATATAAATTAAATTCTTTTTGTCCCATTAGAATGAAAAATTTCTGTTCTCTGTTTCTGATCTATGGGAAGAAAATAAGCATTGGCATTAGAAGAATTGAGTTTAAGCTCTAATCTTACCACTATCTATGTGACCTTGATCAAGTCCTTTATCTCTTACCTCATAGTCCTCATTTGAAAAGTAAACTTTACTGATCATATTTATCTTCATCCCTTTAACTTTAAACGTTTTTAACTTTAAATTTTACTTATAATAGCATAATTATATTATAATTATATCTAAATATCAAGCTGATGCTTTTTTTTTTTTTTTTAATCCTCATCCGAGGACATTTTTCCATTTTTTGTACAGACAGAGTGGGAGGGAGAGAGAGGAAGAGAGAAAGAGGGAAACATCGATGTGAAAGGGACACATCGAGTGGCTGCCACCCGCACGACCAACCAGGGCCGGGGACAAACTGCAACCAAGGTACATGCCCTTAGCGGGAACCGAACCCGGGTCTCTCCGGACCGCAGGCAGACACTCTAACCGCTGAGCCAAACTGGCCAGGGCAATTCTTTTATTTCTAAGTAGTGGATAATATATGGTTTTTATTTTATTCTTCAGACCTTTCTTCTGATTTCTGATTTTTTACAATGAATATGTTTTATTTTTATACTACCACTTGTACATACACCTGTTATTCTCATGTTTAATAGAAAAATAGAACTAGAGCATAAGAAAAAATAGAAATATTTATAAATTTTCTGTTATTTAGGAAGCAACTTGCTGGATAATTTTGGTGGTTTTCTTTTGGAAATTCAGATTCCATATGTGTTTTTTGCATCTGAAGGACTTATTAATACTCCAGAAATACTTCAGTTGCTAGAATCCAAGTAAGTTATTGATTTTATAACTTTAGCAAAGATATACATATGCTAATGGCTAAATATTATGCTATATATATGGTGCTATTTCTATTGGAATTAGACCTGGTACTAACTATATCACACAGGAGTAGTTTTCCAAAAAGTTTATATCAGTGTACATTTCTCTCCCTCTAGTATATCATAGTAATTATTAAATATTATTTTTGGCAATATACATCTATTTTGTGGAGAAAAAGATTTTGTATTGTTTAAATGTATATTTTCATTGCATTTCTCTTGATATTAACAAATAAGAACATTTTATGTTTTTTTTGTTGTTGTTGTTAATTGTGTGGTCATATCCTTGGGGCATTGATAATATTAGGAATGACTATTCTAAAAAAAAAGAATGGCTATACCACCTGTAAAACATGACTATGAAGGTCTAAATGAATTTTCAACTTTTTAGACCTTTAGTTCTAAGGTCATACCAACACTGAGCATTTAAAAATCATATAAAACACTTTATTAAGGCATACAAATTGTTATAGTAATGTTAGATGTTGGGCAATATCTCAAGGAAAGATAACTCTGGTGTGACCTTAGTTAAAATGCAAATTTATTTTCCATGCTTTTGTTTGTATATCTCAAAGCTGTGAGGCATTTACAGAACCTCTGAGCTAATAAAAGGTAGTTAAGACTAAGCCAATTTTAAGGAGAAAGAAAAGAAAATTCTGATAAATGTAGATTGTTTAGTCTCATAGCAGGAAGTTTTGGTTTCATTAATTATTATTTAAAGAGCAGAATAAATTGGTCAATACATTTATAATAGTGTGCAGTAATACTTAAAGTAAATAAGGCAACACATAGTCAACTAATTTGTCATATATACTGAATAAATCGTAATTTCATTCCTTAAATTGATAAGATAGAATAAATTGATATATAAAAAAAAAGGCACAGTAGTTCAAATAATTAGATATGCAGGAGGACAATATAGCTTTTCCTAAAGACTTTTCTTGGCCATTTTATGATGTCACCTCAACATATTGTATTTTACAGCTATAATATCACACTAGTGGAAAGGTGCTATAGTGAGTCATTGAAGTTCTTTGGAGGTACGGAGTGTTATGTAGTAGTGACAGTTGATGAACACACTGCCATAATTTTGCAGGTAAAACTATACAGTAAAAAGTAAATCAAGTAAATTTAAATAAATATATATATGTAATTTATTATTAGCTTTACTATAGAGAGCTTAACCATAACCTGTTAGTGATTTCTTCCAAAACTTTGCAAGTGAGCCACAAGTGCCAAAATCATCCCTGTGGAAATGTCTATTACCAAGCTTCTTTGATGCCTTATAATTTTAAATATATATATATATTTATATATATTTTTTTATTGTCATGGCTAGTTTGGCTCAGTGGTTGGAGTGTCAGCCCGAGGACTGAAGGGTTGTGTGTTTGATTCCTGGTCAAGGGCATGAACCTGAGTTGCAGGTTTGATCCCTGGCCCCAATCAAGGTCCTGCAGGAGGCAACCAATCAATGTGTTTCTCTCACATCGACGTCTCCCCCCCACCTTTCCTTCCACACTATCTAAAAATCAATGGAAAAATATCCTTGGGTAAAAATTAACAACAACAGCAACAAAATATATATATATACAGATATACATATATAGATTGATTTTAGAGAGCAAGGGAGAGGGAGAGAGAGAGAAACATCAATCAGTTGCCTTCTGTAGGTATCCCAACCAGTGACAGACCTGCAACCCAGGCAGTGTGTCCCGACCAGGAGTTGAACTGGCAATCTTTTGGTGCACAGGACGATGCTCAACTGAGCCACCTAGCCAGACAGTGCCTTATGATTTTTAACATGCTTTAAGATTAAGCAAATATAGAAACTTTAATATTTTATATTTACCTATTTTAAATACATTTAGAGAATAATTATAGTGTTAACAACTACAAAAACTAAATCCTAGCCACTGTGCTTCTTAAAAGGGGGTAGTCTAGTAATCCATGATCGCAATATGGGATTTTCTGTAAACTAAGTAGGGATTGCTTGTAAATAAGTTGGTTTTTAGCAAGAGAGAAATTCTCTTCAAAAATCCATATAGTTTAGAATTTGAGATGTATAAATTCTTGACTGAAGCTCTATGATGTTTGCTTGATTGGAGTACAAATGACAAAGAAATTATTTTAATAGGGTGGAGTGGGAGACAGAAACCAGTTTGATGGTATGGAGTAGAAATTAATGATAAATATGAGCAAACTTTTACAATATAAGAATTATACACTGGAAACACAAAGCTCTGTTAGAAGGATTCTTAAGAAATAGTGTGTATTGTATATTTAAAGTTCTTTAAAAAGCAACTATTTGGGGGGAAATATTGTTTGGGAAAACTGTTTTAATCCATAGTTACATAAGTTACTGTAGTAAGCCACTTCCTGAATTATTTACTCTATCAAAAATTGTGTTAAAAGAAAAAGAGAATTCCAGACAATTACATAGAGATTACTAGTAGTCCATTAACTGCTGCTTTCTCATCTTCCTTAAGTAAGCATTTGGAGCAAATTATCTATTTTAAACATATTTTTGTATTGCCTAAACAGGGGTGGTAATCCCTGTTTACAAAGGATTTGACCCAAATAGCGGGCACTCTGTAGGCTGCTTTCTTCATGTCTAGGACTTTGGGCAATTCATGAGCCTTTCTTGCTGAAACTATCACTAGTTCTTTTACATCTACTGTAGCTTCCCCCTGCTACTTCCAGTGTGATTTACATTTTTTCATAAACTAGAAGCCCATACCCATGCTTCTTTTCAAGTTATAATTTATATACTCTAGATTCTTGAAATATGCTAGCAATGATTTCATAACAACTATTAACCTAGTGAATCTTTTTATTTATTTTCTGGTAGGACCTAGAAGAATTGAATTGTGAGAAGGCATCAGACAACATCATTATGAGACTGATGGCATTATCATTCCAGTACAGCTATTGTTGGATAATTTTTTATGCCAAAAAAACATTAAACTCAGAGTAAGGAAACATTTCTTCATCTAAAATCACATTCATATATATATATATATATATATATATATATATATATATATATATATATATATATTTTTTTTTATCCTCACCCGAGGACATTTTTCCATTTTTTGTACAGATAGAGTGGGAGGGAGAGAGAGGAAGGGAGAGAGAGAGAGAAACATCGACGTGAAGGGACACATCGAGTGGCTGCCACCCGCACGACCAACCAGGGTCGGGGACAAACTGCAACCGAAGTACGCGCCCTTAGCGGGAACCGAACCCAGGTCTCTCCAGACCGCAGGCCGACGCTCTAACCGCTGAGCCAAACTGGCCAGGGCACATTCATCTTTTTTTGAAGTTATTCAACCCTCTTCTGTGGATAGAAAAAGTTATGCTAATTTTCCACCTGCTCATCTAGTTTGCTTTAAGTCAGGGATTCTCTCAAGGTAGAGGCATGCCCACAGGAAAACAAATGGAGATTTTGGAAATATGTTTCCCCTGGACATTCTGTGCAAATCATCCTCCCCTCTTCTACCTCTTAAGATATGCTGCTTGAAGTGTTTCACTTCTTATTACTTTAAAAAAAATTTTTTTTTTATCCTCGCCCGAGGATATTTTTTTTTCTGCATTTATCTTCAGATAGAGCAGGAGGGAGAGAGGGAGGAAGATAGAGAGAAACATTGATGTGAGAGAGACACATCGACTGATTGCCACCCACACGACTCCAACTGGGGCCTGGGACAAACTGCAACCAAGGTATGTGCCCTTAGCGGGAACTGAACACGGGACTCTCTGGTCTGCAGGCCAATGCTCTAACTGCTGAGCCAAACTGGCCAGGGCTACTTTTTAATTCTGGACTTGTCTGTTAAAAGATAAGTCATTCTTAAATCCCTTCACTGTAAAATCTTATTAAATACACCAACTAACTAGCATCTTGCTATACCTTCTTTCATTAATGTTCATTACTGAAGAATTACCAAAAGAAAATCCATGCCAATACACTGACCAGTAAAGGGATGAGTTAAATTTCTTCCCCTTATAGTCCCTCCCCAGCATCCCCTAGAATTAACAATATTATTTTTAAATGGAAGTGGAGCCCAGCCAGTGTGGCTCAGTGGTTGAGTGTCAACCTGTGCACCAAGAGGTTGCTGGTTCAATTCCTGGTCAGGGCACTTGCCCAGGTTGTGGACCCAATCCCCTGTGGGGGTATGCGGGAAACAGCCAATTGATGTTCTCTCTCATTGATGTTTCTATCTCTCTCTCCCTCTCCCTTCCTCTCTCTCTCAAATCAATAAAGAAAAACAATACTAATAAAAATGGAGGTTGAAATGTTTTGTTTTGTTTTACAAAAAGTGCTGAGCTGACAAAAAAATGAGTCTGCCACACTAGTATTATCTTGTTTGTTTTGTTTTTAATTATTTTTCTTTATTGATTTTTAGAGAGAGAAGAGTGGAGAGGGAGAGAGAGATAGAAACATCGATGAGAGAGAACATCGATTGGCCGCCTCCTGCATGTTCCCTGACGGATTTGGCCCATAACCTGGGCATGTGCCCTGACCAGAAATTGAACCAGCAACCTTTTGGTGCATGCGTCGATGCTCAACCACTGAGCCACTCTGGCCAGACCACATTAGTATTGTCTTAGCCAGGTTATTCTAATAACATTATGAAGTATAGAAAACAAAATGATTTTTTAATAAATATAATCAGATGTCAAATGAGTAGAAGTATAGTAATATAATTCTTTTTAGGTACTATCTTACAGAAAAGACTCTTCATCACCTAGCACTGATTTACGCAGCATTATTTTCATCTGGGCTAAAATCAGAAGAACTGGATGTAAAGGTATTCTTTTCCTATATGTTTGTTCCTAAGTATTTTTCATAAACCAAAATTATACTCAAACTCATATACCTAATGAGAACAAACATTAAATGGGTAAATCAAAACTGCTTAAAAGCCAAATAAAGAACAGTTTTCAAACTAATGAATATTTTTTCCACCTAAACTTCTGTTCTAAAAGCCTTCAGTTTAATACATTTAAAATCATGTTGTTTTTTTTATCTTCACCCGAGGACATTTTTGCATTTATCTTCAGATAGAGTGAGAGGGAGAGAGGGAGGAAGAGAGAGAGAGAGACATCAATGTGAGAGAGACACATCGAGTGGTTGCCACCCACATGACCCAACCGGGGCGGGGACAAACTGCAATCAAGGTACATGTCCTTAGCGGGAACCAAACTCAGGACTCTCTGGTCCGCGGGCTGACACTCTAACTGCTGAGCAAAACTGGCCAGGGCTAAAATCATGTTTTATCTCTTAACTACTACTTAGATTTTTTTGAAATATAGTAGGATATGAATAAAAATATCTCTTGATCAAAAATGCTCACTTATGAAAGATATACTAAGTTTTTATCTGCTGTAAAATGGAAATCTCAGGACATACAAGTAAAGTAATATTGTAGTAACCTTTAATTAGTCTTTTTTCTTAGCTCTTTTTTTGTCAATGTTATTGCTCTGGAATTTAGACATTCTTCCAAATCTGGGGCTCAGTACTCTTTCGTTATCACTTTATAGTCTTCCTTGATAAACCCAACCATTCCCACAAATTTAACTTTCATTTCTGAGTATAATCCTTAAAATTTTCTTCACATTTATTAAGGCCTGAACCTGTATTCTCACATTCTACTGGAAAGCTCCACGTGAATATCCCACAGGTACCTCAGACTCTGCATGTATTAAATACAGCTTCTCATCTTCCCCCAAATGTAGTTCCTGGTATTTATTTCCCAATCTATCAATAGAAAAATCCTTCTTTTAACTCTGCAGTTACTTCTCTAGAATATGTCTCTTCTTTCTACTCCCACTATTTCCCTAAATTCAGGCCTTCATCACCTCTCACTTGGAGCTTCATAACTAATCTTATTTCTACTGTTTCTCCACTTCAATGTGTCATATATATTGATATCAGTTACACTTTTTTGAAATATGCATGTGAATATTCACTCCCTAGATTGTAAGCTTCTGAAGGAACAAGAACATGTTGATTTATTTGTGTATTCCTGGCATCCAGCACAGTACAAGTAGAGACAGTGCAAGTTGCCAAGTATGTACCAGGCTTTTGATAAATATTAGTTGTTGAGTTGAATTTTCTCGCTCAAAGGACCTTCCATAGCTTACTGTTTGATTCAAGATAGAGTTCAAACTCAGCAGCACTCCACAATTTGGTCCCTACTGATCCTTCCTTTGACATCGTTCTACTCACCATTTCCTGAACAGCCCCCATACTATCACCTCTCAGCCATTGCACAAAAATGTCATTCTGGCCTGCTTTCCCCCAAGAATATTATTCCCCATCTCTTTATTGCCAGTCTTCATGGTTCTGTCTTTTTTGCCCAGCTCAAACACTATGTTCTTTAAGAAATTTGCCCCAATCATTCTGTTGTAGGATAAATCTACCCTCCTATTCTCCCAATAACACTTTGTACCTTTATTATAGGATGAGGTATTTATTCATACACCCTGCACCCTGAAAGGTCAGAACCAGGCCCTTTTTCTTTCTGAAATCTATAGCATCTAGCACAGTGCTTTGTACAGAGGAAAAATATTCAACATCCACTAAGTACAATGAAATCAAAGCACAACCTGTTAAGAAAATCAACAAATGATCTATTTTAAATAAAATCCACATAATTTTGATCCATATTAAACATAGAAATAAAATTCTTAGAAAAGTTATCTAAATAAATGAATGGCAAATATAAATTTGTCTCACTGATCCATTCAAGTAAAGTTTTACCACTTAATCAGTCTCTTTTCTTCCTGGCTCATGGTAAGCAGTTACATACAAAAATCTGCTTTAGAGAATCATTTCATCCCTCTACACACTCACATGATACCAGTTACTGACACTGTGTTCCGATAGTGACATGGCTCACAGAGGACATGTTGCAAGGAAGGCATTTGGGGATGAAACAGGAGGTACTGCCCAGGCACAATGCATTTCAAACAAAAGTCTGCTCCCACCTGGATCAAGCTATTTCAAAAGCTTTTCAAGTTTTACATAATTTAAAAACCAGGTCAGTTTTCCTATGGAATTTGAGAAACAGCTCTGATCAAGTTACTCTTACTCTATTATCATTATGTCACCAATACTCAAACCTCCCCTTCTCCTGACTTGATGACATTATTACATTAAAGGGGACTCTCTAGATTCGTACTGTTTTAGAATGTATTATTGTTTTTTTTACCTTACTTTACTTAGTAATATGGCTTTCAGCCTTTTAGAGTATATTAGTATGGAATTTTTTTTTTCAGGTATCTAAAGAGCGGAGCCATAAATGAAGTATTAGGAAGTTTAAGTAAATTTTCTTAAACTAAAAGAAAATACTGTTAGTAGTGTTATGGTATATTTTATTCTAATTAAAAAAAATATTCTGTACAATTCTTATGACCTGTCTTTACAAAAACACACATAGATGCACACATATACAAAATTTGGAAAACAATGTTAGGGGATTCCTGAATCTGCCAAAGTCTAGCCATGAGTTCTGCTGTAATAAAGTAATATTCATTAACACCATCATAAAATTATGCCTTTTAAAATAAATTTAGCCCTGGCCGGTTTGGCTCAGCATTTATAGCATTGGCCTGCAGACCAAAGAGTCTCGGGTCTGATTCCAGCCAAGGGTACATACATACCTCGGTTGTGGTTGGGTCCCCAACCTGGTCTGGGTCGTGAAGGAGGCAATCAATGGATGTGTGTCTCTCTCACATCAATGTTTCTCTCCCTCTTTCTCTCTCTCCCTCCCATTCTATCTGAAGATAAATGGAAAAATATCAAGTGAGGATTTAAAAAAAATAATAATAATAAAATAAAATTTACATTCAAATATAAGTGTCAAATATTCTCAAAACGTTTAGCCATAAAATAAATTTGGATTCAAACAGTGTATTTCTGTGTACTGTACACATATTTAATATAATTTAAAGAAAACCCTTCTTTGGAATATTTATAGTCCCCAGGTATGTACTAACAATTTTATATTTGAAATTATTGTGAAAGAAAAAATTGTCATAATTATTTTGTGAGATTTATTTAGTCCTTGCTTTTTAAATTTCTACTAGGACATGATATTTATATTTCTAAGATATGATTGTTTAGGGTGGTATTTCTATGTCCACATTAAACTGCTAACCCATGAACTATCTTTTCATCACCCGAAACTAAATGAAGAAGATAAAGACAGAAATAAGAGGAAGAGAAAGACTGGCATTTCAGAAGAGAGAAGGGCATGGAGGGAAACACAAGCGACAAACAGAAAGTGGGGGAAATTAAGAAGCTCCTTTTTTTAGAGTTTAGTTTAATACACACACACACACACACACACACACACACACATTTTTGAGAGCATTATCTTATTATTAAATAAGATCGGATGAGAAAATCCCAAAATGCTGAGATGACTACTCTTAATCAAAATCTCATTTTTTTCTTTTTGAATAGAGCTTCAAATTCATCAGTAAATATCCTTTATTTTTAACCTTTCTTTTAAAAAATGTTACACTATATTTTTTATATTTTTTCATTGATTTTTTTAGATATAGAGGAAGGGAGAAGGGGAAAGAGGTAGAAACCTTGATGAGAGAGAAACATTGATCGGCTGTCTCCTGCACACCTCACACTGGAGATTGAGCCTGCAACCTGGGCATTTGCCCTGACCAGGAATCAAACCAGCAACCTCTCGGTGCATGGGACGATGCTCAATCCCCTGAGCCACACCAGCCGGGCTACACTATATTTTTTAAGTTCTTATTTTATTGAGAACCGGTTAACCTAGAAAAAGTAAAATATTAAACATTACTAGTGATATCCAAATGCTTTTTCTTCTCATATGGATGAAATATAACACCAAATTTATTTCAAAGATTTTTATTAATAAATGTCAATGGAAGTGAAGAAAAATAATTTAGTTCCAACAATTAGAAATTACAAGGATATCATTCTTTTTTTTAATTTAATTTTATTTTTTATCCTCACCCAAGGACATTTTTTCATTTTCTGTTCAGATAGAGTGGGAGGGAAGAGGAAGAGAGAGAGAAAGAAACATCGACATGAAAGGGACACATCGAGTGGTTGCCACCCACACAACTCAACCAGAGCCGGTGGCAAACCACAACCGAGGCACGTGCCCTTAGCAGGAACCAAACCCGGATCTCTCCAGACCGCAGACCAACACTCTAACTGCTGAGCCAAACCGGCCAGGGCAAGGATATCATTCTTAAAGAAGGAAAGAAAATTGCATACCCTCATAAATAAAATGTCCTGGATTTCACATAGACAAATTAATAAATTATATTTAAAATAGTGTTCAAAGATTATAATCTTCTGTTTTTTTAATTTTCTTCTCATTATAAACAATTTTTGAATGATATATTTTGTTTTTTAATATTCTCTATAGTCTAACATTAAAACATACATATTTTAGATTATAATTGCTCCAGGAGTGGAAGAGACTGCATTGATAATCCGACAAATTGCTGACCACAATTTAATGACCTCGAAGAGAGATCCTCATGAATGGTTGGACAAATCCTGGCTTGAAGTGTCACCATCTAAGGTTTATTTCCTAAATAAATAAGTTAGATATGTGCAAAGCAAATATAAACACGTATTTGAATTCTCTTTCTGGTAGCATATTTTTGCCCTCCAATACTTGTGTGAACATATATGACAATAGTCATAATATACAATAACATTTACTTAGATCATTTTCCAGAATCATTGTATTTGTTAATTTCACAGAACTGTTTTAATGGGATGTTTTATAATGAACTTTCAAATCTAAGTTATTAAAGGGCATTCTAATGACTTTAATGCCTAATATTTTGAAAAACATAACTATTTTTCTAATTCCTAAATTAAAAATTTTGAGAATAGTAAATTAAGAGAATAGCAAAATTTTATCATTTCATGATTTGTCGATAATTCAACTATATTATTGAAGCTCGAAGTAGAGTTGTGAAATACTTTTAAGATTAAAAAGTTTATTTTTAGGTATTTCTTTTGTTTGAGCATAAATATTTCCAAGATCTCATACCAACTCAGTGTTTCTGTTACCTTTACTTTTAAAATATGTTCAAATCATGAAGCCTTAAAAAAGAATGAGGCTCTTTATGTACTAATATGGAATAATAATCTCCAAGATAGATTGTTAAATGAAAAATCAAAGTTGCAGGACAGAGCATGCAGTATACTACCATTTTGAAAAACAAGGGGAAGTTAATATTTATATGTATTTGTTTATAAATTAATAAAAATACCTCTGAACTTTGGTCAAGATGGTTGTGTAGGTAAATGTATTGCATCCTCCTACCACAACATCAAAATTACAACTAAACTACAACACAACCATCATTCAGAACCACCTGAAATCGAGCTGAATGGAAGTCCTATAACTACGAAATTAAAGAAGCAGCCAGCTCTGGCCGGTTTGGCTCAGAGGTTAGAGTGTCGACCTGTGGTCCAGAGAGACCCGGGTTCAGTTCCCGCAAAGGGCATATACTTCGGTTGCAGTTTGTCCCCGGACCTGGTTGGCCCTGTGGGTGGCAGCCACTCGATGTGTCCCTTTCACATCGATGTTTCTCTCTCTCTCTCTCCCTTTCTCCCTCTCTCCCTCTCACTCTAATCTGAACAAAAAGGAAAAATGCCCTCAGGTGAAGATAAAAAAAAAAAAAAAAAGCAGCAGCAGCAGCCACATCAAGACTGGTAGGAGGGGCAGAAGACTGGTAGGAGGGGCAGAGGCACGGACAGGCTGGTCCCACACCCATTTGTGGTGGATAAAAATCAGGAGGGATACCTCGGCTGGGAAGGACTTCCCTGAGGAGTGAGGGGTCCCATCCCACACCAGGCGCTCTGCTCAGGGTTCCAGTGCCTGGAAGAGAAGTCCCCATAATTTCTGGCTGTAAAAACTAACCGGAACTGAGGCTCAGGGAGGCTGAGGCTGCTGGAGACCCAGGCAGTTCCTCTTAAAGGGCTTGTGCACAGACTTACTCAGACTTGCTCCCTCTGAGCTCCGAGTGGAGGCAGCTTGAGGGGCGCCAGAGACATACAGGGAAGAACTGAGATGTTTGGCCTTGGGACGAGGGCTAGAGAGGGGGCTTTCCCCTGGACAGATATGCTATCCGAGGCTGATATTGCTTTGGTGAGCCCTTCCCTGGGGCGGCAGACAGCCGCCATATCTGGGACTCCAGCAACCTGGCTCACACTGTTTGCCCCACCCTGGTGATTCCGAGGCCCCGCCCCACCCAACTTTCGGACCAAGCTGTTCCCAAAGGCTTTACCATAGGGTTGGCCTGTCTTAGATCCTGCTTCAGAGTTTCCTAAAAGCTCTCAAACAAGCAGCATCTGGTTTCAGCAAGCCCCATACCTCTCGTTAAGTGGCCCCGGGCCTAGCTCTAGAAGCAACCAGCCTTGATTCACAACTTGGCTTTTCCTGGACACTTCCAAGCTCAGCACAAGAAGCAGCCATCTGCAGGTCACTCTGTAGCTTGTGCTGGGTGGCCCCAGATAGAATACAGGCAGTGGCTAATCTTGCCCCAGAGCCAGCACACCCAGTGGACAGCTTCAGACCACATCGAAACACCACCACCCAATCACCTCCACAAGTGACACACTCAGTGAGCAGACTCAGTGGGTACCAGAGCCCTGATGAAGTAAGTCTTGCTCTGTGTGGTGGGCCCCTACACAGCTTATCCTCCAAGGTAGTCAGAGGCCAGTGGTCAGTGGGCACAGTCAATCCTTGCATCTGATCAGCCTGAATAAATCTCTCCCATTGACATGCCAACAGCAATCAAGACTCAATCACAACAGAAGGGTGTACAGTCCACACTAGGGTGCACCTCAAGGGCCCAGCTGGGGTGATCAGGGAGGCTGTACCACTGAATCTATAGGACACCTACAATGATAGGCACGCTATGAAGCCTAGGAGACATAGCAGCTCTACCTAATACATAGAAACAATCACAGAGAAGCAGCCAAAATGAGGAGATAAAGAAACATGTCCCAAATAAAAGAAAAGAACAAAACTCCAGGAAAAGAATTAAACAAAATGGAGATAAGCAATCAATCAGATACAGAGTTCAAAACAGGTTATAAGGTTGCTCAAGGAACTTGGTGAGACATTCAAGGGACTTAATGAGACCTTCAAGGTACTTAAGGAGACCTCCAAGGAACTTAGTGAGAACATCAACGACATAAAAAAGTACCAGTCAGAAATGAAGGAAGCACTAACTGAAATAAAAAATAATCTACAGGGAATCAATAGAGTGGGTAAAGCCAAGAAGCAAACCATCAATTTGAAATATAAGGAGGCAAAAAAAACAACAACAACAAAACAACAAAAACCACCCAATCAGAGCAGCAAAAAGAAAAAAAGAATCCAAAAAAATGAGGATAGCGTAAGGAGCCTCTGGGACAACTTCAAGCGTACCAACATTCGCATGATGGGGGTGCCAGAAGGAGAAGAGAGAGAACAAGAAATTGAAAACCTATTTGAAACAATAATGACAGAAAACTTCTCTAACTGAAGGAAACAGACATACAAGTCTAGGAAGCACAGAGAGACCCAAACAAGATGAACCCAAAGAGGTTCACACCAAGACACATGATCATCAAAATGCCAAAGGTTAAATACAAAGAGAAAATCTTAAAAGCAGCAAGAAAAAAGCAGTTTGTAACCTACAAAGGAGTTCCCATAAGACTGTCAGCTGATTTCTCAAAAGAAACTTTGCACACCAGAAAGGAATGGCAAGAGATATTCAAAGTGATGAAAAGCAATGACCTACAACCAAGATTACTCTAGCCTTCAAAGTTATCATTTAGAATCGATGGACATATCAAGAGTTTCCCAGACAAGAAAAAGCTAAAGGAGTTCATCACCACCAAACCAGTATTATTTGAAATGTTAAAGGGTCTTCTTGAAGGAGAAGAACTAAAATATGAACAATAAAATGGCAATTAATACATATCTATCAACAATTGAATCTACAAAGAAAATGAGCAAGCAGAACAGAAACAGACTCCTAAATACGGAGACCTTTTTGTTGCTTTCCAGATGGGCAGGGGCTGGGGTGATGGATGAAAAAGATGAAGGAATTTAGAAGTACAAATTGGTTGTTAAACTGATGTACCTCAAAGGGAAGGGGGGAGGGAGAGTGGGATGAGATAAACCAAAGTACGTCTATGCATATATGCATAACCAATGGACACCAACAATAGCGTGGAGAAGGCAGGAGGGGAGAGGGGTTGGGGAGAAAGGGGTCAATGGGGAAAAAAGGGGGGACATCTGTAATACATTCAACAATAAAGATGAGTTAAAAAACACATAAAAAACAAAAATAAATAAATAAAAATATCAAGAAATGATAACATTGGTCATCTCCAGAGAGAACTGGAATATTGGGGTGGAAATGAGACTTCTCACCTCTCAGTACCTTTAAAATTTTGAACCATATGACTTTTACTTATTCAAAAACTAAAATTATAAAACAAATAACTAAAATACAATGTTCATATGTATTTTTTTTTTTTTTTTTTTTTTTTTTTTTTTTTTTTTTAATCCTCACCCGAGGATATTTTTCCATTTTTTGTACAGACAGAGTGGGAGGGAGAGAGAGGAAGAGAGAGAGAGGGAAACATCAATGTGAAAGGGACACATCGAGTGGCTGCTACCCGCACGGCCGGGGACAAATTGCAACCGAGGTACATGCCCTTAGCGGGAACCGAACCCGGGTCTCTCAGGACCGGAGGCGGACGCTCTAACCGCTGAGCCAAACCGGCCAGGGCTCATATGTATTTTTAAATCACAGAACTTGTACATGCTTAAACAAAACACAGTGCTATCAGCAATTATAGGCATAATTAACTATGATGTTTGTGTGTGTGCGATTTCCTCCCTGCCAAGGTATGTCCAGTCTGCTCACATGTGTGTCATTTGATAATAATCAAAGAGGGTGCAAAAAGCCAGTGCAATCCAGGAAAAGGGAATATAGAGATGGCTGCTATATTTCTAGATTTTTATGAGATCTCCCTGAAAACATACATTTTTAGACTGTCAAGGTCAGTTCTGGTTGATAGAAGTTCTTCCTATTTACTCTTTACAACAAGACTTTTCTGAAATTATAACATCTCTTAAATATCATAAAGATGGTTCTTAAACAGTGATAGTATATGGTCTACAAAGGGAGAGCTAAAGAAATCTTGAGGTCCTAGACCTAGACCAAGTCCCTGAAAATATTTCTCTTTAGAAAATGTAGCAGTATTTAAAACAATTGTCATGTGAAGAAGATGAACCGTAACAAATCTTTTTTGGATGTGTGATTAGACTGAATAAACTTTCAGATCCTTCCCATTTCTGAGAGTGTATGGATCTTTGCTGCCAAAGAAGTTTCTTTCTCTCCTGGCCATACTGTTTTTCCAGATATCACAAATTGAGTGTAAATGCAATGACAAATGTTTAAATCCAATAGAATGGGTAGAATAAAATGGGTCACTTTCAAAAGGCTGATTATTCCTTAAACTCTTTTCTAGGAAGAAATGTACTTACTTGATTTTCCATGTATTAACCCATTGGTGGCTCAGCTCATGTTAAATAAAGGACCTTCACTACACTGGTTATTATTAGCAACTCTTTGTCAACTTCAGGAACTCCTACCTGAAGTTCCAGAAAAAGTGTTAAAGGTTAGTTATTTGACATTTATATTCTTATGTAGGTTTATTTCCTTTCCATCTGAGTATTTATTTTTACCGTAAGGGTTTTCAAAATGAAGGTATCCAAGTGTAATTGTTTTGGACTTCACACAGCAAAGAAATAATTTACTTGAATGAAATATTTAGAATTCTCATTGGCTGTCAATCACATTATACATTTTAATGTTATCTTATATAGATAATTCAGTACAGTTTATCACACTTTAGTTTTGAAATGTTATTGTGCCCCTAAATATTCAATTACATTCTATTCATATGGGTTTACATGATCTCTTCCAAAAAATCCTGACACCCTTCATAATAGTAGTGAAGAGAACTTTAGCCTTATTGGTAGAATTTTTAAATTTTTATCAAGGAAATGGTATTCATGCATAACTTGTATAACTAAGAATTACATTATAACTGATTAGAAAATAGATGCAATTTACAAAATTTTTCTTTTAATGGAGCCTAATTATGTTATTATGAGTCAATATAATACCTATGAATGAAGTACTTATTTATATTTAGCCTCCTTTCCATATAGATAATCATTATTATTTATATTTATTTGGCTGATGTTTGTATTGTATTAATTAATTTTTTAATATTTTTAGCATTTTTGTGACATCACTTCTTTATTCAAGATTAATTCTTCTTCCACAACAAAATCACCTCAAATTTCATCACCTCAGAAAAACAGGAATCAGACAAGTACCTTTCTTTCTCAGAGTTCATTTTCTGATTCTTCCGACTGTGTCATTCAAGAACATAATGAATATTACCAGTATTCAGACTTAGGAGAGACAGTGCAGCAAGACACAAACAGCATTTCAAATGATAACTTTTCCCTAATGGATCAAAGAGAAACAGAAATGCCATGTGCTTTATCACCTGTGACTTCTTACAGTCAGACCTGCTATTGGAAAGACTCCAGTTGTAACCCTAACATAGTGCAGAATAATCCTTTTCTGATTAATATGGAACCAAGGAACTCACCTGGTAACTCCTTTCTAAACCAAAATGATTCACAGACAGATGTCTTTTCTTTGGGTCTAGCACAAATGAATTGTGAAACCAGAATATCACCAATCAACACTCAGAAGAGAGTTGCCCTTAATTTTATAAATTATCAGAAGGGAACACATGAAACAAAAAGACCTATAAATAAAGATGTATCTGCCCCTATCTTTTCATTAGAAGGCTCTCAATCACCTCATTGGAACTTTAAGAAAAATATATGGGAACAACAGACTCACTCATTCAACTTACAATATGGTGCAGAGCAGACTCCATGTGCCACCTGGTACCCTCAGAAAGATAATTTATTCACTAATCAGCAAAAATGTCTATCGGATGAGTTAGAAGGCCTCATATGCAAAAGTTCAAGTGTTGGACCTAAAGAGACTTTCTGGAAAGAATTACCATCTGTCCCCAGTTTGGATTTACTTTGTGCTTCTGATTCTAATGTAAATAAAAAAGAATTCAACAGTCTTTCTTTCTACCAAAGAGATAGAACATGTTTAGGACAGAAAAGGCATGCTGAATCTTCATTTGACTCAGGAGACAAGAAATCATTAACAGGTAACAGTATTCAATAGTTCATAAACTATTCTCAAATGTAATTTAAAATGATAAAATCATCTCCAAATTTAAAAACATTTTAATTACTACAGTTAAAGATTCTTCAATAACTTTTGGTTTCAAAGAGAAAATTAGAATTCTAATTATAGATATCTAAGGAAATAAATGCAAAGAAAATATGTCAAATTCTTGTAGCATTAGATGAACTAAACGTTAAACTTCAGAAATGAAAAACACAACAAATCTAAATAAAGCAGAAGACTAAAATTAACAAAGATTAAACAGAGAAATCAGTGAATTAGAAAATTAACGTATTTGTCAGTCAGGGATATTTAATGGGCTAAATGTATTAAGAGTTTATTATATGCCAGGGGCCATTCTAGGCTCCTTATGTGGATTATTTAATTCTGACAATTCTGTAGTAGTAGTAATAGTAAGTAGATACTTACTATTAGCTCTACTGTGCAACTAATGCTTCTAAGCAATTGATCATATCAATTTATTTTATTTTATTTTTATTTTTTTGTTAATCCTCACCCAAAGATATTTTTCCACTGATTTTTATTTTTATTTTATTTATTTATTTTTTTGTATGTGCCCCTAGCAAGAACTGAACCTGGGAACTGAACCGCAGGCCGACGCTCCAACTGCTGAGCCAAACTGGCCAGGGCATTTTCCACTGATTTTTAGAGAGAGTAGAGGGAAGGAGGGGGAGAAAGAGAGAAACATCAATGTGAGAGAAACACATCAATTGGTTGCCTCCCACATGACCCCAACCAGGACCAGAAATGGAACCTGCAACCCAAGTAATGTGCCCTTGACCAGGAATCAAACCTGAGACCCCCTTGGTCACGGGCCAGTGCTCCAACTGTTGAGCCAAACTGACCAGGGCAATCATATCAATTATTTAAAAGGATCTAAAACAAAATATTAAGTTCTAATGGTCATACAAAGTGACCTTGCATGATGGGGGAGAGGGGAGAAGAAAGGGAGAAGCATAAGCTTCAAGCTCCTATTTTGCATAGGCCCTTTTGTGAAACCTGAGAGAGACCCTGAACATCTTGTATTTTATATTTTACTATAAGAGGACCTCCCAAATTATGTAAGCCCCAGGACTCACAAAACTTGGATCTGATCCCCTTTAATAGTCAATTTCTTTTGTTCCTGATTTTAAATATGTTTCTATTGACTTTTTTTAGAGCAAGATGAAGGGAGAGAGAAACAGAAACATCAATGTGAGAAACATCGATGGGCTGCCTCCTGCATGCCCCCTACTGGGGATTGAGCCTACAACTCCGGCATGTGCCCTGACCAGGAATCGAACTGGGACCTCTCAGTCCATGGGATCACACTTAGCCACACTGGCTGGGCTGTTCCTGATTTTTTGTTGTTGTTGTTCCTGATTTTAATAAGTATTCTGGCCCTAGTTTTTAAGAACTATTGTGAGGAACAGATGCTGAATTTTATCCAAACTCTTTTTGGCATCTATTGGGGAAAATCAAACATGTTTTCTCCATTGACCTATTAATGTCAAGGATTGTATTTACAAGTTTAAGAATATTAAATCACTTTTGCCATTTCTGTAATAAACCTAACTGGCTTTTGATGAGTTATTTTTTTAAATATACTGTTGATTATGGTTGCTAATATTTATGATTTTCATAACTACATTCATAAGGAAATGAATCTATTATGTTATTTGTACTCTGTCACATTTTGACATGAAGGTTATTACAGCTTCATAAATGAATTGGATTAAAGTTCTATCTTTTTTCCACCCTGGAACAAATTAAGCATGCAAATTACTATATAGTTTAGAACATAGGGCCCCCAGGATAGGATAATCCTCCCATTTTCTCAATGAGATTTCAGAAAACATTTTATTTATTTACTTATTTAATATATATACATATATTTTTAATTTTTTTCTTTATTGATTTTAGAGAGGAAGGGAGAGGGTGAGAGAGAGAGAAACATCGATGAGAGAGAACATCGACTGGCCACCTCCTGCATGCCCCTCACTGGGGATCGGGTCCACAACCTGGGCATGTGTCCTGACTGGGAATTGAACTGGTGACCACTTAGTGCATGGGTCGACACTCAACCACTGAGCTACACCAGCTGGACTCAGAAAAGATTTTAAAATAAATTTTAATATTTAAGCTTTAGGGATAGAAATATAATTGTTAACTACCTACCCATATTTTATTTCATTAATTTAGTTATAAGTATATATTTTAAATTATATATAAGTACTTTCCAATTATTTCCATAAAATAATTTTATTCAAACAGTTCACATAAATCTTTGATTATCACTATGGCAATTTTTTACTTTTTACTGTGGTTTTCCATAGCACATCTTTACCTCCAAATATGTTGTTTAAGATATAACACGTTTTAGCCCTGGCTGGTTTGGCTCAGCAGTTAGAGCATCGGCTCGTGGACCTGAGAGTCCCAGGTTTGGTTCCCACTAAGGGCACGTACCTCTGTTGCAGTTTGTCCCCACCCCAGTTGGGGTCGTGTGGGTGGCAACCACTCCATGAGTCTCTCTCACATTGAGGTTTCTCTCTCTTTCTTCCCTCCTCTCTCTCTCCTGCTCTATCTAAAGATAAATGCAAAAATGTCCTCGGGTGAGGATTAAAAAAAAAAAAGATATAACACGTTTTGCCCGGCTGGTGTTGCTCAGTGGTTAAGCATCGACCCATGAACCAAGAGATCACTGGTTCAATTCTGGTCAGGGCACATGCCCAGGTTGTGGGCTAAATCTCCAGTGGGGGGCATGCTGGAGGCAGCCGGTCGATGTTCTCTCTCATCAGTGTTTCTATCTCTTTCTCCCTCTCCCTTCCTCTCTCTCTAAAATCAATAAAAGAAAAAATAAATAAATAAATAAAATGCTAATTTGGTTGGCATGTACCTTAAAAAAAAAAAAAAGATATAACACGTTTTGAACTTATATTGATGCAGCTATAAAAAACTTTATCCAAAGTCATTGGCATAACCTCAAGATAATGTCCATTGGTCGTAGAGGTATACATTTGTGATATCCACGATAAAGTCATCTACTACTACATTGTGTTTTAAATTTGCTTATAATGGCATCCAACTCTTGCAATTATGAGATTATATCTCCAGGAATAATTACTAAAATGGTTTTTAATTTTTTTTTTATCGATTAATCAATTGACCTCTAAGCATTCAAATCTAGGATATTTCAGGGTAATGTATATCATTTATAATATAGGCATGTAAGGTGAGTCCGTACATCATCACCACCTATCATGTAAGAGAGCTCGGATATTACAGATTACAACATTACAGATACGGGTTAAGGAACAGGCTTACAGAGGGAAAACTTAAAAGCAAGAGTCTTGGATTGAAAAAATGTGGTACATTTACACAACTGAATGTAAGGAATAAAGATCTCTTACCCTTTGAGACGACATGGGAGGACCTGGAGAGTATTATGCTGCGTGAAATAAGTCAGTCAGAGAAAGACAAGTACCACATGACCTCACTTATTTAGGGAACGTCATGAACAAAATAAGCTATTGACCAAAATAGATCCAGAGTCATGGAAGTAAGGAACAGATTAACAAACCTCAGAGGAATAGGGGTTGGGAGGGATGGGAAGAGATAAACCAAAGAACTTCTATGCATATACACACAACCAGTGGACACAGACATTAGGTTGGGGAAAGCGGAGAGAGGTAGGAGTGGGGAGGAGGGGGTCAGTGGGGTAAAGGCAGGGACATCTGTATTACTTTCAACAATTAAAAAAATAAAAAAATTAATTTAAAAAAAGAAAAGAAAGCAATAGTCTTAGATCTAGGGAGATTTAATTATTTGTGCAAAGTATGAGCATACAAATATGTGTTTATAACAGTAATTAGTACTGGGCCATTAGGTATAGGTGCGTTTATGCAAAAAATGTAATTTTTTATAGTCATTATTTTATCCCAGATTGAAATTTTAAATTTGTAGATAGATAATAAAAAGACAGGCTCCATCTGAATAGCTGGAAAAAAAATAGCTACACTTTATTATTATCAGCAATAAAATGGTTTTCCTTTCTCTCCTTTTAACAGATTTTACGTGCTCACAACTACCACAATTCAAAAAACGACGTCTGTTGTATGAAAAAGTCCCTGGTAGAGTTGATGGACAAACTCGTCTGAGGTTTTTTTGAAAAAAGAAAGATAGTGCTACATGCCACAGTCCATTGTTTTGTTCATAACCCAGTAACAAAATGATTTAGATTTGGACATATATTAAAGAAAATGCACTTGTTCTTAGATGTTCTCGGTTTTCTATATTAAGTTTTCATAATACATATTCTGCCCTATAGTTTGCCTCTTTGCAAGTTAAATATTCTAATTAGCATAATAATTGTCTTAAGATCCAGTATCTCTGGATTGGTCCTTGTTAGGGAGCCAAAAGTGTCAGTTCAGCCTCCAAGGTACTCTCCCAAACACCCATCACATGGAATTGTTCGGAACAGCCCCAACTTCCCAGATTGGCTCTAGCAATAGAAACTTCGATTCTTTCTCTGAGAGCATTTACCTGTGAAGTTTTCCGTGTTTTAAGAGGAGTTACTTGCATTTAGATTCATTGCTGGTGAAAGTGATGGCTGACCTTTGAGGTCTTTTGAGAGGCCTTACTCCAAGTTCCTAGGCCCAGCCCAACTTTTGTAGATGTCACCAGAACATCACCTGTCTCTTCCAATTGTGATGGACATAAGATACTCCTTCCCTTTCCACTGACACTCTGTACACCTGGAATCAACACCACAGTCCCACCTCCTGCCTCTCATTGTAGAAGCCTGGATATTCTCCCCAAATATTGAGCCCCACCCTAAAACAAGGGATCCAAGGAATGGAGCAGCCTGAGTGGAAGGGGGAGGGGAGTGCAAACTGTAGCAATCCAGAATGAGGGCTGAAACAAATACAGGTTTTTCTGTCTTTAGCTTCTTTATTTGGTTTGTTATTATTTTCACCTTACAAAAGTTATTAATTCAATACTTAATTTAATGTAAATTCCTTATTTATTTAAATTAATTTTGATATAGACAAATATACACATCTTTTCTTTTTTGATTTCTGGGTTTCCTGCCTTGCTTAGGAAGACCTCTTTTACCTTAAAGTTTTATAATTATTATCCTAATTTTTCTTCTAATGCTTTTGTATTATCTTTCCTTAACCCATGTGGATTTTTTTACATAGTGTAATACAAGCCCAGTTTTATTGTCTTCCAAATGGATAGCCAATAATGGCAGCATCATTTATTAAGTAAACCGTACTTTACTTTCCTACTGAATAGAAAAAATAAATCAAGTCTATTTCTGAAAGATTATGATCCATTCATCTATTTGCCTATTCTTACACCACAATAATATTGTTTGGGGCTTTGTTTTTTTTTTTCCTATTTTTTAAAATGATATTGTTTTGATTCAGCAATTTAAAGTAAGTTTTGTGTTTTTTTAATCCTCACCCGAGGACATTTTTGCATTTATCTTCAGACAGAGTGGGAGAGAGAGAGGGGGAGAGAGAGAGAGAGAGAGAGAGAGAGAGAGAGAGAAACATCAGTGTGAGAGAGACACGTCGAGTGGCCGCCACCCACAGGACCCCAACTGGGGCCAGGGACAAACTGCAACCAAAGTACATGCCCTTAGCAGGAACCAAACCCAGGCCTCTGTGGTCCACGGGCCGACGCTCTAACCACAGCAAAACTGGCTAGGGCTAAAAGTAAGTTTTTTGTGTGTTTTTTTTTTATCCTCACCCGAGGCTATTTTTCCATTTTTTGTACAGATAGAGTGGGAGGGAGAGAGAGGAAGGGAGAGAGAGTGAGAAACATCGACGTGAAGGGACACATCGAGTGGCTGCCACACGCACGACCAACCAGGGCCGGGGACAAACCGCAACCGAGGTACGTGCCTGCGTGCCCTTAGCAGGAACCGAACCCGGGTCTCTCTGTACCGCAGGCCGACGCTCTAACCGCTGAGCCAAACCGGCCAGGGCTAAAGTAAGTTTTAATAACTAATAAGGCAAGGTTCACCCTCCCTTATTTTGTAAACACACACACATACACACAGGGTTTTAAAAACTATTCTTGGACACTTGATTTTTCCATATGAACTGAGATATTTTAAAGTTTTCCTGAAAAGAAAAATAGGAATGCCACTAAATTTATATAAAATTTAGATTTAGTAATATTGTATTTTAATAAAATTATGTTAATATCCTATCATTTATGTAGACCCTGTTCTAGAAACATCAATAAAACCTTTTCCTTTTTATTTTTATTTTTTTTCAAATCTTTATTGTTGGATGTAAAATGTATTACAGATGTTCCACATTTTTCCCCCATTGACCCCCTCCTCCCCACTCCCGCCCCCCTCCCACCTTTTCCCACACTATTGTCCGTGTCCATTGGTTATGCATATAAGTTATTTGGTTTATTTCTTCCCACCACCCCCCAACCCCTTTCCCTTTGATGTTTGTCAGTCTAGCAATGAATTTGTGCTTCTTAATCCCTTCACCTTTTTCACCCATTCCCCCAACCCCCCTCCAACTGGCAACCAACAAAATGTTCTCTGTATCCATGAGAATGTTTCTGTTCTTCCTGTTCATTTTGTTTGTAGATTCCATTGTTGATAGATATGTACTCATTGCCATTTTGTTTGTTCATACATTTTATCTTTTTCTTCAAAAAGACCCTTCATCATTTCATATAATAACGGTTTGGTAGTGATGAACTCCTTTAACTTTTTCTTGTCTGGGAAAGATTTTATATGTCCATCGATTCTAATTGACAGCTTTACAGGATAGAGTAATCTTGGTTGTAGGTTCTTGGTTTTCATCACTCTGAATATTTCTTGCCACTCCCTTCTGGCCTGCAAAGCTTCTTTTGAGAAATCAGCTGACAGCCTAATGGGAACTCCCTTGTAGGTAACTAGCTGCCTTTCTCTTGCTGCTTTTAAGATTCTCTCTTTGTCTTGAACCTTTTGCATTTTGATGATGATGTGTCTTGGTGTGGGCCTCTTGGGGTTCATCTTGTTTGGGACTCTTTGTGCTTCCTGGACTTGTATGTCTGTTTCCTTCACCAAGTTAGGAAAGTTTTCTGCCATTATTGTTTTAAACAGGTTTTCGATTTCTTGTTCTCGCTCTTCTCCTTCTGGCACCCCCAAGATGCGAATGTTGGCACGCTTGAAGTTGTCCCAGAGGCTCCTTACACTATCCTCATTTTTTTGGATTCTTTTTTCTTTTTGCTGTTCTGATGGGGGATTTTTCGCTTCCTTATATTCCAAATCGATGGTTTGCTCCTTGGATTTACATACTCTATTATTGAAGCTGTGTAAATTATTCTTTATTTCAGTTAATGCCTCCTTCAATTCTAATTGTGCATCCATGATTTCTGACTGGTCCTTTTTTATGCTCTTGAGGCCCTCCCTAAGTTCACTGAGGTTCTCACTAAGTTCATTGAGCATCCTTATAAGCAGTATTTTGAACTCAGTATCTGTTAGGTTGCTTATCTCCATTTCACTTAGTTCTTTTCTTGGGGTTTTGTTCTGTTCTTTCATTTGGGACCTGTTTCTTTGTCTCCTCATTTTGGCTGCCTCCCTGTGTTTGTTTCAGTGTATTACTTAATGAGAGGTATGGGGCTCGCTGAGAAAAACCTGAAGCAGGACCCAAGACTGGCCAATCCTATGGTTAAGCAAGTGGCAACAGCTTGGGTGGGCCTGAAAGTTGGGTGGGGCGGGGCCTCAGGGAGTCACCAGGGCGGGGCTACCAGTGTGAGCCAGGTTGCTGGAGCCCCAGATATGGCTTCTGTCTGCCGCCCAGGGAAGGGCTCACCAAAGGAACAAAGGCCTCTGACAGCACGTTTGTCCCGGAGAAAGCCCCCTCTCCAGCCCTCGCTCCAGTGCCAAACAGCTCAGTTCTTCCCTGTATGTCTCTGGTGCCCCTCGAGCTGCCTCCCCTCCGAGCTTAGAGGGAGAGAGTCCGATAAGTCCGTGCGCGGGCCCTTTAAGGAGCTGCCTGGGGCTCTAGCCGCTTCAACCTCCCTGAGCCTCAGTTCCCGCTGGTTTTTCCAGCCAGAAGTTATGGGGATTCTCTTCCTGGCACTGGAACCCTGAGCGGGGCACCTGGTGTAGGACGGGGACCCCTCAGTCCTCAGGAAGGACCTTCCCAGCCGAGGTGTCCTCCTGATTTTTATCCGCCACACGTGGGTGTGGGACCAGCCCGCCGCGCCCCCATCCCCTCCGCCCTCCTACCAGTCTGGATGTGGCTGCTGCTTTAATTCCGTAGTTGTAGGACTTTCGTTCAGCTTGATTTCAGGCGGTTTTGAATGATGGTTGTTCTGTAGTTTAGTTGTAACTTTGATGTGGTTGTGGGAGGATGCGATACCACATTTACCTACCCGCTGTCTTGACCGGAAGTCTCTCCTTTTTATTTTTTAAATATGTTTTATTGATTTTTTTTAGAGAGAGAGGAAGGGGGAGAGAGATAGAAACATTGTTGTGAGGGAGAAACATTGATTGGCGACCTCCAGCGCATCCCCCACTGGGGATGGAGCCCGCAACCTGGGCATGTGCCCTGACCAGGAATCAAACCGGGACCTCTCAGTCCACGGGATGAAGCTCAATCCAGTGAGCCACACCAGCCCGGCAATAAAACCTTTTCTTTATAACTTGCAACTTATGTTAAACTCTCAAGTATTTTTTATTATTTTGTCATTGAAGTGGAAATGGGATTACTGTATTAAATAGCTATTGCCAGTGTAGAAACTGCTTATTTTTCTATATATACTCTGTATCCAGAAACCTCTCAAATTCTATTACAAGTTCAAGTATTTCTTCTACTAGATTCTGATGAGTTTTCAAGGTGTGCAATTATATAATCCATAAAAACAGATATTACTCCTAAAACGTTTACTCCATTTTGTTTTCATCTTACCGTAGTAATTAATAATTCCAAGCAATGCTGAATAGTGGTGGTAAAGGTATTCCATTTTGTTCCTAATATGCTGAATGTTTCCACTTTTCACCATGCAGTATAAAATTTGCTGTTGTTTTTATCCTCACCTGAGGACATTTTTCCATTTTTTTGTTCAGATAGAGTGGGAAGGAGAGAGAGGAAGAGAGAGAGAGAGAAACATCGATGTGAAAGGGACACATCGAGTGGCTGCCTCCCACAGGGCCCAACCAGGGCCGGGGACAAACTGCAACTGAGGTACGTGCCCCCAGTGGGAACCGAACCCAGGTCTCTGGACTGCAAGCCGACACTCTAACCGCTGAGCCAAACTGGCCAGGGCTGCTGTTGGTTTTGATAAACTGTTGCTATCATCTTTAATTTCGTTCTATTCCCATTTCACTAGTCCACTTAGTTTTTATTCAGAACAGCTATTGAATTTTATCAAATGACTTGTTGGCATAGATTCTCTTTAAACCATTCATGGAATGAATTACCTTGACAGATTTCCTTATATTGATTTGTCAGATTGTATCTCCTCTTGATATACTACTAAATTTGTTTGCTTATATTTAGGACATTTACATCTGTATTTGTGAGATGTCTATAGTTTTCTTGTACTATCTTACCAAGATTTGCAGAAGGGAAAAGCAGAATAAAGATAATTTTTTTGTGGGATTTTTGTTTTTTTGGGTTTTTTTCTTTTTTTACATACAAAAAGCTATACATAATCAATGTATACAACTTGATGAGTTTGGAGATAAGTAAAACCACCACAGCAGTCTATGCCATGAACCTATCTGTCACCTCCAAAAGTTTCCTCCTGCCCTGTTATTTATTATTTTTGTGATAAAAGCAGTTAATATTAAATCTACCTTCTTAGCTAATTTTTAAGTATACAATACAATAGTGTTAATCATAGATACTAGTTTTACAGATCTCTAGGACTTACTCATCTTGTAAACTGAAATCTGTTAAGGGAGATTTTTTAAAATGCTTATTATTGTTAAGATGGAGAAGGGAACGTGTCTAAATGCTGTTAGGAAAGATCCAATGGAGAAGCTAAAGATAAAGGAGAGAAAGGATAGTGTGACATTTCAGAGAAGTTGAGTCAGATCCAGAGAACAAATACAAGGGTTAGAAAGGGATGCCTGAATTATGATTTGGAAGTTTAGTGGCCAGAACTTTAGGGAGTTCCCACCTAATGGCTTTTATTTTCTCTGTTGGAACAATACTTATGCTCAAAAATATTTTCATTTATTTATTTATGGTTTTATACATAGTTATTTCAAGAGTAAATGTTGTCAGTAATTGAGTTGTTTCTGTAGTTTATACATATATCTATTTTTCACAAAATTCTACAAGTACTTATAAACAAAAAAAATTTACCTCCCACTTCCAGCACTCATTCTCACACGCAAACAGAAATCCATGAAACCTTTAAACAAAATCAGACACCAAATGTTGCTGTCATAGAAAATGATGAGTTAGGCAGACATTTTATTTCCAAGCTCTTCAAAGATTATTACAAACACAAAGTATCATTTTAAAAGTGTCTCAAATCAAATCAAAGGCACATCATCAAAGTAAAACACTTAGGACATTAAGAATTCATTTAGTTGTGAGACTTTCACATTGCTTTGTTTTTAATCATTTGCAGTGTTCTGTAAGTCACATTTTAAACATTTTTGAAAGGCATAAAGTAATACAGTATTTTTTTAAAGTACAACCACAACTATAAAGTAGAGGAACTTCAGAAGACAAAGATCAGATCTGCTTCATACACGGAATGGGGAGATCCAATACACAGCACGTTTGTCTCTCTAAACAAGTTTGCTAAGAGACAGCTTCCATATTTAGTGTTAAAAATAAAACAATCTCTCACAAAAATCAAGACATCACTTGATTAATAAAGTCTACCGCCCCCCCCCCCCCCCCAATTTTACATTGGCTTCTCTTCATTTAAAAATTGTAAATTCATGAGAAAAGGAAAAATTTTGTCATGGTGTAAATATCTTAGGAACAACAAATTTAAAATATTCGAGTTTTTTTTCAATAAACAAAAATGTTCTCCTCAAAATGTAAACATCCAGTAAATAAAACATATATAATATTCCAAGTATAGAAACACTAGTAATTCACTTATGAAAGAGGTGCACTTTTGTATATTTGGTGGTAAAGTGTTTGTTTGTCTTAACTATAAAGCATTTCACCAAACAAACCAGGCCATTATTATTTAAAAGTCTATCTACTTCTTCACCCAGTTTCCTTATTTGAGTTGAAACTCATCAAATTTCTGTAGAATTTTGGCTTTGGACCAGGTCATAGGAAAGTCATTTGGTTAGAGAAAACTGTTCTCTTGAGACTTGGAGGCAGTCATTCGTCTCTTAGCATCTGAGCATTCATTCCTCAGCGAACTTCTTTCCTACTGGAAAGAGAATTCAGTTCATTTTCACTTCAGTAACATTTATACATGAAATTAATAGTCAGCATGTCATGGGGCACTTGAGTATTCTCAAAGCAGAGAGTAACGAGTTAATTTAAAAAACCCATACCACTGGAGGAGCAGCACCCAAGAAAGTGCTCTGTGAAAAGATCAGTGCTATGCCAGCGTACATTATTACTTTAATACTACAAATGTGGGCTTTTTTTTTTTTTATCCTCACCTGAGGACATTTTTTGCATTTGTCTTCAGGTAGAACGGGGTGGGGGAGAAAGGGAAGAAGAGAGAATGAGAAACATTGATAGGAGAGAGACACATCGAGTGGTTGCCACCCACACGACCCCAACCGGGCCTGGGGACAAACTGCAACCGAGGTACGTGCCCTTAGCGGGAACTGAACCCGGGACTCTCTGGTCTGTGAGTCGATGGTCTAACCACTGAGTGGAACCGGCCAGGGCAAATGTGGGCATTTTTCATGAAAAGGTACAATAGTACCTGATAGTACAATTGCTTCTTTTTAATGTGAATAATTGCCTTTACAGGTACTTGAAAAAGGACCTAAGATGATAACTACTTACTTTATGAAAAGCCATTAGAACACATAATTTGAAATATGTTGGCCCCCAAAGACGCCAATAACCTACTCCTGAACTCTTCCAAAAAGAAGAAAAAAGTGAAAATGTGAATGAGACACCATACAATGCATTAGAACCCACGACATTTCTAATATGCCACCAAAGAGATGTTTTGATTGCAGTTGGCTTTTAAGGTCTTTTAGCCTGACTCACACTTTTCCCCAGTAGCTACATTAAAGCTTCCTCCATTAAAACAAAGAGATATATTCTGAAGCCTTTAGGGAAGAAATCACAGCTGGTAGTAGGAACAAGTCTCCTCCTCTGGGGAGTCCTTAGTCCCAAGAGTAGCAAGTCAGTTGATAGCACCAAGCAGCAAATGACAATTCTGGGAGGGTGTAAGGACAGAGAATAGGATTAAGGTCAAGAAATCACCACCAGCTAACAGTTAAAGAGCTCCACTATACGAGTTGGTGCCAAGAGGACTGAGACTCTCCTAATCAGATGTAATCCACAGGCAGGGAAAATATAGACTCGAGTCACCCTTCAGGGATAGCTGTGCCTTTTACTGCTTTTCATTTTCATTCCCCCAAGATATTCAAAATACAGCTGCCCAAACCCTTGGGAAGCCCTGTGATAGTGTCATGGCCTCGAGCCAGCATGGTGTATCATGACTCACCAGTCTTCAGAATAAAGCACAGGATCTGGGCTCTCGGAAGGGGTTGCTTCCCGCTGGAACGCCGACCAGTAGGGCATCCTTGCAGGCGTTCTGCACGCAGTACTGTTGGAGCTCTGCAGCGGCCTGAGAGACCTGAAACCAAGGGACGGCAGCTGGACACGCCCCCACCGCCAGATCCCCCACCGCCAGATCCCTGGGGTGGGGGGATCTGATAGTCTGCAAAATGCTCAGACAGCCCGATCACACTTTCTGTGACCTCCAAAAGTCTCTTTTTTTTTGCTGGAAGTTCTAATAACTGAACTCCAAAGGGGAAAGGTTACAATTTCTATGAACCCTGATTTAGGATATTTTTGGTGAATTGCTTAGTCAACAAAAGAAAGAAAAAGCAGTGTCTCTGGTTCTTTTAGAATCCTAGTTCTGAGACTAAACTGGTAAAGAAATAGCTTGTTCTAGTGTTCCCTTTACAACTTTTCACTTATAAAGTATGCACTGATATATCCACATTTGCCATGTATGCAAATCGTTATTAATGTATACAAGGCTGGAGTCTTATCCAGTGTACTCAAAACAAGTGACAGAGTTCTGCCACCTTGCTTGGAGGCAGGATAGCTTATTGGTTAACAAAGCACCTCTGGAACCAGACTTCCTGGGCTCAAATTCAGCCATGTCACTACCTGTATGAACTTGAGCGAGCTTCTTAACTATTCAGTACCTGTCTTCTCATCTGTAACGTGTTTGGAGTACCCGTCTGCCTCATTGGATTGATGTGACAACTGAGTTAATGCATGTAAAGCACTTAGGGCAGTGCTGACACATAATTAGCAAAACATTTGTGGCAGATTGCAGAGAAGTAACAATATTTTGCAACTGCTGTCACCAAGAGCTAGAGTCTAGGCTTGTCTTGTGACTTGCTTTGACCAGGAGAATGTAGTAGAAATTATGGGCAAGTTCCAAGCTTAGGCCATAAGAGCCTTTGCAGTTACCTCTCCTGCTGTGATTGGAACTCTAAAATCATCATCTAATGAGATGACTGGAGATCTTTTTTTTCCTAAAATTTTTTTTCTTTATTGGTATTAGAGAGAAAGAAAGGGAGAGGGAGAGAGAGATAGAAACATTGATGAGGGAGAACATCAATTGGCCTCCTCCTGCGCGCCCCCAACTGGGGATCGGGCCCACAACCTGGACATGTGTCCTGACTGGGAATCGAACCGGCGACCTCTTAGTGCATGGGTCAACGCTCAACCACTGAACCACACCAGCCGGGCATGACTGGAGATCTTATGGAAGAGAAGCAGTCAGCCAGTCCCTAGCCAACTACCTGCCTACCAACCTCTAGATACATGAATGAGGCTACCCTAGATCACCCAGCCACTGACCAACCCCCCATTTGACTGCAGATGCATGGGAGGGCCCAGCAAAGATAAGGAACTATGCAGTTGAACCAGCTCAAACTGCTGACCTAAGAATTGTGAGTTAATAAATGCCATTTTAAATCACTAACTTCTGTTAGACAGCACTGATTCAATGTATTCTGTCTTTCTTCTTATCCTCCATTTGATGCATATTTGTACTTGAATGCATTCCTCACTTCCCGTTTTTCTTGCACTGAAAAGGTGTTTTGTGTAAAAACTCATCTATATTGTACAAAAATTATTCCAATTGCTGTTCAAGTATTGCTCCCACTTTCTGTTAATTTTCCGTTTCCAAGTAACTGGAAAATCAACTCCTTATGTTACAGGTCTCTAGTTTCTAGAATGCTCTTAGGAATTTTGGTTTCATTAATGTAATAACCATTTATGTTATATAATATAAACACATAATACTATCAGAGTAATGTTTAAGCTTACTTTTCCCTTAACAGAAGTTCTGTCATTTTCACATGAATTATAATTGGAGTTAATGGTTATATAGAACAGTGATTAATTCAAAAGAAATTTGGAACCAATTACTCTCCTGCTTATTATCTCTGCATCACAGGGAACAGGTGAACCCATACATGAGTAGAAGGAGACTGTCTCCCAAGACTCCTTGAGAAATTGGCCTAACTGAACCCTAACCTAAACAACATTGTCAAAGGTTAAGGTGAGCTCTGGCCGGTGTGTCTCAGTTGGTTAGAACGTTGTCTCATACACCAAGAGGTGACAGGTTCAATTCCCTGTCAGGGCACATACCCAGGTTTCAGGATCAATCCCCAGTCAGGGCATTTACGGGAGGCAATGGGTCAGTGTTGTGTTCTCACATCGATGTTTTCTCTCTCTCTCTTTTTCTCTCCCTTCCTGTCTCTAAAAATTTTTTAAAAAACATGAAGGTGAGAGGACATGGAGGGAAAATAGGAGTAACGGTGGTCAGCATTTCTCTTTGGGAGAATTCAAGCCCAGACACTTGGAAGCTGTAGCCTGCTACTGAAGGTGGGATAATGCCGACCCAAATTATATGCCTTTGCCTGGTTTGGGCCCATGCTCGCCCAGCAACTCCTGAGAGGCTTCTCCAATGCAAAGAAGGGGTCCTTGGAAGGATATAGAGCATTCCAATCACCGGGAAGGGATGCTCAAAAATTGGTGTCCTGGCTTATTTACCAGTGGGCAAGTCTGTTAGAGAGAAGACATCTGTGCTCCCTGTGAGATCTCCTGCCAAGCACCCCAGAACATGCTATCATGAGGACACCCCTCAACTAACTTTATTATCTGAGTGACCTTGAACAATTCACTCAAATTCTCTAGGTGTCAGTTTCATCACTCATAATAATAATTATTTTTTAGAAATGTGTTTTTATTGGTTTTTTAGAGAGAGGGGGAGGGAGAGAGAGAGGAACATCTATGTGAGAAACATCCATCAGCTGCCTCCTGCATGCCCCCTACTGGGGATTGAGCTGGTATGTGCCCCGAAGTGGAATCGGACTTCTCCGTCCATGGGACAACACTCAATCCACTGAGCCACCTGCATTTCTTAAAAATATAGATAAGAATATGTTCCCTGGCTTCTTCACGGGGTAGACAGGCATCTGGCTCAGTTTTCCTTTCCACCTTGACTTGCTACAAGTGTAGTTTCAGTTCCCCGACCTCATCTCCTCAAACAACCTTCTTCTCAATGCCAACAGTTAGAGCCAAGACCTGTTAACTGCTCCACGTCTGAAATTCTACACTCTGACATCCTGCTTTCTGATCACAATCTCTCCTACCCATCCAGGGTGCTGCTCCCTGGTCTCACCACACCTACTCTTTGATCTCAGGGAGAACCCGTTCTCCCCTTTCCTCCAGCACATCACCGGGAGGCTTGCTCTGCTCCTCTATCCAGCCTAGTTCAACCTCTCTCTGGGCAGACAGACCCTCAACCTCCTGGCACTCCACCCCCACTTCCATCTTTCTGGCATATCTTCCCTGCTAACGCACTACTTGGATCAACTACCATTCAATGGGCACTCAGATTCCTGGGTGGCTAACTACGGCTGGAGATGTCCAGCAGGTATTGAGCTGCGTGGGCTGAAGCTCAGAGGTCAAGGCTGAAAGAGGTAACTAGAACATATAGTGAAGAGACCAAGGCAAGGGACGAGCCGAAAAAGATGGCTGAGAGATCCCTGTCTCCTCTCCCTCCAAATCTCCTCCTCCATTTGTTTCTTCCACTCGGCCTCAAAACAGGGCTTTTTGTTTCCTAAATTAAAAGAAAAAGAAAAGGAAAGGAGCCCTGGCCGGTTTGGCTCTGCGGTTAGAGCATCAGCCCTCAGACCAAAGAGTCGCCGGTTGTACCTCGGTTGTGGTTCATCCCCGGCCCTGGTCAGGGTCGTGGGGGAGGCAACCAGTCGATGTGTCCCTCTCATGTCGCTGTTTCTCTCTCTGCCTCTCCCTCCCACTCTATCTGATGACAGATGGAAAAGTATCCTTGGGTGAGGATTTAAAAAAAAAAAGCTGTTTCCTCTTGAAAACCAATTTCTGTTTTTTAAAGTCTGCCTACCTTATCACAATATAGATTCTGCTTCCACTACTACTGAAACCTCTTCTGCATCCCATCACCCTCTCTTTACCTTGTTTTATAATCTCCACATCACTTGTGTCTGAAATTATTTTATTTATTTTTAATGTGTTTCCTGTTTATCTTCCCCGCTAGAACCACCATATCCTCAGTACCTAGGATAGTGCCAGGTGCAGAGAAAAGGCGCCAGTGAGGTACCTAGACCAGCACAGCAGTGTTCATAGACACGCAGTGTACAAACAATGCTTCGTATACACAATAACACAACAGATGCTTTTTAAACAACTGACGAAGCAAACACTGGACATGTTGACTAAACCCCAACTTTTGCTTCAGTAACCTTGCTTTCTCTTGGTCCTCCTCTTCTCTCAGCCACCCCTTTTGGCTGGTCCCTTGCCCTGGTCTCTTCACTAAGGCACCTTTTCCACCCTGTACGTTCTAGTTGCCTCTTGCAGCCTTGACCTCGGAGCTCCAGTCCATGCAGCTCAGTACCTGCTGGACATCGCAAAGTCCGCGTACCCAAAACTGCACTCTCACCCCGCTCCTCCTCCCCTGTGCGGTGGCAAATGGCCGCGCCACTCCTCCTGTCACCAGGCCCGAAAGCTGAGCGTCCTTTCTCCTCCCTCTCATCCCATCGCCAAGGCCCATCCATTCATTCGGCCGCCTCCGCTCTCTGGCCTCCACCCTCGCGCGCCACCAGCCCAGCCCGGGCCTCCGGTGCGTCGCCTGCATCGCTGGTCTGCTCGCGTCCGTCCTGCTCCCCTCCGTCCCCGAGTCCCGGCCCACCCCGCGGGGACATCCAGCCCGCCTCCCCGACGCCCCGGCCCGGCCTCCTCCCCTGGGGCCGCCGTCCCGCCGCTGCCGGACTCCTGATCGGCTCGGCCCCGCGGGGCTCCCACCGCTCCAGCCCGAGCAGCGAGCCGGGGCGAGGGCGCCGCCCTCCCGCCCTCCCGCCCTCCCGCCGCCCTCCCGCCGCCCCGCGCGTCCGAGCCCGCGCAGCCCCGCCCCGCCCCGCCCCGCGTGGCCTCTCGGGCCCGGCCGCCGGCTCGCGCTCAACCGGCTCAGCCGCCACCGGCCGGGCCCCCAGACGCTCCCGCCGGCCTCACCTTGATCCTCTCCACGCCGGCCTCCAGCTTGAGCTGCTCCACCAGGCGCTGCAGGGCGTGCACGCTGGCCCCGGAAGACATGGCGACGGCGCTGCGCTTCGAGGGCGGGGGGCGGCCGCGCCGGGCGGCGGGGACCAGAGCGCCGGCGCCGCCCCGGGGCGGGGAGGCAGCGGCGCCCGCCCCGCCCTCGCCCGGGGCCGCCCTGCCTCCCGCCCCGCCCTCGCCCGGGCCGCCCCGCCCTCGCCCGGGGCCGCCCTGCCTCCCGCCCCGCCGCCCGCCCCGCCCGGGGCCGCCCCCTCCGCGCCGGGCGCCGCAGGTAAGCGACCGTTGGGGGCCGGAGCGGCGCGAACCCAGCGCCTCTGCATTCTGAACACAGGCGAGGCCGCCCTACACCTGCGGCCCCTACACCTTCCACGTCGCGGCCCCACGGGAGTCTGTCCTTTTAGAAACGCAGTGTCCTGGCAAACACACTCCGTTTCCCCATCGTCCCCTGTAAGCCTTCGCTCCTCCGACGTGTGTTTTCCTCACCCTTTTACTAACAGTGGGTTATTTTTCCAGCAAAGGGGCATTAAATCACTCTTCTCCATAAAAATAATGGAACGGGAAGGTGTGCCTTTCAGCCGTTATATCAAACTGGCAATAATATACCTTCGATTTTCTAAAACATGTTTTTATTGATTTTTTAGAGCGGAGGGGAGAGAGAGAAACATCATGTTTGAGAGAAACATCAGTGGGCTGCCTCCTGCACCCCCCACCCCCCATCCAGCCGGGGCATGTGAGTCCACGGGAAGATGCTCAGGCCACTGAGCCACACCAGCCGCGCTACCTTAGGTTTTCTTTCATTATTTTTTTTATCCTCACATTTATCTTCAGATAGAGCGGGAGAGAGAGGGGAAGAGAGAAAGAGAAACATCCATGTGAGAGAGACACATGGACTGGTTGCCACCCACACGAGGGGGGGAGGGGGGACTACTGCAACCGAGGTACCCGCCTAACCCAACCCGGGACTCTGATCCTTGGTCCCACGCTCTAACCGCTGAGCAAAACTGGCCGGGCTACCTTCGGTTTTCTAAACTGATTAAAAAGAAACTGGAAAAGCACATCAACAACTTATTTAATGTGACACAATATAATGCACTGTGAAAAAATTATTTCACTTCCTTAACCATTGCATTAGTTTTAGAACAGAATGGACCAGGAGCTAAAGATTCACCAGCAGGTTTGTATGTTCAGCTTCTCCAGAGAGATTTTATATTTATATATATTTTTTATTTTAGAGACAGAGGAAAGGGGGTAGGGGAAAGAAACATCGATGTGAGAGAGTAGGATCCCCAGTCACCACCTAGGTATGTGCCCTGATGGGGAATTGAACCCACAGCCTTCTGGTACTCCAACCACTGAGCCACACTGGCCAGGGCTTCATGGGCATTTTTGAGACTTTTAGACCCAAAAGAACTTAGGGCTACTTGATGTCCCTTTGAGCAACCATTCCAAACATGCTTGTTTATCCCTTCGGTAAATGCAGGCCTTAAACTAGTGAGCAGCTGATTATTCTGTTGTCTCTGAAAGTTTCTTTCCTGACCTGTCATCTCAGCTGCGTCACGTTGTACCCAACGCAGCAAGAGGCCCCAGCTGCTTTTGAAACACACAACTGCAACCCTAAGGAGCATCACTTTTCTCACTCTACACAGTACCTTGAACAAGGTAAGGAATTCAAACACCTATTAAAAGAATAAAGAAACAATGAGGTTTAAAATCATCAGTAAACACTCGACTGCCATGGATTTTAACAAATGAGAGGGAATGGTTCCTGTGTCCTCCGAAGACAAGGAAACACTTACTGAGCACTTTATATATGCCAGCACTTCCCCCAACTCGCTTAATTCGCATCATAATCCTGTGAAGTGCCAGCTGGAGCGGTCCAGTGGTGAGCCGGTTCAGTTCCTGGTCAGGGGCACTGAGCCGGTTCAGTTCCTGGTCAGGGCACATGCCCAGGTTGTGGGCAGATCCCTAGTGGGGGGCATGCAGGAGGCGGCCAGTCGATGTCCTCTCTCATGGATGTTTCTCTCTCTCTTTCCCTCTCCCTTCCTCTCTCTCAAAAATAAAATAATTTTTAAAATAATAATAATCCCGTGAAGTAGTGCCTGTACTATTAAAAGTGAAAAAAAAAAAAAATGGAAAGAGGAAATCTGTTAACACAACAATGAAAATTAAAATTAAAATAAATAAATAATGAAAAAAGCCGAGGCTCAGAGGGTAACCTGTCTAACGTTGAGCTGCTGGTCAGTGGCAGAGCCAGAAACCAAACCCTGGTCTACTGGCTGTGAAGCCCGAGCCCTTCCACTGCATCCTGCTTGCTCTCCTTGAGCTCACAAGGAGAGACTATTACATAAGAAGCGTCTCCACCCTGGCCGGTATGGCTCAGTGGTGAGAGTGTCACCTGCGGACTGAAGAATCCCAGGTTTGGTTCCAGCCAAGGGCACGTACCTCAGTTGCAGTAGGTCCCCAGCCCCGGTGGGGGTTGTGCGGGTAGCAACCAATTGATGTCTCTCTCTCACATCCATGTTTCTGTTTTTCTCTCTCCCTCCCTCCCTCCAGCTCTATCCAAAGATTAATGTAAAAATATCCTTGGGTGAGAATTAAAAAAAAGTTTCTCCATCCTCGACTAAAACTGAAAGGAGTCTGTAAGAAACCTCACAAGACCAGGTGATCCATTCAATACACAACTGTCAAGGATATTCTGAATCCTTTAAGTACTAAGAAGCGGATAAAAATTTATAATTATGTAGGCTTTTTAATTACCCAAAATATTTCTCAACTGAGACCACGTCTGATTTAGGATCTTACAGTAGCTGGCAATCAAATCTACTTGAAACCCTAAGCTTATGTGAACTTGCAGGCTTATAAAATTTTAAATCCTAATTATCTAAAAAGTTCCTCTCATTTCACAGATGAGGAAAACAGAAAGGTTAAATGATTTGTTTAGCATATTTTAGTTATTAGATTCCAGATTTGGCCTTAGTCCATATTCAAATGTGAAGAGTATCTTATTTGGCAAATCAGACTAATTATATTTCACCTATAAACAACTAGTTCGTATGAATACCAACATTTATCTGTATCAAATGCATAATTATAACTCATCAAAGACCACGTCTGATTTAGGATCTTACTGTAGCTAGATCTATTTATACCAATGTCTGATAAAAGCCCTATCTAATTTTCAGAGTACAGTACTTTGTTTAGGGTCAGCAGACTGGTTCATAACACTAGCTGAATGTTAGCTTAGCAATGGCTTCCACTTACCCAAATTAGCTTCAAAGTTTGGGTGTTAAAGTTTAATGGCCTTTCAGTCAAAACAAAACAAAGCAATCTCTCTGCCCTGGCCAAGTTTGACCCGCGGACTAGAGAGTCCCAGGTTCGGTTCTCGCTAACGGCATGTATCTCGGTTGCAGTTTGTCCCCGGCCCCCCGGTTGGGGTTGTGTGGGTGGCAGCCAGTCGATGTGTCACTCACATCGATGTTTCTCTCTCTCTTCCTCCTTCTCTCCCTCCCGCTCTACCTGAAGATAAATACAAAAATGTTCTCGGGTAAGGATAAAAAAAAAAAAAAGATCTCAAAGAAGATGAATTATGATTTTCTAAACATACATTCAATAGTACCAAAATATTTAATTCTTCAATTTCAACTATTTTTTCATGTAACATTTAATTTTTAATTTTTTCTTTATTGAGTTTTAGAGAGAGAGGGAGAGAGAAACATCGATGAGAGAACATCAAATGGCTGCCTCCTGCATGCCTCCCACTGGGGATTTGGCCCACAACCTGGGCATGTGCCCTGACCAGGAATCAAACTGGTGACCTCTTGGTGCGTGGGTTGACGCTCAACCACTGAGCCACACTGGCCAGGCTTCATGTAACATTTTAAAATCCTATATACTAATTGTAGTGTTTAAGATTCAGGAACAGTCCTGCCCGGTATGGCTCAGTTGGTTGGAGCCTCATCCCGTATATCAAAAGGTGATGGGTTCCAGTTCCGGTCAGGGCACACACCCAGGTTGCAGGTTCAATCCCTGGTAACGGCATGTTCAAGAGGGAACAGATTGATGTTTCTGTCACATTGATGTTTCTCTCCCTCGCCTTTTCCCTCTCTCTCCCCTACTCCCTCTCTTCCTCTAAGATCAATTAAAAAAAAAAAAGATTCAGTCACAATACCTACCTAATACATGTGTAATGAAACAGCAACCTATGATTTGTAGAACTTGGAGAATTCATCAAGAAATAGAATCAATAAGGAAAGGGTTAGTAGTAAAATCTGTTATGAAGATATCAGACATGAATAGAACCCGAAGAGTAATATTAGCACAGATCTCAATTATATGAAGTGATAATAAATAGCAATGAACGGCTAAGTGCTATTAACTCCTGACTGCCAAGCAAAAGGAAATGTTGATAGCCCTCAAATGAAGCACAAGAACAATGTTCTAGCTGGTGGGGCTGTGGGCTCCTCTACACCAGGATTCTTCTCTAGATGTTTCTAAACTGGGTTAGCTTTGAGGTTGGGGTGGGGGGTGAGCAGAGTATGGAGACAGTAAAGATACCCAGAGTACTTGAATGACACTTGTCATAACTAATGGCCTCTCCTTCGCTCTCAAATGTTGAAACAGTTATTTTGTTGAGGAAAGAGAAGAACCATAGTCCTTCCATTAAGGAGAGTCCATTCTTCTTGACCCATACAATGACCATGATTCCAAAAGACCGACCACATTTTTACCAAGTAAGCAGGCTGCTAGGACAGTTCCAGAAATTAGATTTCTAGGAAGTTGGGAAGATATACAGCAATCTAGCAGATAAGCAAAATAATATCCAAAGATACATTGTTTTTATCAGCTAAACTTTGTGACTGCTAACATATTCATTCAGTCCTCTTTATTGTTTCTTGTCACTAGGTAAAAAATACCTAGAACACCAGAAATTTTCTTAAAATTTTAAGAGGGGCAGGTGCCTACATTTCTTTTTGATCCTTATACCATATGGTACATACTTCCATTCTTAGATAAATACTATTGTGTGTTAAATATGATTCTAAGAGGTGGGGTTGCTGACTCTACAGACAGACACAGCACATTTGAAAGGCATTTAAAAGTTGGGCATTTGAGGTTTGAAACAACTTCTTGCGATTTAGTTCTGTAATTTCTCCACCCTCCTAAAAAAGAGATGCATAAAACACTTCCATCTGAAGTTTATAAAAATATAAACACTGTATCATTTCAGAATTTTAGATCTGTAAAACTCCTCCCACAAGTTGCTAATGAGGCAACTTATTAATGACTCACAGATTAAAGAACTCACCTCAGGTCTTTCTCATTAGCAAGGACAGAACTCTTCCCTCTTGCCTCTTTGTACAGGTCACATACTTGGGCTGAGCTTCTGAAAGGGCTAGTTTACTTTATAGAAGCAGACTCTGCCTATCTACTATCTATAGTAATTTTTAAAAATTATGTAATAGAAAAGCAGTGTGTTAACCTTTGATGTAAAATGGCATACCAACAAACTTGACATATTGCAACCATTTTATTAATATGAAGCAGTGGGATGAATCCTTCAACAGGAGTACTGATTCACTACCATGAATGTGTGTAGATACTTTGGTGCAGTATCATACTTGCTTCAGTCAAATTACTTGTGAATTACTGTCACTTCCACATGTATAAGACATTTATAATTCACTGTCCGAAAGAACAGCACATAGCCAGTCACTTCTTTTTTCTGGATTAAAGGCAAGTAAATGCATTCATGTACAACAGGTTTTTCACCACTTGCGGACTTCATAATATATGAACAGCTTTTCAGTACATTATTTCTGCTTCGTCATTTTTTAAAAAATTGAAGTGGGGGTAAAAAGCAATACTGCGGTACAAAAGACCTTTTTATAAGGTCTCTTCTGGAAAAATGTTTGAAAATAGTTATAGTCCTACAATGACTGTGATCAAGATCATCCTACAAGGACATGAACGTAGATCCACTCTCCTGGAGAGTTTCTGGTCTTCCTGAGAGTATTACGGCTGGGGAGAAGGAGTAGAGAGACCTTCTAGCAGAAAACTCTCCCAGAGAGATTTCTGAACATATTTCAATGCCAGAGTGACTGCAATGAAAATGAGGTGATAGCTGGAATCATTTCGTTGAAGTTTGTGTCTAGAAAGACACTCAGAATAATGTAATTAAATGCTGTTATAATTTGTTATGTTTTGTGAAAATATCAGAGGCCACGAAAGCAGAAAGATGTAGTACTATAACAGAATAAGGAAACATGTTAGAAGAATAAGCACTTAACACGTAAAAATTTTCAATGGTATCTAATAAATTTTCATGTCAAATCTTTTAACTAAACATATAAAATTTTTAAATGGCAACTAATAAATCTTCATGTCAAATCTTTTAACAAAATTCACAAATAGATTATAAAAATTTAACAATCATAAATGTCGTATGTATAAAGTTTTAAGGTAAAGTTTAAATTTCTTCACTATTCTGTTTAATCAAATACTTGAGGAATTTTAGCTGCTGCAGAGGAGCAGTTGATACATTTCTAAAATAATTCACTTATGAAAATAATATCACAATAAGTTTTGGCACAGCAGCATTCCAGCAACCTTCAGTCATCCACAAACGTTAGCCGTCCGGGCCCTTCATTGCGCATCCACCTCCTGTATCTCTTCCACCTAGGGTCATTGGCCAGTTTTTTCTTTAGCTCTTCTTCTTGTTCTTGTTTGTAGACCTATAAGTATAAATAACACTAACTTTATAATCTAAAGGGAAACATACGACATTAACTTTATGGAATATTTACATTTTTCAAATATAAGTTTAGGTAAAGTGTCCAATGAATGTATTGGTTCATCTTCTGAAGACAGTGCACTAAAAATACTAAGCAATTAAGCACTTTAACATTTAGTGTTAAGTACAAAAGAACAGCCTGGCTGGTGTGGCTCAGAGGCTGAGTGTTGACCCATGTACCAAGAGGTCATTGGTTCGATTCCCAGTCAGGACACATGCCCAGATTGTGGGCCCGATCCCCAATGGGGAACATGTAGGAGGCGGCCAATCGATGTTCTCTCATTGATGTTTCTATCTCTCTCCCCCTCCCTCTCCCTTCCTCTCTTTCTAAAAATCAATAAAGGAAAAAAATTTAGAGAAATAAAATAAAAAATAAATGCCCAAAGTTTAGAGGCATTACAGTAAGTTAATTTAATTTAAAAATACAAGTAACTTTTCATACATATGTTAGTTATTATGCAGAAGATTCTGTGCTCAACTTATTTTGAAATGAAGTTATTTCAACAAAATTCCAATCATTTATTCCCTCTCTGCTTTTTTAAAAATGTCTGTGGCTAAGCTTACAAGACTGGAAGGAAATTTGGGGAAGACCACATTTTAGTTAGTGCAGTTACCAGACAGTTGCTGTGACACCCTTGCAAACATACATCATCATCCCATCTTAGTTTAACACAACAAATTAGATCATTCTTAAAATGTTCAGCATCAAAGTATTCAAAGTTTCTTTCTAAAAGACAAATTATAGCCCTCCCACGTTTGGCTCAGTGGTTGGAGCATTAGCCAGCAACCAAAGGGTCATGGGTTTGATTCCTGGTCAAGGGCATGTGCCTGGGTTGCAGGTTCAATCCCCTGCCTGGCTGGAGTCATGTGGGAAGCAACCAACAGATGTGTCTCTCTCACATCAGTTTCTCCCTCCCTCCCTCCCTCCCCTCTACTCTATCTTTAAAAAAAAAAACAGTGGAAAAATATTCTTGGGTGCAGATTAACAAAAAATAAATAAAAAGACAAATTACAGTTTAAGAACCCACTGTCAGCCCTGGCCAGTTTGGCTCAGCGGTTAGAGCGTCGGCCTGCGGTCCAGAGAGACCCAGGTTCGGTTCCCGCTAAGGGCACGTACCTCGGTTGTCCCTGGCCCTGGTTGGGTCGTGCGGGTGGCAGCCACTCGATGTGTCCCTTTCACGTCGATATTTTTCTCTCTCTCTCTCTCTCTCTCTCTCTCTCTCCCCCCCCCCTCCCACTCTACCTGAACAAAAAATGGAAAAATGTCCTTGGGTGAAGATAAAAAATAATAATAAAATAAAAACCCACTGTCCCAATACCAAATATAGTCATACTTTCAATAAAAGTAAAAAAAAAAAAAATTTTAATCTTCACCCAATGACACATTCATTGATAGTTCAAGGCGGGGCAGGAGAGAGAAACATCGATCAGTTGCCTCCTGTATGTGCCCCCAACTGGGAACTGAATCCTCGACCTTTTGGTGTGCAGGACGATGCGCCAACCAACTGAACCACACCAGCCAGGGCTAAAAGATCTTTACTCATTATTTAGCTCTTGGATTTAAGAAATTTGAGTGCACTTCTGTGATCCCTTACATACACCTAGTTTTACCTTGTTAGGAAGGGGATACAAACATCCCAGCAAACTCATTACTCACCTCATAATTCTCCTTTATCCAGAGCTCCCGTTTAAGAAAAGTTTCTTTCTGATGATCTTCTAGACTATCAAACTGAGACTTTGACATCTTCATGGATTTACGTATGAGATATAGTCTTTCTTCTTCTCCATATTCTTTGCCTTTGATATTAAAATTATAGATCCACCGGCAATACCAGACTATATATGAGCACAGGTGAAAAGGAGCTAAGAGAATTTGAAACAGAAGAAGATCACGTATCTGGGGTTTCTGATAGCCTCCTTTTATATCTATTTTACTTTTTATAATGCTCTTTATAATGTTCTCCTCCTCATCACGAATTTCCTCTTTGGATTTTTTGCTTCTGCCCTTCTCTTTGGCTTTTCTGAGCAACCCCTGCTGCTTAGCAATCTCCATGGCTTGGATGCGGTACTTGGGCACTGTGGCCAGGTAGCTGATTGCCTTGTCGTAACTATTCCACCAGCTGAAAAACTAGAATATTAAACAAAGAAAAATGAGTCATTTTTATTATCAGAATTCATCTTGGTAAGCACTCCCCACCCAACCTATTCTTATTAAAAATAGGGACCTCAGCCCCAGCCAGTTTGGCTCTGCGGTTAGAGCATCAGCCTACAGACCAAAGAGTCCCAGGTTTGATTCCGGCCAAGGGCACATACCTCAGTTGCAGTTTGTCCCCAGCCCTGGTGTGGGTCATGCAGGTGGCAACCAATCGATGTGTCTCTCTCACATCAGTATTTCTCTCTCTCTCCCTCCTTCCTTCCCTCCCTCCCTCCCACTCTGTCTGAAGATAAATGTAAAAATGTCCTCGGGTAAGGATTAAAAGAAAATATATATAGGGACCTCAATCATCTTACTCTGTAAGTAAAAGATACAATTGAATAATGCCTCTGTGTACAGGGCTGGATAAGTCAGATAAGTTCTGAGCTGAGCCAAAAAGCCATAAATCAGACAGGAGACACCCAAGATCAGAGGACAGACAGAGCGATGGAATCTCACACCTGTGATTTCACATCTTCACTACTTGGCTCTTCCCTATATCACTATTAAGAAATCTCTGTCCAGTTTTCTCTGAAGACTGCTGTCTACTTACTGGAGGAGGAGTTAAGTGGCAAAACTAACTGGTAAGAAACTTGTTTTAAGAAGTCATAGGATATAGACTCAGGCAACCAGATCCATTCCCGTCTCTTCCCAAACCATCTACACACCCTATAGTTAATGCTCATCATATTCTGAACTGAAAGATTCAAATATATTTGAACTCTTTACTTACTTGGACAGGAAAACATCTAACTTATTTTGTAAATATACTCAACCACAAAGAGTTTTAGTAATTGTCAAAAAAAGTCCTATTCCTTACATTTCCACACATTTAATTTGCTGTATTTATAGTAGCAAAATATTAGAAATAGCAAATAAATAAATAAATAAATAAATGTTATTAGGGGGTTACATTATCTAAAATAGAAAAGTAAAATTATCCCCGTTCTCCCCCTTTGAAAGGACAATAAAAGGTGACATATTTAAAATATACAACCTTGCCCTGTCTGGTTTGCTCAGTGGTTAGAGTGTCAGCCCGTGGACCAATTAGTCGCAGGTTCGATTCTGATCAAGGGCACGTATTTTGGCTGCAGTTCCTTGCCAGCCCTGGTCGGAGTTGTGTGTAGGGCAACCAGTCAATGTGTCTCTCTCACATCGATGTGTTTCCCCCCACCCCCCACTGTATCTGAAGATAAACAGAAAAATATCCTCGGGTGAGGATTAAAAAATAAATAAAATAAAATATACCACCTCACCCTGGCTGGTTTGGCTCAGCAGTTAAGCATGTCTGCCCATGGACCGAAGGGTTGTGGGTTTGATTCCCGGCCAAGGGCACATACCTGGGTTGTGCCTGGGTTCAGCCCCTGACCCGGTTGGGGTCGTGCAGGAGGCAACCAATCCATATGTGTTTCTCACATCGATGTTTCTCTCTTTCCCTCCTTCCATTCCACTCTATCTAAAATTCAATGGAAAAATATCCTCATGTGAGGATTAACAAAAAATAAAAATAAATAAAACAAAATATACAACCTGTCCAAGTTTTCAATAGAAATTCTTATTGTCATATAAATTAAATCTCATTTCTGGAAATTAAACTGGAGAAGCAATTTTCAAACTAGCAAACTGCTTCATTCTGGCCACCTGATATGTTCTTTTCATCTAAAGAAGCACATGATAGGTGTGATTAATTTTTTTTGTTTGTTTTTTTTAATCCTCACCCGAGGACATTTTTTCATATTTTGTTCAGACAGAGTGAGAGGGAGGGAGAGGGAGAAACATCGACGTGAAAGGGACACATCGAGTGGCTGCCACCCGCACGACCCAACCAGGGCCGGGGACAAACTGCAACTGAGGTACATGCCCTTAGTAGGAACTGAACCCGGGTCTCTCCGGACCGCAGGCTGACACTCTAACCACTGAACCAAACTGGTCAGGACAATAGGTGTGATTAGTTTAAGAATAATAGTAGGGCCCAGCCGGTGTGGCTAGTGGTTGAGCATCGACCCATGCACCAAGAGGTCACCAGTTCGATTTCTGTTCAGGGCACATGCCCAGGTTATGGGCCCAATCCCCAGTGGGGGGGCATGCAGGAGGCAGCCAATCAATGTTCTCTCATTGATGTTTCTCTCTCTCTCCTCCCTTCCTCTCTCTCTAAAATCAATAAAAAGAAAAATATTTTTAAAAAAATAATGGTAGGAAAAACTCATTTCGGGCTGAAGTTAAATGTTTGTGACATTTTCTAAATTTTTTTTTATCCTCACCCGAAGACATTTTTGCATTTATCTTCGGAGAGAGCGGGAGGGAGAGTGGGAGGAAGAAAGAGAGAGAAACGTTGATGTGAGAAAGACACATCGACTGGCTGCCACCCACACAACCCCAACCATGGCCGGGGACGAACTGCAACCAAGGAATGTGCCCTCAGCAGGAACCAAACCCAGGATTCTCTGGCTAAGGGCCGATGCTCTAACTGCTCAGCCAAACCGGCCAGGGCAAATGTTTGTGATATTTTAAAACAACATGAAAAGTTAAGCTCCTTTAATCTACTTCAGCAGTGTTGAACCCGAGCACAGGCACCCTCTGCAGGTCTGTGGGAATGTGGGGGCATCTCCAGTGGTGACAATGATGGCAGTATGACTAGCTTTTGGTGGACAGGTGCCAAGACTGGTTAGTCACGTTAAAAAGTTCAGATTTTTCCCAAGTTTAATGGAAAATTATTGAAAAGCTCTACAAAAGTAAATGATACAATCAGATTGGCATTGAATCTGGTTGTCAGGTGGAAAATACTCCAAGGATCCATTATTGAAGGTTTTTTTGGTAATTATATAATGACATTCATCAATTTATTGGATTTCCCACTGATAAAAGATTCCAGTCACTGGTTGAAAATTATGAATATTTTTCTAATGTAAAAATATCTCAACTGGAAGTAAAACTTTACAAAAGGTACTTCTAGTTCAGTCTGAATGCCTTGCACCAAGCAGTGTACACTCAAGCACGTGTGCGTAGAACACACCCACCAATACCCACCTGAAACAGTGAGATGGCGCACACACTGACCAGGATCACAACTCTAACATCCACTTTCGGGGCCAAGCGCCTGCTGTAGTAGTGATAGTAATGGCTGTAGTATTCTTCTGGGTGATCCAGCATGTAGTCATAATCTTTTCGTGTGTCTTCATCCTGTAAAATAACATGATGTCTAATTGCATAGACATTTCCTAACATGGCCTTAGTTTATAATCTGTTAAGTCAAATCTAGAATTTTATAATTATGCAAGGTTAAGCTGAGTAAAAGCACTGAAACTGTCAAAATTTTTAAATTCCCCATCCTGCCCTGGCCGGTTCAGCTCAGTGGTTAGAGCGTCGGCCTGTAGACCAATGAGTCTCAGGTTCGATTCCAGTCAAGGGCAGGCACGTACCTCAGTTGCAATCTGTCCCTGGCCCTGCTTGGGGTCATGCAGGAGGCAGCCACTTGATGTGTCCCTTTCACATCAATGTTTCTCTCTCTCTCCCTCCCTCCCTCCCTCCTACTCTATCTGAACAAAAATGGAAAAATGTCCTCAGGTGAAGATAAAAAAAAAAATTTCCCCATCCCTCTTCGAAGGCACACATTAATTTATTTCCAGAACTTTAATATTAGCTCTAAAGCATGATAAAAAAAAATCTCCCTAAATTCTTGAGTACTGTTAGTCCTCCTAGAAAAATAAAAACACTTTATTAATAATTAATGATGCTTTTTTAGCCAATGTTGTGCTAATAAGGGTGTTTTTCATGTTCTTTAATTAAAAAGTATGTTGACACCTACTCTCAATAACCGTTGATACGGAGAAAAAATGTTCATCTCTATTGTATATATTCACAATCATTTTGCAGCTTATGGAGAAAGTTTTCTGTTAAAAGCAATGATTGAGACAACAAAAAGCAGACAAAGCCAGTCTGTGCCTACAAAACTGAATTATGCTCATCTCAAAGAAATATCCATGCAGTATAGTGGTCAGAGTCTAGCTTTGTTGACTTTGGGTGAAATTTTTGGCCTCTATGAACCTCACCTTTTTTTGTGAAATTGAGATAACACCTGCTGTACTAATTTTACAGGGTTGTTTTATCAAATGACATACATTATACAAAAACATGTTACAAACACACAACACTTTACTATTCATTTTATTGTAACATCTTGTTACAGTCCAGGTCACAAATAAGGTAACATATAAATCTTTCTTCATCACACAAACATGCTGAAAAAATTATAACACTCTGAAATGCTGCTCTGTTTACAAATGTTCACAAATAAAACATTTCTTAAAACCTCCTCTAAGTTGAATCAATTTCTAACAGGGATAAATGCCAATCTTTAACTGAGCTACCCTGGTTGAAGAGCTACTAAACTAGGTTATGAGTTGCTTTTTATCACACAGGAAACCTATTTTGTCTGTGTCCAAAAAAATGTTAAAGACTAAAAGCACAACAAAGTATTTACTCTCTATAAATGAATACAGAGAAACCATTATGAAAACAAAAATCTTTTTTCACCTAGAGGATTTCTTCTTTTAGGATTAACTAGTCAACATGTGTAACATTGCAGACTCTTAGGCAAAGGCATTTGAAAATCAACACCTGGTGCTCTGTTACTATAAACAGAGGTCCTGGGGTCTGTTCAGGGCCTTCTCCTGAGTCCTCCAAAATGTAGTTCTGTCGATTTCAAATAAGAAGTTTGCTAATGACAAAAATCTTCCCTGTACCCATCAAAGTCATGTATATTTTCTATTCAGAATTCTGAATTTGAATGAGCACATTTTCAGTGACAAATCTCTTTCATTACATTCAAAATATTTTAAAATTCTGACTAGAATTCAAAACTAGATGAACTAGAATCTAGCACAGTTAGATATGAATATATTTAAACTCTCCATTACACTGTATAGAGGGCCAATATGAGAACTGTCTGTTACATATGAAAGCCTGAGCTCAGGCTGATATATTTCCTTGTATGTTCATTTCTGTCAAAAAAGATTTTCTTGTGGCACATCCCTCAACTATCAATCAATTATTCCTTCTATAAGCCATTTCCATATTCTAGAGCTTGTAACCTAAAGAGTTAAACTTTATAGGCCATGACAGCTCTGAAGACTAAAGCCCACGTCACTTGCTGCATCTCATTTTGAGTACTTCAAGACATCCTTTAAGAATTTTTCCATTCTCCCTCCATTTGTTTTGCTTTTGGGGCTAATTAGAAATGCTCTGCTTCTGGCCTGAAATCCTTGGCTTTTAACTGAGCTTTCCAATCTTGGCAGATGCCTTTTTAAAATGTATTTCTTCAAATGTGATTCTTCTCCTTGCTCCAACTAGATTAGAGGCAGTTTTGAAACCGACTGCCACACTGAGACCAGATTCCTACAGAGCTCCAGCATCACTATCTATGCGGGGTCCTTCCCCAGCCTGACTGTACTTCTGGTTGAAGTACACAGCAAGGTCCCCGAGTGTGACTGAAATCTGCTATGTGAATGTCATGCACCCAATGGCTATCGTTTCTTCTTTGTCCTCTTGTCTCTGTGAAGGTCACAATCCACAGAACGCAGATATCCCTCATCAAGCATTTCACCCAGATCTTCCCCGAGGTTCACCATCTTCTCACTGGTCCCTAGATTTGTGCTGTCGTCAAGTGCTGAGCTCCTCTAACAGGAAGGTCACCTAATACTCCAGCAACCAGCAACTGCAAAATCTACACCTGGCGTCCGGCCTCTCCTGCAACCAGAGCCCACAGACTCTAATCAGAACTCACTAACAAGCCTTCAAACTACCTCATTCCTGCAAAGGCTTCAGGACCAAGTCTGATTTCTCTTAGGATGGTTTTCTTTTCCTTGGAGTCACCATGAATTTATGACTCTGTTTTGGTCATGATTAGAGACAAGAATGTTGGCCACCTCCTTATTACAGCATTTAATCAGCCAGAATATTTACTCGGTTTATAGCTTTCCCTCCAGAATGAAGAAAATTATTTTAGGCTGGGGCATAATATACTTCAGAAGATGTTCAAAGTTGGCACAAATTGGAGAGTTAGGAGCTCTCAATAATCTAAGTCAAAATCCTACTTGTTAGTAACCCACAAAGAATCAACCTAGTAGGAACACAAGGATACCAGGAATATTAGCAAAAAAAGAAAAGATAGAGACTAGAATCCAATTAGAGAGCTACAGGTACATACTTATTTTAATACCACGTATTTTTCTTTTCCTCCTTCGCATCTTGAACTAAGGTAGTCCCACATTTAAAAAAAAAAAAAAAAAAAAAAAGCTCCATGGCTAATGAAGTAAGTTAAATTTTCCTTGGCAACCAACAAGGCCTCCATAACTGCCCTATATTACCGAGCAACATATCCCTCTCCCCTCTTCTGTCCCTAGCACATGTTCAGATAGTAATTTCTGAAATGTACTGTGTTCTTCCAATCCAGCATGCTCTTTCATACCTGTCTTTGAACACAGAAGTCTTTCTAACTCAAATGCCCATCCCTTTCTTCCAACCTCATGAACTCCTGTTAATCCTTTAGGACACAAATGTTACTGCTTCAGATAGAGTTATACCACCTTATCACACATATTGCCTATTTAGTATAGCACTTATCACACTGTAGTCACCAGTTTTTCCTTTTCCTTGAATGAGAACTTCTAGGAGATTGGTAGGGTGACTCATTAATCTCTGTATATTCAAGACCTAGCACAATGTCTGGCACTCAGTAAATGTCATTTTAAAATGAATGGAATTTTGTAAAGGCTCTCTCTCACTCTAATCTCTCCAGCCACATAGGTCTCTACCTCACCAGAAAGGCTGGAGGGGTAATAATGTCACAAAAAACTTCAGTTTAGTAGAAACGATTGCTTGATGTCATAGCTTATGAAAGTATGCTACGGTGGCTTAAATGGCTTAAACCTTAAAACAGTTTAATATCTTACCTTTCAATAAGTAGTACTTTTTCTTTCAGCAATTTTGTGGATCCTAAGGTCCCAGGGTCAGGAAGATTCCAACTTCTTTCCAAAACCAAAACCTTTATACTTGTTTCTTCCTCCTCTCTGTCCTGAGCCTTGACAAGCTGGCAATAAGCTCCTTGTTTCTAATCTCTACAGGAAAAAATGGTGCTGCTGCTGGTGTCCACGCCACTCCCAATCCTCTTGGGCATATGCAGGAGGACTGGAACGTAACCACCAATATCTAGATCAAAAGTGAACAAGAGGAAACCCACAAGCAAAGAAAGTACGGAATCCTTCCTTCTCTTAGGAAATGGTCATTCCCCCTCCCCAGAGGCAAAAATATATTATGTTCTTGTCCTTGAAAGAAATAATGAATTGTTTAATCTTAATAAACATAAATTGCAATAATTTGATATTGCAGCAAGCCAGTTTTACATTAAAAAGTTTCTAGTACACAGATAGTAAAAACCTTTTAGGATGATAAAGGCCAGGAATCAATAATATATAAAAACACGGTAATAATTTATTTGGGCTTAAAAATATATTAATCCTTTTAAAAAAAGAAATACATACATACAAATGATCGTTTTAAAAAGAAAATCTGCTCCCCTAAATTTTTTATTCCAGGCCATTACATCCTACTAAAGAGGATGAAAATAAACTCTATCACTTTCATTTCTTTTCTTGTTCCCTGCCCACCAGCCACTGGTGCAACTATCTTTTCCTATTCCTCCTCTCCTCAGTCTACACGTGATCCCAACAACTCCCATGATTTGTAGTATCACATACATACTAGTGACACTCAGACCTGTTTTCCTGTGTCCACCTATTTTCAAATATCTCCTGAACATTTCCTAAATGTAACAAAAATACCTCAAACTCAACATGCTGCAAACCCAAATCTGTTCCTCTGTGTTTCAATAGTATGATATTATCATCAACTTGGCTACCTGAGCTTTAAAAAAAACCTTAGTTATTTTCGATTTAGCAAATAATTATGCAGGGCAGTAAGCCTTGTGTGGAACCCTAAAGAAGATAAACAGACAAATAGATAAGATCCTAGCCTCAAGAACTCTCCCACTTAGAAGAACCTAGCGAGCAAGAAAAGCACAAGTTGACATGCAAAGAAACAAGGGCTGACGGACTCTGCTGAAGACCACTGTGATGGGACTCGGAGGAGAGTGAATGAGTGCCGGATTCTGAAAAGCAAGTAAGGTGTGGTAAAACTTCTTCCAGGCACAGACACCAGCAAGTGTTAAGGTACAGAGGACTCAATGAATATAGGGATTCAGTGCAGCTGGAGCACTGGGGAGATTCGGAAAGAATGGAGTAGGATATGTGGCCAGGAAGATAGGTTTGGGTAAGAACTGCGGAGGATCTTACATGCCATGCTAAAGTGTTAGGGTGTTATTGTCTGTGCTAGTCAAAAATAAAATGTGTTAAAGTAAGAGACCAGTAGCATTGAGTAGAAGTATGTATTTTTGAAAGATAACTCTGATAGTACTGTAAAGAATGAATGAGGGATAAACAGGTTTTAGAGACTAAGAAGTACAATGACTAGGACTTAGTGATTAAAGAAGTACAAAAATCAATCATGATAGTGAAGGTTTTAATTATAGTTACTGTGTGAACCATGTTACTCTAAGATAGAGAACAGAGGATGAAGACAACAAATTTGGAGAAGATGCGAGGGAAAACTGGTAAATTTTGAAATGGGAAGAAAAAATAATTATGGATACCTTTTCAATCTATCCTGTAGGAGAGATACGCCTTTGTCTTTGAAAAAGTCTATTTTAACTTTATAAAGGCAGAAGTAACTTGTAGAAAACTAGAAGTAATGCAAACAGTTCTTGTTTACAGAAAGACAAAATGTGGCCGGTATAATGCGACTGACCATTGCTTGTCACACTGGCCAGCTTTATAGGCAGGTCATTGTTCCTTGTCTGACTATAAATGTGTGGGCTTTTTTCTCTTTTGAACCAATTTTGATACCTTACTGGTTCCCTCATTAATTAATGAGTTAAATAAAATCTCTGATCCATATTTACTTTGTATTTGTATGAGACCCATGATTATATCTTCTTTTTAAATGTATGCTTTGAGGCTTTGAGGGGGTCAAAGGGGAAAAAAGGGAGAAACATCTGTAATACATTCAACAATAAAGATGAATTTTTTAAAAAATGTATGCTTTGGTTCAATGGTTAGAGTGTCAGCCCATGGACCAAAGGGTCGAGAGTTCAATTCCTGGTCAAGGGCACATATCTGAGTTGCAGGTTCAATCCCAGCCCTAGATGAGGTTCTGCAGGAGGCAACCAATTGATGTGTTTCTATTACATCAATGTATGTTTCTCTCTCCCTCCCTCTCACTCTTTCTCTCCCCCCACTCCCTCCCACTCTATGTAAATGTCAATGGAAAAATATCTTTGGGTGAGGATTAACAACAACAACAACAAAAATGCATGCTTTAACAAGGATGAACAAAACTGATTTCAGACATGTTTAATTTGGGGTACCTGTGCTACAGATGAGAAACAACTGAAAATATGAACTTAGAGAACAGGTAGATTTTAGAGTTGTCAAGTATTTAGTTGAGTTTCACCAGGAAAAGCTTAGAAAAGAAAAAGAAAAGAGTACCAAAAGGACAGAACTCTAAGGGAAAGCAATGTTTAAGGTGTGGGCAGAGGAAAAGACGACTCTGAAGACTGAAGAGAAATGGCTAAAAAGACAGGAGAAACGGGACAGAACTACAGCAAGGAGTCAAGGAAGCACATCTTCAAGAACTACATGGTCACCAACATCAGATGCTACAAAAGGCCCCAGGAAGAAGTGAAGAGCCCTCAAAGCTGCTGCTCAGAGTGCTGTTCACCTAAGAACAGTTCTGGCACCTGTGCTGGCAGACACGGCGGTTATGGCAGCTTGAGCCAAAGGAAGACGAGGAAAACAGTCAACGTGAAAACAGGAGGAAGCTGTGACTGTAGCTTTAACAGAACAAAAAAGTAAGTGAAAGGAATGCAAGATGAACCAACCAAGAGAGTCTTGTTACCAAAGAGGAATGATGAGATTCCAGAAGACCATGATGGAAATCAGTTCAGACACCAAATACCTCCTGCCTTCCGCAACCATCCTCAATATTGTTCCTAGAATTTTCCTTCTGAATCAAATATCAGACTGTGTTACTCTCCACTTTGAAACTCCTGGTAACTGTTTAATACATAAAGTTCAAATTCCTGAACACAGCTTAAAGGGTTGCTCATCATGTGATCCCAAATTATGTTCCAATCTCCTGAAACAGTCTCCCTCAGATGCACCCAACAGGCTTTGTACCTATAGTAGTAGATCCCCTAAAGTCTATGAAAAGATGCAGTAAGTGTCTTTGCGCTGTGAACATCTCAAAATGTTACCCTTACCTATGATGCATTTGCACAAGCTAAATTAAAATGTCAAGTGCTCAGTTTCTGATTGGTTGTTGGTAACATCATGTGTCAGGTGTCAGAGCACTAGAATTAAATACATTGTGTATAATCAACCTTGGCCATAAATAGGGTATAAGAGCTAAAATTAAGGGATCAGCAAAAAATAACACTTATGGGTTCACAGCAGAAGTAGCAAATGTGGCACATGAGGTACCACACCCTTCTCAGTCCATGGGAGAAATCACTACCACACCTGTCATCTTTCCCACTAAATCCAGACAAGGCCTCAAAATGTTCACAAGTGTTTCCGGGAGTCATGACCAGTCAGGATCGGCATGTGAAATAAAAACTATCTGCTATCAAGCTTACTTGATTTGGCTGTTCTATAACAACTGTTATAGAAATTTACATAATTTCTATTATTTTTATGAATACTCAATTATTATGGATAACTGATTAAAATCTGGATTTATGCTGGGAAAGAAAAATAGTAATACTAATAAGTGCCGTTATTTTTTCCCCCAAAAGCAAAGAGTCCCTGGGAACCAAATAATAAAAGTAATCCTTGGTGGAGAAAACACTCCCTACTGCAACACCTCACCACACTGTATCACTCCTGGAACAGCCCTGCACACTGCTTTTGTTGATCAAATTCTCCTATCCACAATGTCCCTTCAACATCAACCTTGGTGACTGTTCTAGATCCAGATCAAAGAACACACTCTTCTCCAATCCTCCTATTCCTTCAACTGCTGTGATAGAATCTGCACATATTTTTATTTATATTTTTTATTTTTATTTTTCTTCATTGATTTGAGAGACAGAGGAAGGGAGAGGGAGAGAGACAGAGACAGAAACATCAATGAGAGAGAACATCGACTGGCCGCCTCCTGCATGCCCCCTACTGGGGATTTGGCCTACATCCTGGGCATGTGCCCTGACCGGGAATCGAACTGGTGACTTTAGCTTGATAGCAGATAGTTTTTATTTCACATGCCGATCCTGACTGGTCATGACTCCCGGAAACACTTGTGAACATTTTGAGGCCTTGTCTGGATTTAGTGGGAAAGATGACAGGTGTGGTAGTGATTTGGTGCATGGGTCAATGTTCAACCACTGAGCCATACCAGCTGGGCTGGCTACACATACTTTTATTATGTAACTTAAATAAATAACCAAACAATAAGTATCTGTCTCCTTGTTATACTAAAAGCTTAACAGCAGGAACTGTACCCTTTTCACTGTTGGGGTCTCCTCTTCCAGCACCAGTGTTAGTACTGGTTACAGAAAGGGCTAAGAAAACACACTGAGGGAGAACGATAAACAGTGACATAAAAGGGCAGGGAGTTCAGAATCCCCCTTCTGGCCAAATTCTTCCTAAGTGCTAAAGCCCTGCCCTTTAAGGTGTGTTCTTGTGACTACCCTGCCAAGACAAGGCTAGAGTAGCAGAAGGCTCTCCCTACACATCCCTAACTTAGATAACTTTCATGCCAGGATCACTTCCTAGACCTTTTCGATGTTCTCTTGTGGTCTTGCAAAATGCAGTCAAATTCTGCTATTTTCCCATTTTCTGCCATAGTTTTTCTAAGTGCATCCTTCCCACCTAATTCCTCATCTGCTTATTTTTATGCCATGCTGCTTATTTTATCTATTTTATCCAATTCTTATCTATATTAAAAAATTATTAATGTTCTGACTTAAAAACCTTCAGAACGCAATTTCTCCTTAAAAACAGAAGCACAATTTTTCTCTCATGCAGGAATTTTTCATTCATACCCAACCAATCAACTTTATCTATACCACTCTTTAAAACTAAAATTAATTTGGGGTGAAATGCCAAAGTAGACTTCATATACCAATGTCAAAACTCTAGAAATCCATTTTTTATTTCCAATCTATCTGAATCTATCTCCAGATATGAGATTTTACTTAACAAAATATTCAATATCTGATGTGCCAGACACTGTGCTAGGTGCCACGGATACACCCACACAAAACTGAGGAGTGTGGCTTAGTAGCAAGGGGAGAAGGGCCACTCAGTGTTTACAGTGCATTGTGATAAGTGCTATATCCCATAAAAAGACCCAGTGTTGACATACTGAGTCTGTTTACTGAACTTCCAAAGTTCATGATTCCCTCAATCCCCAGTGGTTAAGTACACTAAATACTATTTCATTGTCTTCACTCATATTAAGAAGCAAATATAAAGCAGTGTGTAAAATCCTAATGTTTTGAAGTCCTGCTGAGATCTGAAATTTTTTTTTAAATCCTCACCCAAGGATATTTTTCTATTTATCTTCAGGCACAGTGTGAGGGACAGAGAGAGGGAGAAAGAAACATCGATGTGTCATCAATTGGTTGCCTTCAGCACGACCCCGTCCAGGGCCGGGGACTAAACCGCAACCGAGGTAAGTGCCCTTGACCGGAATCGAACCCATGACTCTTTGGTCTGTGGGCTGATGCTCTAACCACTGAGCGAAACTGGCCAGGGCTGAGATCTGGAATTTTAAGTTATTTTTTAAAATTAAATTTATTGGGTTGACAATGGTTATTAAGGTTATATAGGTTTCAAGCCAGACAGAAAAGTTAAGAAGCATATGACTTCACTCATCTGTGGGATATAAAACTGGAATTCTAGGTTATTTGAGACCGTGAACTAGGACAACTTGAGGAAAGCCCCTATCGTTGCCCATCCTTCTCTTCTGTGGTTTTCCTCAACCTCTCTATGCACAGACATAATCTTTGTTGCTAAAATGACAATGATAGAATCTTTGTTGCTAAAAGAACAATGACTAAGAGCATAACAATGACTAAGAAAAGCACACTTTTCCTTTCCACTGAAGACTGAACACTGCGTTTCCCCTGCTGGAGCTGAAACACGGAAGATGCCAGCACGGAAGATGTCACACCAGAGCAGAGCCGAGCAGAGCCACGAAGAGCCGAGCGGCACAGCTGTCTAGCCAGAGAAGCAGCTGGGCCCCGGGGCCACCTAACGGCCGTGCTGTTTGCTGTTTGCACTAAATAGTTTCCTTCTTCACCACACCCCAAACTGGAGATTCTTGTTGGTGTTGACATCCATGGCAGTGAGGATGGGACTCTGAAGCGACGACCTGATATCCTGACGCATTCATTCCGAAACCACGGCGTCTGGCACTTGCTCGAGCCCCTTACGCTTGAGTTATCTTTCAGGTAAGTCCTCTCGGATCCAAGATCTCCGACTCTTGAGGTTGAGGTCTCAGAGACTTTATTCAGTTTAGACAGGAGACCCTCATCCAGTGACTTTGGTTCACCCATTTCGACTGAGGGCCCCCTCCATACGACTTGGGTTTGGTGCCTAGCAGGGGTATCCCTCAGTCTTGTTTGGCACCGAGGAGGATATTCTCCAGGGAAGGCTTTCCTTCATCACGTTTGGTACTCAGGGAGGATAATCCTCCAGGTTGAGCCATCCATAAAGTCTCATCCATAAGGTCTGCGAGGACGCTCACATTGATGGGCACTCAGAACACCACCACACATAAGTAGTACAAAAGGGGTAACCCATGCTCTAAATTTCCACATGTTAATCAACCACCGTTTAGGACTTTGGCTGATGACATGTACCAAAATTATGGCCCAAAGAATTGCAATGGGCCTAGGCCCCTGGACAGAGATCACACAAGATGATCTCAAGCTGTGTTGGCCAAGATGGAGCTCTTCTACAACCCAAAGGCTTGTTTATTTCTGTGCTAAATCAGAACAAAGAAAATCTTATACCTTATAGAAACCTTGGGAAACTTTTCTTTTTTAAACTGGTACCTTGAGAGCGCTAAAGAAAACCAAGAGGCTACTATACTATTACCTCCCTTAAGAAAACAGTAATTCTAAATTGGGTAAATGCCTTGATAAATTAAAATGGAAACCGGCGCTCACAAAACTGGAACAAAATGGGGGAACTCACTGGAAAACTTTTCCTCTGACCTTTGTACTGGTGACTCAAAAACCAGGTTTACTAAAAAAAAAAAAAACCTCAGAGGACCCCCCCCCACCCCAACTACCACCCTCTATCTTGACCTATTTCCCCCCTTCCCCACGTTTGTCTGCAAATGGGCAGCAGACCTCTGACACTAAGGTTTCACCTCTGGAGCCATTTTTCCATCTTCCCCCAGGAAAACCTGCCCCTTTTAAGACTCAGGCCTTTGAGGGCCATTCTCTTTACTTTTGGAGCCTTTCAACTTTATTGTGAATACCTGCTTTCTATTTCTTTTGTACATGTTTGTTGATAAGCCCACCTTAAGGAAAAACTTTGAAGAGAATCTCAGATCTCTCTGAGACAATGAACTGCATTCTTTGATTTTTTTTTTTTAACAGCTTTAAAGGAATTCTTATGGCATGAAAAAACTTTGACCATCTGAGCAAAACCTCAACCCAGTCCATCTGCCAGAAAACATATTTGAATCCATAATTTTTCTTTTGTGTTTTGTATTATGCTATGTGTTTATATGTGTCTATGTATATCTGACTGCTTAGGTAGACCAAACCTTAATATTTAAAGAGCTAAATTTTACTTCTAAGCATTTAACTTTCTATAATTGCTTGCAAAATTTCTTAAGTGAATGATTAAATGTGTAACAAAAATAAGGGAATCTCCGTTCACAAAAGGGGAAAATACAACTAGGCTAATTTGATGTTTGGAAAGTGGATTTCAAGGATAAAAATGTATTAATGATGATCCACGTGTACTTTCCTTGGGTAGAAGCATGCCCATGTTGAAGGGCTACAGCCATAACAGTGACTAAAATACTTCTAGAAAGGATTTTTCTTGCTTGGAAAGTCCCCAGAGTCCCACAGAGATCAGGGAACCCATTTCACTAGACAAATTCTACACCAGGTGTGCAAAACCTGGCTGATACTGCAGCATTTCCATTGCGCTTATCATCCCCAGTTCTCTGTTTTATAGAACAAACTGACAAGATACGTAAAATTCAATTGGTAAAACTTGTTGAATCTTTTCATCTGCCTTAGCCTAAAGCCTTCCCCTTGGTATTGCTTCAAGTCAATTCCTTTTGGTATATATCAATTGTCCTCTTCTAAAATTGTTACTAGAAGGCTTGTCCTATGAAGCTATATCAGGGAATGTGTGAACCTACCTTATTACGGAGACCTTCTAACTTACTGTGAAAAACTTACAAAGGCTTTTGAAATTAATGCAAGCTCATAGAGCAATCTTTCCACAGTGTGCGGCGGGGAGACAAAGACACCAAACATCACAGCCTACAACCTGGATGCATGGTCCAGCAAAAAGACATCTCCACAAGGACTCCCTCCAGCCTCTCTGGAGTGGACCATACCAGGTACTGTAATGAATCCCTGAGTTGCAGGTTACTTGGTGTTGATACATGAATTTATGTTTTTCATTTTAAAAGGCTCCCAGACTTGCACCTCATTCACCTGATTAAACACCCCAGCCTATAGGAGACCTCACATTAGACTTATCCAGAGCTTGGCTTTTGCCTTGACAGTTGTACATTAAATATCTTATCTTTCAGTCTGTATATGCCTTGCTGAAAGAGACCATTATGCCAAGAAAATGTTCTATTCTGTTGGTATTATTTCTTAAGTAACTATTAATACCCCTTTCATAAATGGATATAATTAACTCATAGACTAGCAGCTTTCTTTGTAATTCTTTCTTTTCTCCTTCCTGAGCTTATTCTAATCTCTGACTTTAACTTGTGAACGAACATCTGTCTAGAATTGATTAAATTATTCCATTTGGATCCCACTGAGCTCAACAAGACACTCTCATGCTTACACACTGAGTATCACTGATGTAAGGTAAAAGTTAACAATCTAAGATTTTGTAGAGGGAAAACCGCACAGGCAAATCCCTCTAAAGATTCCCTTTACACTAAGGCAAAATATTACTTACACATGAGATTAAAACACTCAATGTACTGAAAAGTAGGGAGCTTTCTTAGATTAAATTGAAAAAGAATGTGTCAGAGACACCCCCGAAGTGTCCTCAAACCTGCCTGCTTCCTTTCTGCCTCCATAAAAAGGTAGAATTTGACCCAACATATTGCCTCGTAATGTATAATTCTTTCAGCCGAGATTTCAAAGTGTTTTTACAAATATGAATTAACAAGCTTCATCATCACTTCTGTCCACAGAGATGTTTCATTTAAGTAACACAGAAATGTACGTAAATGGTCTACTCAAGGTCACCTGAGAAGTCTTTTGTGTCATCTGGAAATGGATATTTCCAGTATAAAAATACGCTGCAGCCTCATTGCAGATCCAAATTCATTGCGTCCTTTGGCAAGTTCCACTGGAGGGACCAATCGTCTTTTCATCTTTACAGCAAGGCTCCCAGCAACTGGCCTTTCCTCAGCCTCACCAAGTGCTTCCATACCTGGAAACCCAGACCTCAGCCCTCCTCCTTCCTATCTTCGAGGACGGAACGTGGCTGTTTTTCTAAGACTTTTTTACGAATCACTTTGATTACATATGTAGTTGGCCATATCTTCTTTTGTTCCCCTAAATTATTCTACTAATCCAGTTAACACCTATTTATGAAACACTTATTTTGTTGCTAGACACAGGGAACACTATAGTCATCCTCCCTACATGGGAAGGGCAGACAGTAAACATGAATCAACCACACTGTGGTCAGTGCTATAAAGATGACAAATGTGATGGGCGGGGTGAGGTGCATAGGAATGGATGGATCAGTGAAGCCCTCTCTATGCAGGGCCCTGCGGCTGATGTATGGAGCCTAGTGGTAGTTCTGTATAGGATGGTGACAGAGACCCTGCTGTGTATAGGGAGGACTTTTGGGAACTGAAGCAGCAGATACAGAGAGTGGGCACTTTATGTATCATACTTGTGTCTATAGAATGGCAAAACTTTTCAAAAGTAATGACCCTCAAGCCCAGCAAAAGAAGAACCGTGGAATATATAATGAAAGACCCATAGCTCAACATGGCCCAGGAGGAGGACCTCTGGCCCCACAGTGAGCTGCCCTGGGGTGACATGGACCCCCAGGTAACAGAGATAATGAAGAACCTGGGATTTGAGTGGAACGAGATCCAGGAATCAGTAACAGAAAGGAAGTACAACAAAGTGATGGGCACATACCTGATTCTAAGTACCACGAAAACCAAGCTGAAGGGCCATACCATCAGGTTAAGACCCACCTCCTCCCCTTACCCAACGCTACAGTCCTTTCCCAACCTGTGAGGTTCAGCCATCAGGGCAGAAGACCAAAGAGCCTGCCATTCCCCCAACCAACCTGGAGTCAAGGATGACCACTCCCACACCCAGCCGAGTCTGGGACTGCCACCCCCAACCTAGTCCTCCAATGTGGGCCTGGGGGCTCCCCTTCCACCCACAACAGCAGCAGCGGTGGTTGTGGTGGTGGTGCTCCAGAGGGAACCAACAACAAAAATTCCTTCCATGCTGGGCAGCCTGATGGTGGAACTCCAGCTTCTCCCTCTGGCCATAGTGAAGGCCAGCAGGGGGTAGCTAGGAGGGTCTTCCGATTTCTGTTAAGACTCATGTGCTGTAGGCATCCATTAATAAGCAGCATCTCAAGAGAGAAAGTCAAGCCAGAGTAATTTTTAAAATCGTGGATAGCCAAGGCAGGGCCACAGCCAGACTCTGGGTCAAGCCACTCTCCCTACATTTTAAATGCCGGCCTTGAAAGAACTTAAAGGTGCTGAGCTCAGGGAGGCCAGCCACGTGGTTCAGGAGATGAGTCAGAGGCTGCACGGAAACAGCTGCATGTGAGAGCAGTGCCAGAAATACACGCTGTGTGTGCAAAAGCCTCTGCGTGCAGGAGCTGGTCCAGCAGACGAGGGAGGTGGGCAAACCACTGTGCTACTGTCTGCAAGGGATTCATTTCAGGCTGGAGGATGGCCTGGAGCCCACTGGGGGTCAAAGGGAGAGGCTGCCTTCACTGTGGGCCCACCCCTCTGCCCCCACTTGCATGACATTTCACAGAACGGACTTTGTCCTGGGCCCTTCTCCCCTGTGCTGCTCTTTTCTCCCTTTTTTGTGGGGGTTTGGTTTTTCCAAGTCTTGTAATAAACTTGATGCTCCAGGAAAAAAAATAATAATGACTAAGTGTGATTGTCTTACCAAGTGTATTTTAATATTACTGTACTTATTTTTTAACGACCACCATCCCAAAAAAAATCTCAGAGGCATTTATTTGATCAAAACAACCTCAGAGTCAATCTTATACAAATATATTCCCATTTGGTGATGTATTATCAACATTCAGAGATCCTTGGTTATTAGAAGTTTTGATGAAACACCCTGTAAGGTTATAATGAGTATATAATATAGCTTCTTATATGTTAAAAATATTAAGAGATTCAAACAGTCTAACCACTATGCTGTACACCTGAAACTAACACAGAATAATATTGAATATAAACTATAATTGAAAAATTAAAAAAATAACTCAAACAGACTAATGATAAAAGAAATTAAGAAGGGTATGAAAAAAATTATGGGGGTGAAAAAAGGCTCCTGGCTCCAATGAATTTACAACTAAATTATTTCAGATTTCAAGAGAGAAACAACTTCTATTAGATACACTGTTCCAGAGATGAAATTCACCTGTGCATTCCACAATGCAAATATAAAATCAATGTTTTCCTCCATATATATGACAGCAATTACTGAACATGGCAGCGAAGGACACAGTCTTCCCAACTCCCCTCCCTCCTTTTTGGCTGGCTCTGTAGATTAAGTACACCTCTCCCGGGGCTATCTTTATGGAGAAAGATAGAAAGTATAACAAAAATAGCAAACGAATAAAATGTGGTCCAGTCTGCAGCTGCTGCCTCCAGATGTGTGGAGTTCTAGATAGGCTTCTGCAATTGTCTTTATTCCAGTGCCACTGAACTCCACATCCCCCACTATTCTATCTGCCCAGTTCTTAACAAAGGCCGTGTGGACCTCTTATCCTTCGCACGCTCTTTCCAACCGCAGATATAATCCATGCAAAAACAGTTATATCCCCATTGCCTCAAGGGGTTAATTTGGAAGGCTGAGGCCATCCAAACTAATGACTCCAGTTCATTGGATCTTTGAATTACCCAGAAATGATGTTCTCTGACAACATTCTCACAATTTTCCATTAAGACAGAAATAAAATCAGACCACCCTGTTTGTTTTTAGTAACTTCTTTGACACACAGCAAGTCAAAGTCCTTTTCCTTATTCCAGGAAACGGCATCAGCAACAAAGGTGGTTTTTTGTTCTTGTTTTTAAAGTTTCCTGAGCCATGGACAGTTTGGCTCAGAGGTTAGAGCGTTGGTCCACGGACCAGAGAGTCCCGGGTTCAGTTCCTGCTAAGGGCACGTACCTTGGTTGCAGTTTGTCCCCGGCCCCCATTGGGGTTGTGTGGGTATGTGGGTGGCAGCCAGTGTGTCTCTCTCACATCAATGTTCCCCCCCAACCCCCGTCTGAAAATAAATGGAAAACATCTTTGGGTGAGGATTTTTTTTAAAAAGGGACTCGTGCCTGGTCCTTGTGGCTCAGTGGTTGAACGTCGACCTATGCACCATCAGGTTGCTGGTTCAATTCCCGGTCAGGGCCTATGACCAGGTTGTGAGCCCGAACCCCAGAGGGTGCACGAAGGAGGCAGCCAATTGATGTTCTCTCTCATCAATGTTTGTATTTCGCTCTGTCTCCCTCTTTCTCTGAAATCAATAAAGAAAAAAAAAAATTAAAAGAAAAAAGTATTACTATCTCCAGGCATACTAGTTTTTAACTGCCCAAAAGTTCCTTGCTCTTGAGTGAGCAAATCATTTTAATGTACTTTTTATTACCTGACGAATCAGTGCTAAACTTTAGAGGCAACTATTACAGATCTACTAGATCAGCCTCTAAATTCGTCTCTTCCAGAAAATGGCAAGAATACTGAGTCTTGAGGTTCCTCCCAGCAAGAATTTCTCTACTGTCTCTATATCTTGGCACTTGTTTTACTGATATGCTCACCACTCTTGTGCCAAACCTACCCATCTCCAACCACAGCAGAAGGTTCAGTTAGTTGCTAGTGCTTCTGTTGCCCTCTCTTCTGGAAGTTCTCCGTCTTTCAGCGCTTCCTTACATGACCCCAGGGCTTTGGAGGACCAGCAGCAGGCTTTTCTGGTTGCTGGTTTGGACCACTATCTTTCCTCACTGCAGAAAAGCTTGGATTAGGGCTTCAGATGCTGGCTGCCCTGGATGGAGAAGTTCTTCCCCATTTTTCTGAACTCTTTCCTCAACTGCTCTTTATTCTAAATAATAGGCAATGAAACCCTCTGGCCTCAATACTGTCTCCCCTCTCTTCCTCCCACCCCTACCATTCCTCAGTTAATTGCCAATAAAAATTACAATCCCACCAATGCCAGTGAAAATGTGGTGAACTAGCCACTCATTTTATGACTCCATACTATCCAAACTGCTCTCTGGGAAGCAGGAATGAAGAGCCTTTGACTCCTTGACCCAGTATTTTCAGCTCTGGAAAGGGAATCTGAAAAAATAATCCATTGTTAAATTATAGTATACCCACTCAAAGTAGTCATTAAAAAGAGACTATTATAGCAACATGAAAAACTGGCCTCAGAAAGAAATACCATACAACTACAACTGCTGTTATGATGGGGCCTTTGAAGCAGAAACACTTCCACCAAGCATGATTTATACTTTGTGACTTCTTACATGGTTTGCTTTTCCCGGTAGTAGAAGAAAACAGGATCAGGCTAAACCTCCTTCTCCCCACAGGACTCAAGGAAACCTTGTCAAATGATTTAATACATGCAAAATATTTCCTACTAGAAACCGAGAGCCTTGGACCCCAAATCATTAAGCACCTATTTCCAGTGTAAGAGATTTCTCAGTTAGCCCTCCTAAAAACCCTGTGGGGAGGTATCATGACCTTAATTTCACAAATGAAGAAACATCTACCTCGGCATATTAAGTCACGACCCAAGGTCATATGGGTGGGTGTCAGGCCAAGAGTCTTCCGACTGGTTGTTCATTGACCTTATGTTTTTCTAGATCCTTAAAACCAAGCTACAAATACCATCCCCACAAACCAAGTTTCTGTCATGCCACATGGGCGCTCTCACACCATCATTCAATACTGCAGACCTGTCCTGTGTTGCAATCACCGGTCCTGGTGCTAATAACCACTCTGTTTGCCGAGTGTGAGCTGCACGTCATCAAAATGCTTTCACGAAATCACAAGATGCCCAACGTGTCATGCCTTGCATGACAAGGACTGTCACAAACAGGGGGGGCCTGGCTGTCCCGCGAAGGCCAGTAGGGTGTCTATGTCAATGGGCCCTGCGGGCTCTTTCACAGGGCCACGTGGGGCAGCGCGAGCACCCACCGGGGTCGTGGCGGTGTCTGCGCCCGGCGCGGGGGTCACAGAGCACCTCGCCCCGCGGGCTGGGGGCCGAGGTGCCCGCAGCCCACCCGTGTCCCAAGGCCTCACCTTGAGAGTCTCGTAGGCGGTCGCCACCAGCAGGAAGGCCTCCTCGGCGCTCTGCGGCGTGCGCCCGGGGCCCTGGTCGCCGGGCTCGGGCCGGTAGCGGTCGGGGTGGTAGCGCCGGGCCAGCTGGCGGTAGGCCCGCGCGATCTCCGCCTTGCTGGCGGCGCGGCTCACGCCCAGCACCTCGTAGCAGTCCCGCGTGCCGCAGTACAGCCCCTCCACCAGGGCGCCCGCGGGCCGCGCCCGCAGCAGCGCCAGCAGCAGGGGCGGCAGCAGCACCACCCAGCGCCCGGCTCCCCCGGCTGCCCCGCGCGGACCGAGCGGCGCCGCCATGCCTGCCGGCCTTGGCCGCGGCTCCGCCACCCAGCCACGCTCCCGCACGCCGCTGCTCGCCCGGCTCCTCCTCGCCCAACTCCAGTCAGCAGCCGCCGCCGCGCAGGCGCACAGGACGCCGCTGCGGCCGCCGCGCACTTCGCGACCGTTGCCAGGGAAGGACGCCCGAGCCGCCCCGCAGCTTCCGTTTTGTCAGTGAACGCCCTCCTAATCCCAGTGGCCGAGGGTTTGTCTTTGCGGAATTTAAAGGCGCACTTAACCCGTGTGTACAGAGCACTTTGCCCCCACAGTGCCCTTCACATGCGATCCTTTCCACATCGCGATTTCACCCGCTGCCAGTGGTAGTCTGGCTCTCTTGCCCTCCGATTAGCAGCGTCGGCATGGGTGCACAAGGTTTTAAAGCCTGGTCTGCAGCCCCGGACGCCTTCCTCTCGCTAACCCCTGCTGCCTTTCCAAAAGGAAGATGAATTTAGAGATTCTAGGCGTTCTCTGCCTGCTAGGGACCCTTAAAGTTCACTCATGGCCATCCGGTTCGGGGTTTCTCTACTTCCACACTATTGACATTTTGGACTGGATAACTCTTGGCCTTGTAGGTGCTGTCTTTTGCACTGTAAGATGTTTAGCAGCACCCCTGTCCTCTACACACACATATCCCCACCAGGTGTGACGATCAGTAAGGGCTCCAGATATTGGCCAAGTGTGTTCTGGGGTACGGCTGCCAGAAAAAAATACAGGTCATTTAGTTAAATTTGAATTTCAGGTAAAGAACAAATAATTTTTAGTGTAATTGTGTCCCAAATATTACACGAACCTATACAGCAACATGGAGATCTTTGCCTCAGAAAAATAGTTTCTGTCATTTCCTCAGTAAATATTTGAGTCTACTATGAGCTAGGCACTGTTATAGGCATAGCGGTGAGCAAGGTAGACAAGGTTCTTGACCACAGGGAGCATATATTCTAGTGGAGGATGACAGATAATAAACAAGCAAATAAACTTTAAGAAATAATATATTCTTTTAAGAAAATGAAACAAGATAAAGATATATATATATGATTATATAGCATATACTATCCACTATTTATATGAGAGAGAGCATATACCATACACTATGCGTGTGTGTGAGAGGAGAGAGGGAGAGAGAGAGAGAGAGAGAATTCATGAAAACACATAGGAGAGTCACCTAACCTGAAATTATTAGAGTCAGGGTCAATTGTTAAGGTCAGTTCCAGGAGGAATTAACATCTAAACTGACTTTGAAGGACAAATAGAGGATGGATTGAAGGGTGGGAGTGAGGGAGGAGTTTTAGGATAAGGGAATTGTAAATACCAAGAAGAAAAGAGACATAGGCAAGAAAAAAAAAAAAAATGAAGCTTTTCAAGAAATAAAAGTGGAGTTGGAGATGAGGAATGGAGGGGATGAAACTAGAAAAAGCCAGATTGTGAGGGGTCTTTTTGTTCCATGTTGAAGAAGTTGCTCTTTATCCTATGAGCAATGGAAAGCTAGTGTGGAATTTTTAAGTCGCAAAGTGACACCTTCCAATGTGCATTTCAGAACTATTACTCTGAGAAAATGAGCTTGGAGATGTCAGAAAGACTATTGAGACAGTTATAAGAATTCAAGTAAGAGATGCTACAGGCCTGTCTCAATGGAGCACTGAAAATGGAGAAAGAATAGAGAAAAGCTGGGACACATTTATGAAGCAAAATGGGCGATATTTGGTCATTGGTTCTGGAGGAGTGAAGGAGAAGACTGAGTCATGATAATGCCCAAGTTTCTGGACTGGGCAACCAGATGCCATCCCTGAAATAAGGGACACAGAAGGAAAGTAGGCTTATGGTATAGGATGATGCGTTTTCTTGAGACACGTTCTGTTTGAAATGCCAGCCACCGCCCCACTGGACCACGTCAATTCTATATATGAAACATTTTTTTTTTTTTATCCTCACCCAAGGACATTTTTCCATTTTTGTTCAGATAGAGAGGGAGGGAGAGAGGGAGAGAGAAACATCGACATGAAAGGGACACATTGAGTGGTTGCCACCCGTACAACCCAACCAGGGCCGGGACAAACTGCAACCGAGGTACATGCCCTTAGCGGGAACCGAACCAGGGTATCTTTGGACCGCAGGCCAGTGCTCTAACCACTGAGCCAAACCGGCCAGGGCTATATATGAAACATTTGATGATTGTCATTGAACCTTGCCTCCCATGGGCTCTTCAGTTAAGCAGGTTCTCCAGTCCACTTCCTCCAGGCAGGCTCCTCAGAGAAGCTGCTTGCTACCTGTTCAGGGCTCTCCTTTTCCAAAGGGAAGACATCCCCATGCTGCTCTGAGAGAAAGGAAATTTTCTACATTACAAATTTGGTCATGTTACTCTTACCCAACTTCACCCTCAAATACCTTAGCATAGATTTCATGATCCTGTGACAATCTAGGGTCTCGCATACTCTGCTTTTGCTCATTCTGGCCCCTCTGCCCAAGATGTTTCATCTCTGTGATGCCCTCCAACCCCCTATATTCTGCAGGACTCAGCCTTAGTGTCTCCTCTATTCGGACCCTTCCCAAGTGACAGTCCCACAGCTGAGCTTCAGAATCAAGATCAAGCTATCATAGGGAAGGCTCACCTCAAAGCAGATAAAACCTGGGTGTGTGGCTTTTATTAATTTATTGCCTCTGAGCGGTAAACTCACATTCCTTTCTGTGCTCTGCAAACTGTATTTCCCCGTTGCCTGGCTAGATGTTAAACTCTGCCAATAGAGGGCGCTTGAGGCACGCTGCCAGGCTGGAAAAGGATAAAGATCTTTTTTTCCCTCCAAGTCAATAGATCAACGTGCAAGAGTTCCATGTTCGGTGTCAGTTTCATTAGCGATGGCTCCTGTTGTGGGTTGAATTATGTCTTTCCAAAAATATGCATTCGAGTCCTAGCCTCCAGTGCCTGTGAATGTGACCTTATTGGGAAATAGTCCCTTTGCAGATGCAATTAATTAAAATGAAGTCACACTAGAGAAGGGTGGGTCCTAATCCAATGGCTCATGTCTTAAGAGAAAACAGAAATGCACACACAGGGAAGATGACCCTGAAAAGACGGAAGCAGAAATTGGAGTTATACTACCCACAAGCCAGGGAACACCAAGGATTGCCAGCAATCACCAGAAGTCGGGACAGAAGCATGAAGCAAATTCTCCCTCAGAGACCCAGGAGAATCCAACCCTGCCAACACCTTGCTTTCAGACTTTAACCTCCAGAACTGTAAGAGATGCATTTCTGTTGTTTTAAGCCATACAGTTTATGGTCTTTTGTTATGGCAGCCCTAGGAAACTAATATAGCTCCAGTGGGCATCATTGTCACCACATGGTGGCAGCTGTTAGCTCTCAGCAGAGGACAGCTTCTGCTCCACAGCAGCAGGCATCATGCCCTTGTGACAACCCCTTGGAGCAATAGAAGTAGAAAATGGATGCTTCATAGGTTCAGGATTTCCTTTTAAGTATAATAACATTTTAAGCCAAAAATCTCTTGTTACCTAAACTCTGGCCATTGCCTCTATTTCTTTTAGTCCAAAGTTTAAGCTTAGCCAATCACAGATGGAATTTTGAGGTTAGCCTCTGCGTTCTATTTCTTATCTATTTGTCCTTTGAATTTCTTCACACAGTATACATCAGGAGAGTAAACAGTGATTTCTTTACAGGTAACCTTTAGCCAAATGACTTCAATGAGTTAGTCAACTTACAAGCTACCAGAGTTTAGTGATTAGCAACTTGATCACAACTGTATTTAGAACTCTGGGATGGATCTCTACAGCACTTCTAAGTTTTGATAAACAGTACTGGAAAGTCATATGGAATTCAATTAACCTGGACTTGAAGCTTTCATAAACTTTATTTCATTTGATGTTCACTTATCACAGACCAAGCACACGTACGTGTTCCAAAATATGTCTCCATTAATAATAACATTTGCAGACTTCCGGTCAAAGTGGCAGGTAGGTAAATGCGATACTCACCTCCTCCCACAACCACATCAAAATTACAACTAAATTACAGAACAACCATCATTCAGAACCACCTGAAATAAAGCTGAATGGAGGTCCCACATGGAGACCGGTAGGAGGGGTGGAGGCACAGAACGGCTGGTCCCACACCCACATGTGGCAGATAAAAATCAGGAGGGACACCTCAGCTGGGAAAGTCCTCTCTGAGGAGTGAGGGGTCCCCATCCACACCCCTCTCAGAGTTCCAGTGCCAAGAAGAGAAGTCCCCATAACTTCTGTCTGGAAAAACCAGTGGGAGCCCTGGCTGGTTGCTCAGTGGTTAGAGCGTCGGCCCGCAGACCAGAGTGACCCGGGTTCGGTTCCCTCTAAGGGTATATACCTCAGTTGCAGTTTGTCCCCGGCCCCAGCTGGGGTCGTGCGGGTGGCAGCCACTTGATGTGTCTCTTTCATGTCAATGTCTCTCTCTTTCTCTTTCTGCCTCTCTCTCCCTTCCACTCTATCTAAATAAAAAATGAAAAATTGTCCTCAGGTGAGGATTAAAAAAAGAGAAAAAAAATATATATTCAAAGTGATGAAAAGCAATGACCTACAACCAAGATTACTCTATCCTGCAAAGCTATCATTTAGAGTCAATGGACATATAAAGAGTTTCCCAGACAAGGAAAAGCTAAAAGAGTTCATCACCACCAAACCAGAATTATGTGAAATGTTGAAGGGTCTTCTTGAAGGAGAAGAAGAACAAAAATATGAACAATAAAATGGCAATAAATACATATCTATCAATTGAATCTACAAGCAAAATGAGCAAGCATAACAGAAACAGATTCATAGATACAGAGAACTTTTTGTTGCTTGCCAGATGGGAGCGGGCTGGGAGATGGGTGAAAAAGATGAAGGAATTAAGAAGTACAAATTGGTTGTTAGACTGATGAACCTCAAAGGGAAGCGGGGAGGGGGTGCAGGAAGAGATAAGCCAAAGAACTTCTATGCATATATGCATAACCAATGGACACAGACAATAGTGTGGGGAAG